ATGGGTGGACCAACAGGTATTGCGGCCCCGGGCAGCAGGCATGGAAACCCAGGTAGCTTTTCTGCTAAGTGGTTGTAGGGTAAGGTAAAAGTATCAGGCTTTTCTGCCCTCCTGCCATCAGGATTGATGAAGGATCCCTGCGGTCCTGAACGCATGCCTGATGGCGGCACCTGGAGGAGGGTGTGGGCCTAGGTAGATGGGATTCACCTGGGCTGAGACTGGGCTTTTAAGGGCGGCGTCACGGGGATGCCAGCAGAAGCTGAGAAAGAAGCAGAGAAGCAGAAGCAGAAGAACCACGAGAACTAGGCCACCACAGAAAGCAGGAGAGCCCAGATAGAGTGAAGACTTGCTGGGGGCTGGGAGGCCTAGCCAGCCTCCGGGCCCCCCAGCACCCCTGCCTGCCATGTGCCTGGTAAATCTAAATAAAAAACCTACAAAAGCCACTGAGGTTCCAGGACTCCTCCTTTACCCGGTCTGCTGGATCAGAAAACCTGCTCTGTGTCTTCCTGACCCTACAGAAGTGTTTGCACAAACGTTCTCATTGCTAATAGCAGAGAAGACTAAAGGTATCATTCTATGGCCTACCAAAAGAATAGCTTTATCTCAAATAAAACTTGTGGTTAAAAGGTTCACAGCCTTACAATAAGACATGATCCCTCCAGCAATAGAAGGTGTGGTTTAAAGATGTGGCTCACCCACAATACAAACGAATGTGGGATGAAGAGGACAGCGTCTGCTGGTGGATGATGCCCTCTAGGATATCACAGAACACAGGACAAGCCCTGAAATGCCTTGCCTGATATGATATCTTTTGTGTAAGAAGGAAACAAGCGGGCCTGCCTATAGCAAGAGTGGTTTGAAGGCTGCAGCGGAGCCACAGACCAGGAGGAAGCTGGTCTGGGATGGAGGAATTCTATGAAATGGGTGTAATGAGGGGGACAGGATTGTCAGAGAGAGAAGAGTGTTGAAGATGAGCCCAGAGAAGCACAAAAGAGTTGCATGGGGGCAGCAGAGGGTAGATGCTTTTTTATTGTGCATCTGGATTTTGACACTTAATGTGACTTTGCAGCAGCTTTTTCATTTTTATGTGTCTTGGTCTTTTTATATGAAGCAGTGCCCACTGTGCTCCTCTCTTCTCACTTAACCTGCATTCATGTGCACTGTCCATGTATACAAGAATACATCATCTCAGTACGGATCAGTTTATGTTCCTGGGTAACATTCAAGCAGTTAACCAGGAATTTGGTAAGGGGTCACCCCACTGTTTGTTGGCCTGATAGGGTTCCTTACATATCTCATGGTTGTAATTTCATAGCATTTCCTTTTTATAAAGAAAAAAATTTTCCTGGGTATAGAGCCCCAGAAGTGAAACTTAGGTCGTGTTTAAAGATGGGAGCTGCAAAGGGAACTTGAGTGGGAGAATTTGTTAAAGGCCTTTGGAGAAGGTTGTCAGTGACTTAAGCAAAATGAAGACAAGCCCTAACTCACAGCCAAAGAAGCGAATGACTTATCTGCTGAAAACAGTGCAGAAAGAAATTAAAGAAGACCCCAACAAATAAAAAAATGTCTGGAGGCCATAGATTGGAAAATTTAATATTGGTAAACTATCAATACTACCCCAAACAATCTATATAGTCTTTACAATCCCTATCAAAATTTCAGCACTGTTTGTTTTTTTTCTTTCAGCAACAGAAAAATCTGAATCTGAAGGGACTCTGAAAACCAAAACAACCTTGAAAAAGAAAGACAAAGTTGAAGGGACATGAACTTGCTGATTTCAAAAATTATTATAAAGCTACAGCATAAAAAGGCAGGTGGAGGCGCTGGCATAGAGATTATATATCTGACATGATCAGCTATATATGATATATAGCCCCCAAAGAAACCCTGGCTTGTGTGGCCAAGTGGTCTTCAGCAAGGTTGCCCAGACCACCCAATGGAAGAAAGGACAGTCTCTTCAGCAAAGGATGCTGAGACAGCTGGACACCCACATGCAGTAGAACAGGCTCCCTAACACCAGGCACACAAATTAACTCAAGATGTTAAGAACTAACATTGTAAATGTCCCAGGAGAAAACACAGAGAAGAGCTTCATGTCATTGGATTTGGTAATGATTCTTGGACATTAACCAGACGCATAGGCAACAAAAGCAAAAATACATAAATGGGACCATCTCAAACGTAAGACCTTCCATCCATCAGGATGCAGTTTACACAGTGGAAAGGCAGAGGAGGCATCTGCCAACCACACATCTGATAAGGAGTCAACGTCCAGGAAACAAAGATCTCTTAGAGCTCAGCAATGCAGCAGCAAAACCAAACTGCAAGGTGTGCAAGAGGCCTTGCGTAGACATTTCTGCAAAGATCACATGTGTGTGGCCAGGACGAGATGGCCCCCTGCACCCACTAGCACGGCTGCTATTAAAACTTGGCAGACACCAAAACAAAATAGCAAGTGCGGGCAAGGTTGTGGAGAAATAGGAGCCTTGTGTGCTGAGAGTGGCATGGAAACACCGCCATGGTATGGAGGTATGGAGGTTCCTTGAAAAATTAAAAGCAGAACTACTGTTAGGGGGAAAAGGCTGTCCTAAAGCTCATTCCATACAGGCTTTGTGGCCTCCACCCCCACCCCAGGCCAAAGCCAAAGACACAGGGAACTCCACATCCCATCCCCACCCAAGGGAAGGTGGCTGGGACCTGAGGGTGGGGTTCAGCAGCCAGGTGGGGATAAAGGCAGACACGTGGGCTTTGGAGGGGGTCCCTCATTTTGGCTCCCCGCCAGCTCGCAGCGTCCGGCCAGCTCGGAGAGTGCCTTTGGGTTTCCAGGTCGGCGGATCGGGTAGGACGCATGAAAGACTTTATTTCCCTATTTTCTCCCTGAGTTGTCCATTTTCCTTCTTTCCTTTTCCCTTGTCAATAAACCTTTTATGGGGCCTCCCCGGTGGCGCAGCGGTTGAGCGCTGGGTTGCGAAGCTGCCTGCGGCCTCTGCAGCACCAGTTCGATCCCCGGCTGCTCCCCGGCCACCAGAGGAGGGTCCCACATGGCGCGCAGACCTCTCCTGCCACCCGCTGCTCCCCTCAGCAGTGTCCTTCGGTCCTTCTGCCTGCTCTGCTCCCCGCTCTGGCTCTGGTGAATTCTCCCACCCTCCCGCGCTTCTGACTGTACCCAGTGCTTGTATAAACAAAACAAACAAACAAATAAATAAATAAAAGCATGCCTCTATTAAAAAAAAAAATTAAAAAAAAGAAAAAAAAAATAAACCTTTTATGAACCTTCTGTGTGTGCCTGTAGTGGAGTATTCCTAAGTCCCTTGTAAGCGCGCGGGTAAGGACCCACAGCCAGGAACCCGCTCAATATCGGGGCTGTCCTATAACACTACTATGATGTGGCATGCGCCCTGCAAGAATTGAAAACAGCGTCTCAAAAGACTATACCCACGTTGGCAGCAGCATTATTCAGCTTCGTCAAGAGGTGAAAGCAACCCAGTGTCCAACAGAATCGACAAAGAAGCGTGGAGTATCCTAGAATGGACTGTCTGAAGCCTGGAGATGGACTGGAACCCTGCAGGTGACCTCGAGCACGTCGCGCCAAGTGCAGTCGGTGGTCCTAGGAAGGCAGCGCCTGCAGCTGTGCAGCCTGGGGCCTCGGAGATGATGGCTGTTGGGGGCTCGGCCCGAGGCCGCTGCTGAGGCGCAGAGCTCTAGTTTCATGACGAGAAGTTCTTGGGACCAGCTGCGCAGCAGTGTGGGATGTTCAGCACTGCTGAACCGTACGCACACTCCAAGATAGGAATCTTTGTACTTTGGCAAAAGACGGCGGATCTTATGTTGTGTGTGTGCTCGTCACCACCACGTAAAAGAATGAACGCCGACACCGAAGCTCGGCCTCCACATCACGTGTTTTACAGAGGAGAGATTCCTGAGCCATGAAGCCAGGACTCACGGCAGGGAGCTGGTCCCCTGTGGTTGTTGGGGTAGCAGGAGGGGGGCGTGTTGCTTTGCAGGTTGGGGGAGGACTCAGCAGGGCCTCCCACACTGACCTGCAGTGCTGGCCGCCTGGGGCTGGGGTCCTGGCCGAGAACCGTCTTCTGGCCCCTTTGGTTTGGGGGAGAGCCGCTGGAGGCAACCTGGAGGAGTGAGGCCACACTGTCCACAGGGCCTGTGTCCCCGGCTCCGGGATACAGTCACACAGAGCTGATTAGCAGGCAAGGATGGTCATGGCCGAGTGCCTCCGTGACAGCCCCTGGCCCAAGTCCCGGGCTGGCAAGGGCCACTCGCGCACTGCTGGGGAGAAGGGAAAGAGGCGTTTCTTTTCCTGGGTGGGGCCAGGTCCCCTGCCACCCTGCATATCTGTTCTCCCACCAGACTGACTGCCTTGTGGCCTGAGGCCACGGCGCTGTGGAGTCCCCAAGGCTGCTGCGGGGCGGGTGCTAGACGGAAGGCTGCTGTTCCCGGCTGGCACGTCTTGGCAAACTCCACACACCCCTGCCTGACCCCACCCTGTAGCCTCTGGCCCGGGAAGCAGCCTCAGGGTAGTGCTGCACACCTGTGACTGTGACCTTGGGGCACAGGCCCCTCCTCACCCCCAGGAGATGGGCAGCAGGAGGGGTACGCAGGCCAGCTTACTGGGAGGCAGCAAGAGCCCAGGGACTGGACTGCGCCCTTGACCTTGCAGGGGCCAGGGCTTATCTTGTGGCCATTTTCCTCTGTGCGGCATTAAGCTGGGGGGGACTTCAAGGTCACAGGTCCCCCCATCAGAAGACCCCAGGGCGGGCTCTGTCCTGTCAATTAGCTCTGCCCGCCCCCCTCCTCCTGCGACCCGTATTTGCGCGCAGACACCCTGGGGTGGGGGCGGGGCGGGGCGGGGTGGGGTAGGGGTGGGGCGGGGTGGGGGTGGGGTCCCTCCGCACCTGCCGGCCACGCCTCCCTGGGGCCTGACCGGGCTCCACCTGCCGGGCCGCCCCAGCCGCCTGCAGGGCGTGTCTCCGGGACGGCTCCGCGCGGCGGGAGGGAGCAGGCGCCGCGCAAGATGCGCCCCTGGACGGCCGGTGAGTGCGACGCCTCCGCGGAGGAAGGGGGCGCGGGGTGCAGGGGCCCTCGCCCCTCCCGGGACTCTCCCAGCGGGCAGGGAAGGGATGGGGGGGCTGGGCGGGTCTGCTGGCAGAGCCGGCTCCGAACCAGGGCGGCCTGCAGCCTCGTCCGGGGCGCTGCGTCCCCCAGGGCGGGGTGCAGGCCCCGGGCAGCGAGGGGGCGTTGCCTGGAAAGTAGGTGCTGGGTGAGCTCAGGCCGGCCCCAGCCCCCGAGGGGGGGGCCGGGAGGGGTGAGGGCACCCTCTGGAGGGGATCAGGCCCTGCGCTGGGGCGCAGCTGTGGGCGCAGGGCAGAGGCAGGTGTGGACTCAGGGCCCCAGGGTCAGAGTCCCTAGGAGCCCAGCAACCAGGAGCCCCGAGAGTGACGGCCAAGCCCCCCTTCTAGGCCTTCTGCGCGGGGAGCAGGCCCTGCCGCGAGCTCCTTTCCAGAGAAAGCTGATTGTACTTTTTCCTTTTATCAAATTGCTGGCAGGTGCAGAAGACTTGGAAAAGATAGGACAGAGGAAAGGGGTGAACCCCCCTATTTCACTTCCTCTCTCCAAGTCGGGGCTCCCGGCAGCTCCTGGCGGGGTCCCTGGCCTGCGGGTCGGGTAGCTGCCCGGCACTGCGTCTGCCTGCGGCTGGGCTGGCTGCCTCTGGGGTCCTCCTGAGCAGCCTCCCGAATTGCCCGGCAATGGGCAGCGCTCTCCTGCCCGCCAGGCAGGGCTCCAGAGTGATCACCCCGCAGCCCCCCCCAGCCCTCGCCCTGAAGGCTGCACCCCTGGCCGCTCCACCCCCGGGTGTGGGCGAGTCCGGAGGGCTGCTTCATTTTACTCCCTGGCCTTTTCTGCAGAGCTGTTTATGAGTCACAGCCCTGCCCGGGTGTGGACTGTGGGATAAATGGGTGGGGACCGCGAGCTCTTGGGGGAGAAAGCCCCACCCTGGGGCGCTGGTCTCCCTGGAGTGGTCAGGAGGGGTCTTTCCGCGGTTTCTCTCCTGGGCTCTGACTGTCGGGGTTTGCTGGTCACTTAGTTGTACATGCTCAGGCGACAGGTCCCTCCCCACCCACCCGTTCCGCAGGCCGCCCTCAGCGCCCACCTGGAGCCGGTGCACCCGGCACAGCCCCTGCTGTGCCCTGACCCGGGGGTGTGTGGCGGAGGGAGCTCACCCCCAGAAACTCGAGATTTAGCGCCTTTCTGCTCAGCCACGCTTGCCGTCCGCTGGGGGAGGCGTGGCCTGTCCCCCGGGGTAGCTCCCGGCTGGACTGGGTGACACTGGCCTCCGCGGCCTTGGCTGGCTGGGCTGGGCCTGGCAGATCATCCTCACAGCGCCACACCTGGTGTCGGCGCGGGGACCTTTCGTGGCAGGTCACCCGGCGGCGAGGCGGCCAAGGCGATCAGACGTGGGTCTTCCCGACCCTTCTGCCTACAAGCTCGTGTGCACAGGCCTGTGCCCCCCGGGGAGCCCACGGGGGCAGCAGAAGCTGAAGCCACAAGTCAGCGAGTCCCAAGCAGGACTCACCCACCTGGGGACCCCGGGCCTCCAGGAGAAGGGCAGGTGCCTCACCCCAGGACGGGGGTGGCCTGGCATGGCGAGGCCGCAGTCACGGGCAGCCGACCCGTCTTACCTGATGGGAGAGCTGCCCACCAGGAAAGGGGGAGCGCCCAGGACACCCCCCAAGGGCCCTGGAGTGTGGAGTGCAGCACATCCCGAGATCCCCATCCCGCAGCCTGGTTTGGGGGTGACTTTGTTCAGCATCAGTCTGGGGCCCCCGGGAATCTGCACCCAGGACACGTGGCCCTGGAGGCGGGGCCTGCCCGAGGAGGACGTGCCCAGACGCCCCCTGCACTTGGCCTGCGCCCGGGGCCATCGCGTGCCTGCCGGGAGCGAGCGAGGACAGTCAGGAGGCCTGGCGTTGTCCCCCGCCGGACAGCCGGGTCCCGCTGCAGAGTCCCAGGAGCTTCCGGACCCCGGGCACCCCGCCTCGCCCCCCAGGGCCCAACCGAGTCTGCCCGCTGCCGCTGCTGCGCCCGTGGGACCCTGTCCAGGTGCCAGGGCGGGCTGGGGGTGCCTCCCGATGGTGCAGGCCCTGGGTTCTCACCACGGTGGGTCCCGGGGCTGCTGAGCTGCCCCACCCAGGGGCTTGTGGCTCTAGGCCTTGGCTTCCACAGCCGCCACAGTCCACGCCAGCCGCAGTCCCCGGCCCGCGGTCTTGGCTGCACGGGCCACCCGAGCGCAGTCACCTGGCCGCCCTCCCTTCACACTCCCTGAGACCCCCTAGGTCGTCTGCCCTAGAGTCAGGGATGGTGAAAGCCACGGGGGGTCAGGGGCTGTGGCAGGACCTGGAGAAGACCAGAGCTTCTTTGTGCCTCCCACGAGGCACCCTCCACGGGGCACACGGGCCGCGGACTTGGTGCCAGCAAGAGCAGAGAGGACGTAGGGTGGCCTGGGGGTGGCAGCGGAGAAAAGGAGACGTCTCCGGAGGTAATATAGACCCACCAGCCTGGCCATGGACCCCTCAGGGCCAGGAGGGTCGTGTGGGGTCCAGGCTGAACCCCCCATCTGCCCCCGCCTGTCTGTGACATGGGCCGGACGTGCGCAGCAGAGGGAGTCATCCAGGAGCCAGGCGAGGCCAGGGGTCCATCTGGGTCTGGGCCCTGGTGTCCCATCAGACAGATGTTGGACGTCCTTGTCGGGAGCGTGGGCCGGGCTGGGACCAAGGAGAGGCAGGGGCGGCAGGTCAGTCCAGGCGGGGCCCTCAGGAGTGGGGTGTCATCAGGGGCTTCTCCCAGGGGCCTGGGGCTGGCGGGGGGTGGTGCTTGGGAAACCTTGGCAGGCAGAGCTGCCCTGAGCCCTGGGGCAGGGAGAGGCCCAGCTCGGAGGGGGTTACTGGACGCTCTGCCCGAGGGGGTCGGACGGAGCATCATGAGGGTGCGGGGTCAGGCGCGTCCCTCCCCTCGCCCCACCGCCTCCTCCCTCCCTCTCGGTGGCCCGTGAACGCACACTGCGCTCCCTCTGACGGACACCGTTCTGGTCCCCTGTGCAGGCCTGTGGCCACCCTGCTCGTGGCCACCCTGGTCATTCTGAATGACCTGATCTGTGGACATTTAGGGGGTACGACCAGAAAGAGCTGCAGGATGGCCTGGGGGTGGCCCGTGGGGACACAGGGCTGTCCCAGCGCTCGGTTGTCTGGGAGCCAGTCGTCCCTTAGAGCATGATGAACCAGCAGCCAGCGGCTGGCCGGGGCCCGGCGTGCAGTGCACGCAGCTCTGCTGGGAGGAGCAGGCCCGGGGACTCTCCAGGGGGACAGGTCAGTGGCGCGCTCGGGCCCAGCACTGGCCTCCGCACAGGAGGTGCAGCACTGACCACTCCTGCCTCCCAGGAGCCACCGCAGTCTGGAGCCGGTCACTTCGGCCTTTCTTGCCAGGGGTTGGGCGCAAAGCCGCAGACGCATCGCTGACGCTGGCCTCTGAGCCAGACCACAGCCAGCGAGGAGGGCAGCCCTGAAAACGTGCCTCTTCTGCTGCGCGCTTCTCAGCCCGCCTCATTGCCCCGGGGGGCTCCCACAGGCACCCCCCACTGCTGTGGGTGGGCGCACGGGTGGAGGGCCAGGCCTCGATGTCCACAGGTGCGTCTGTCTGTCCACAGGGCCCCTGAAGGCTGTGCTCTTGGTCTTTGCCTCCCTGTGTGCCTGGTACTGCGGGTACTTGGTGGCCGAGCTGGTTCCGGACACGCCCCTCTCCAGCGCTGCCTACAACCTCCGCGGCTTCGGGGAGAAGCCCGTCCTCAGAGGTGGGTGCCGCGCGCGCCGCCAGCAGCTCGGCAGTGACCAGGGCGAGGGCAGGGGCTCTGGCTGAGCTTTGCTGGACGAGCCGTTTTATGTGGCTACGAGGATGAGGGGAGGAGGGAGAGGAGCAGAGGGAGAGGCCACTTCCTTCTGTTCCACGGCACTCCCAGTGGGTCCCCACCCAGCACCGTGTGAATCAGCCTGACCTCTGGCTGCCCGCCCTGGGCCGGCTCCCAGCCCCCTCCCCCGGGAGCGCCCAGGGCCAGGCTCTCTGGAGACATTTTAAACCATGGAACGGCTTCTCGGGGCCGCCTCTGTCAGGCGCTGTCCCGGAGCACGCAGCAGCCCCGGAGAGAGCCGGCGGCCACCTCCGCGCTAAGCGATGCTGGGCGTGGGTAGACACGTGGTGGGCAGAACCGCCGGGCGGCGCTTGCTCTGAGGCCAGCAGCCAGGGGGACCCGCGCTGTGTGGCGGCTGCGGGGTCTCGCTCCTCCCGCTGGCCTGGCCCTGTTCTGTGGCTCAGCAGGAGCGGGGGGGGGGGGGGGGGCATGACGCAGGGACTGCGGGTCTCTAGGTCGGCAGATCCATGTGTGGGGGGATGTGTGGGCGTGTGTGGGTGTGTGTGGGCTGAGAGCCGGCGGCTCCCTGGTCTGCGCGGCCCGCTGTCGGGAGGCCCGGCACCAGCTGTGGCTCGGGCGTGCAAACGCCGCTGCAGGAGGAGGCCGGGGGAGGTGCGTGCGGCGGAGAACTGGAGCCACGGGAGAGCCCATGTCCTGGGTGAGGTGGGTTGTGAAGTGGGCTCCAAGAGGGCGGCAGGACCCATTTAAAAGCAGAACAAACGAAGTGCTGGCCTGTGTGCAGACACCAGGAGATTCCTGCAGAGCCCAGAGGAGTGCAGCTCACGCACCAGCGGTCACTGCCCCAGGCCGGAGGCCCAGCCTGGCCCTGACAGCCCCGCTTTAAATCCACAGGCGGCCACGAGGAGCCAGCCCAAGAGGCGTGTCCTCTTTTTCTGCTTTTTATTCCACGAAAGAGACAGGCTGCTTTATCGTGGGGGGACGTGGCTGTTGGCAGAGGCCACGCATTTGTGGCTTCTCTGGCCTCTCAGGCCTTCAGGGTCTGTTGTCCACCCGCTCCTGGGAGAGGAACACAAAACGTCACACACAGATGGTGTGCAATGAGAACACGCGTGTGCAGAACACCTCGAATTGAGGATAAAGTGAAATTATAAAAAATATCCCTTAAAAATTAGTACTTAACCCCTGGTGGTACAGGGGTTAAGTCTCAGCACTATGAAGCTATCCCAGCCTCTGCGGCCTGAGTTCAACCCCGGCCAGGGAGTGACCCACAGGGCGCAGCAGACCTCTCCTGTCTCCCCGCTGCTCCCCTTGGCAGGGGATTTCAGTGGATCCACCTGCTCTGCTCCCCGCTCTGTCTCTGGGGAGTCCTCTCACTCCCGCACCTCTGGCCTGCACCCCAGCTCTTGTGTGCATAAATAAATCTTTTTAAAAAATTAATTCAAGGGAAACATGTGTGGGACCCCAAGTTATATTCTGGACCTTTTTGATGAAGTCTCACTGTAACCAGATAATATATTTTTAATATAGAAATGAATTTTACAAAATTACTTTGCACAAATGTGAAGAACAAGGAAATGACTAAAAAATTTTGTGAAAACTATTGCTTTCCAGATTAATTACCTTTGATGGCCAAAAAGAGAGGGAGCTGACTGTCACGGAGGTGGTTTTCGGGGAGGGAAGACATTGATCACGTTAATGTGCAGGGGACACAACAGCATCTGCTCTGCCAGTTTCGAGGCGAGGGCTCCGGCCCATCTTGTCCAGCCGGGCGGTGGAGCCTCCGGTGTGGACCCAGAATGTTGCCTCCTGGGACGACGGTCTCCCCACACTGTCCCTGCCGTGCTCCCATAGCCCCCCCAGCTCACCGGGCGCCTCTGTCCTCGGAGATGGCCTGTGTGATGGGGAGGGTGGAGCCTCCCTGGAGACTGGGGACCCTGTCCTCGCCTCCCCTGCTCCCACCACAGGGACCCCGCCTTCCAGCACCAGGAGACAGTAGTCCCCGGGGGCCACCCCGCGTGCCACCCCTGCAGCTGGGCCTGCCGGTTCTTGCTAGGTGGTGCTTCTAGCGACCCTACTCGAAGGCCTCTTGGCCAGCAGCGGTCACTCAGCCCCGGCCAGCAGCCTCTGCTTCTCCTGCTGGGCCTCAGCCGAGTGGCTGTGTGGGGTCCAAGGCCTGGGGGCCTGCTCCATGGCGGGCCGCGCCCTCAGCCGCTCAGAGGCTCGTCCTTGCCGCAGCCCGATGGGCGGGGCCTTTGACACAGCCGCCAGGTCCCCCGGGCTGGGTGTCCTGCCAATGCCAAGGGTCTCGGGCGTTTTCTCAAGCGGGGCTTACCGCCGTCGGCCGCCCCGTCCTCCACAGCGGCCGGCCGCCCGTCTCCCAGCTGCTTCCCTCTTGGCACCTGGGTGCGGCAGGTTTCATTTTTAACAGGTGTTACAAGGGAGCAGGTGTTTCATTTTTAACGCAGTTTCACGGTGAATTCTCCCGTGACGGACTCACCGCAGGGCGGCTGGGCAAGGCCCAGTGGCGTGGGGCCCCATGTGGGGCGTGGGGACGCCCTCCGGGGCTCACTCTTTGGCTTTTATGCAGAACACGAAGTCTCTGCTGAGACCAGCTGCGGTCTAGGCTTTGGAAGACCCCGTTCACGTGGCTTCCATCCCCTGTTGGGGGCCCTGCTGTGACTGCAGTCCCGTGACGGAGCCGGGACGGTGTGGGACCCGGGGCAGTGGTCCTCCTCCCGCTGCTCGGGGCCTGCCCTTGGGAGGCGCCCGAGACCCCCGGGGCTGGTGGGCGCAGACTGGGGGGTGAATGGGTCAGCTGACATGGCGGAGTGCAGCGCCACCAGCGAGGTCCCTGAGCTCCCCCCAGCACACACGTGGCCCGGCCTTCTGATGCGCCAGGCTGACAGGTGTGACGTGGCCGTGCGGGCCCATGGAAGGCTCAGGACGCTGGGCCACGCCCGGAACTGTGATTTCTTTGGCAGGAAGAGGAACAAGGAACAGCCTAAGGGAAGAGCTCAGACTCCGTGGAGCCTCCCTAAGCGTGAACTCCAGCACCCTTGGGTGGGCCCAACCCCCAGAAGGGTGGGGCAGGTGTCCTTCCTGGGTGCCCCCTCACTGGCAGGGAGCTGTCACACAGCAGCTTCCGTGTGGTTCAGTGGGCATGGGCGCCGTTGGTGAGCTCTGCTTGACCCTGTCCACGCCCCCTGCTGCTGTCCCTGCGGAGTTGGGGACGGCACCCGCAGATAGCTGGGTCACAGCACTTGGGGGTGAGCATGGTCAGCCGGGTTTGGAAGCCACGCACCCCATGCGCCTTGCTGGGCGGTCTCCAGAGGACACAGCCGGGGGATGCTGGCTCCGCAGCCGTGCCACTGGTCACCCCTTGCCGAGATGGGTGCTGAGGGTTCATGGGGGGCAGCCAGGAAAATGAACCCCAGGTCTCATGCTGCTGCGGGGCAGCCGGACAGCCTTTGAGGGGCTCCTCGTCTGTATGTGGGGGATGCTGCAGATGGTGTCAGCTTCTCCCCACATCTGAGCCAGCTCTGCCCAACCACACCACCCTGAGACGTGCCGCCTGCCAATGACCCGGCTCCCCTCGCCAGCGACCGGGTGGCGGGACTCCACCCTGTCCATGCCCCTGCGGTGCTGTGCCTGCTCGGTGCCTCCTCACGCTGCCCCACGCTGTCCCCGGCCATCACCGCCCTTGGGGGACATCACGGTCATCGCTCATCGGGACAAGCTCACGGTTCCTCCAAGTGGCCGGGACTTTAGTCTCCTGCAGAGCAGGGAGGGGGTGGAAACACGCCACCTGCCCCCTGGAGTCGCCTTTCCTGTTTGCCGTGACGGGATAGGATTTCTAGAACCATCTTCCCCATCTGAACGGGTGAAAGAGATCAGGGTTGCCGAACCAGGAAGTCTGTCAGGACGACAGGTTCCTGGACCTGTTCCTGGAAACGCGGGCCGGCGGGTGTGGGCCGGCCTCACAGGCCCTGCGTCTGTCTTCATGGCCAGGCCCGGCCCCCGGGCCAACTCCCTGGCGGAGCAGCTTCTGGGGTGCAGGGCCCAGGCAGGGCTGGCAGAGGGTCCTCAGGAGGCCACGAGCAGGGGCCATACTGACTGCTGGGACCCCCGGCCTCCTGTGCACTTTGCCTTCTGCTGGGGGAGGAATTTCCGGAAAAGCCTGAGGGCCGGGATGTGCTGTCAAGCTCAGTCCTCTCAGAGGGCGGGGAGGGCGGCCCCAGCGTGGCCCTCAGAGCACTGCGGGGCTGGCTCACGGGAGTGGGTTTCTCCTCCTGGGCCCAGGGCTGTGTGCTCTGCACCCTGCTCCCCTGAGCAGGCCTCGGCCTCTGCAGGCCACGGCACGTGTGCTAGCTGCAGAAACACGCCGTCCACGAGCACAGCCAGCTCCCCACTGCCCCCACGGGCTGAGAGGCTTCTGGATTTGTTTTTCTGGTGACGTGGGATCTAAACTTCAACTAAGGACAGTGCAGTGGGAAGTAGGGTCTGTGGGCAAGGACTGTGTCACCCCTGTGACACAGGTGTCCATGTCACACAGCCACCCTGTCACATAGCCACCCCGTCACACAGCCACCCCTGGACACAGCCACCCTGTCACACAGCCACCCCTGGACACAGCCACCCCATCACACAGCCACCCCTGAACACAGTCACCCCGTCACACAGGCACCCCTGAACACAGTCATCCTGGACATAGTCACCCCATCGCACAGCCACCCCGTCACACAGCCACCCCTTCACACAGGCACCCCTGAACACAGTCACCCCTGAACACAGCCACCCCATCACATAGCCACCCCATCACACAGCCACCCCGTCACACAGCCACCCCGAACACAGTCACCCCGTCACACAGGCACCCCGTCACACAGTCACCCCTGGACACAGCCACCCCATCACATAGCCACCCCATCACACAGCCACCCCGTCACACAGCCACCCCGTCACACAGCCCCTGTCACAGAGCCACCCCGTCACACAGCCACCCCATCACACAGCCACACCTGGACACAGCCACCCTGTCACACAGCCACCCCATCACACAGGCACCCCTGAACACAGTCACCCCATCACACAGGCACCCCGTCACACAGCACCCCGTCACACAGCCACAACTGGACACAGCCACCCTGTCACACAGGCACGCCATCACACAGGCACCCATCACACAGTCACCCCATCACATAGGCACCCCTGTCACACAGCCACCCCATCACACAGGCACCCCTGAACACAGTCACCCCGGACATAGTCACCCCATCGCACAGCCACCCCGTCACACAGCCACCCTGTCACACAGCCACTCCTGTGAAGGGGGCCACAGGTGGTGGTGGTGCCCATGCAGCTCCCCGAGATGGAAGTGCGAGGGGTTTCTGGGACCAGCTGGGATCTTCAGACAGATGCCTGGTCCTCCCCACTTCTCACTGCTGTGAAACGGGGGTGCTGAGTGACATGTTCCAGGCCTGCCATTGCCGACGTCAGAGCTGCCTGGGCAGAAATGCCCAGGACGCTGGGCCCGAGTGGCGAGAGGGGCCAGCCCGGCCAGCGTGGCACGGGTGACCATGTGTGACTGAGCGTGTGTGTGTCGGGATGTGCGGAGGCAGAGGCTGGATGGACGCCCACAGATGGCTGTCTTTGGTCACCAGCACCCCGAGACCCACGCCGTTCCTCTCGAGCTGTACAGAGGACACCTCAGAGGACACCTGGCCGGCTGGGACGACGCCCCGGCCAGCGGGTCCCAGCCCTCGGGACTGTTGTGCCCGCTCAGCACCCCGCCCTCCGCGCATCTGTGAAGAAAGCCGGGCACATCGGCGCTGTGTCTGGGCAGCTCCCAACCCCACGGGTTCAGGTGGCGCCCCCCACCCCCTTGGCCTTCCCGCCCGGAGAGGCCCGTGTGAAGACCGGGACCGACAGAACGGCGCGTTCACGCTCAAGCCGGGCGCCCCTGACACGAGTGACCTTCTCCTCTGGTGTGTTGCAGCCCCAGCCCCCAAGAGGCAAAAATGCGACCACTGGACCCCGTGCGCCCCGAACACCTACGCCTACCGGCTGCTCAGCGGGGGCGGCAGGGACAACTACGCCAAGATCTGCTTCGAGGACCAGCTGTGAGTACCGGGGCGCGCAGCTGGCCCCACGGTCTGCCCTTTCTGGGCGCCCGCCCACGGGGCAGACCGCGTGGCCTCAGCGGAGGCGGGAGCGCCGTCCTGCAGAGCTGAGAGCGCGGCGGCTCCCTGGGAGGCCTGGGGTCGGCGTCTCTGGGTTGTGTTCGGGCGAACGCTCAGCTGACGGCAGGCGGCCAGGGCTTCGCACCGGCACCGGCTCTCCTGGCCATGGACGGTCCCCACCACCTCCCCCTGCGGGCCAGGCCCGCCCTCGCCTACTGTCTGAAGTGGCAACAACGAGCTTCCTCTCGGGGCCTGGCAGCGGGACGGCCAAGGTCAGGGTGTCCCGGGCGGGTCTCAAGGGCCCCCAGGAAGGATCTGTCCCAGGCTGACTCCCAGCTGGCCTTGGTCTCCTCACACTGCCTGCATCCAGCCCTCCCCGTCAGGGGGCCAGTCACGATGGTTGGGGCCGACCGGGAAGGCTTCCTGTTAACGGCACCGCCTCTCCCGAGGCCCTGCTGCCAGAGGCCCTGGAACCAGCCTGGGGGCTCCAGCATTCCCGTCTGGAGGGGGCCTGCACATCAGGCCACCAATAACTGCCACCAAGGGGAAGAAGCAGGGTGGGCCTGCCCGACAGGGAGGCCTTTCCTAGCCTCCCTCCAAAGCGGACCCTCCAGCCCCTCGTGTGCGTGGTTGCCCTCCTGCCCAGCCCGGCCTACCATCCACCCCTCCCCTGTCTGTGTCCTGAGTGTGCCATGAGCCCCGGAGGAGATGAGGGTTTGGGCCAAGCACCCAGCAGGATCCCAAGGTCAGGAGAGGGAAACCCTGGGGGTGGGACAGTCTGTCTCCACCAGAATCATGTCGCATGCCAGAGGGCGCTGTTCAAGGTCAGCCCAGAGCCAGTTTCCTCTGCTCCACAAGCCTGAAGCCTGCTCTGACCCTGGGCGGAGGGACAGCCACACCTACCGGTCTAGTCCCTGGTGCAGGCCAACAGTCCTAGTGCTAATGCCTGGCACACGGCCTAGTGCCAGTGCCCAGTGTGTGCAACATAGTTCTGACACTAGTGTCCGGCACACTGCCCGGTGCTGGCAGCCAGCACCAAGACCCAGTACTAGTACCTAGCACATAAGCCCTGGCACGCAGGACCTGGTACCAGTATCCAGCACACTTTGATGACTCCCTGTGAGGTCACTGCCCAGCCCAGGCCTTCCAGTATTAGTATCGTCACCCCGCGTGAAATCGGTACGTTTCCCCACAATAATACAGACAAGGAGACAAAGCCCCGAGGGTTGGGTAACTTGCCGCCCCTGCACACCGGCAAGTGGCCAACCAGAGTCCACTGCAGCCCCCGCGGCCCAGGGGACGGCCAGCAGCTGGCTCTGCACCCCAAGCGCAGCTTTCCTGCTTTCAAACGTGTTCTCGGTGCTCCGCAGAGCTAAGGCTAAGGCTGAGGCTAAGGCTCCGATGCTGAGAAGCAGGCTTGGGTCGGCCCCGGTTTCCTGGAGCAGCTCCTGGGATGGAGGTGCAGGGTCCAGAGGCTGTACTGCCCATGCAGGAAGGAGTGGGGAAGCCTCCGCCTTTGTTTCCTGCTGTGACCAGCATTTCCTGGGCAACTGCAGGCGTCACTGCCCAGGACAGACTCGATGGCCACGCTCAGCGGCCTGTGCCGCCCGACAGCCATGTCTCCAAACACAGGCCCCACAACCCCTCCAGGGGCTCCCGTTCCGGGCAGGACCTGTGGACCCCACATGACAGGCACTCGCGCCTCCTCTGTCACACGGTTCCGTCCTTTCTCCTCACCGTCCTCCCAGTCAAGTGACCGTACTCTCCAGAGGGGTTGAGGGGGCTGCACTTGGCGGGGATGTCCTGGTGCGGAGAAGCCAGCAGCTGGGGCACAGGGGCCGTCTTCCCACAGCAGGGAGCCGAGTCGCTCCAGCTCAGGCTGCACAGCGGGTGCGCGGGTCCCTGGTGCTCTGTCATCACCATCCCCAGGAGCGTATGTTCTGTCCCGTCGTGGGACACACTTGCTGGCCACTGTCAGGTCGCCCGGCACGGAGAAAGCTCGCTTCAAGGTCAGGGTCGGTATTTCTGGCAAACTCAGGACCCTCTCGAGCTTTGGTCGTGTGACTGTGAGTGTTGGCGTGAGGGGCATATTCAGGGTGGCCTTGAACGTGACTAAGTGAAGGCCCTTCATGTTCCTTTGTCTGCTTGTTTCTTTGTTGTTTGCTTGCGTGGGTGACCTGGGACTTACATCAGTTGAATTCCCAAACTTTCCTGTAGTTGAAACATCTCTCATGTATTTGCCAGCTGCTGGAAGCTTTGCTGCTGCGCCTTCTGAGCCACTCCAGTCATTAGCCGGTGGCCTCTGGGCCCCTCCCACTGCCATCCCAGGGATGACCTTGGCCTCCCCTCTGGGATTCGACCCCCATCACCTGGAAACCGTCTCCTCCACTTTCTCACGCTGTCCTCCCTTGTTTTGCTGGAGCGCATCCTCCAATAACATCCTGAGAAAAAGGATGAAGAGAGGTCAACTTTTCAATAGATTCTTCATGGTGCAAGTGTATTCATTTCCTCTCTCAGTTAATTGATGGTTTGGCTGCTTATCAGCTTCTAAATTAGAAATAATTTCCACTTTGAATTTTGAAGTCATTGCCCAGAACCAAAGTCCTCTCCCTCCGGCAGCGCTTGGGAGTGGAGGCTTGGGGGTGTGACTCGGTGTCCAGGGCAGGGGCTTGCTGACAAGCCTCCAGTCGCTGCACCCTGAACCCCACATTGTGCTTCTGGCCCTGCTCCACTCGGCTGCTCCTGCCCAGCGACTGCGCAGTGTCCATGAAATCTATCCCTGACACTGTGGGCAGTAGGGCCAAGGTTATTAAAGCGGGCCTGGCAGTAGGTCTGGAACCGCTGCGTTGGGGTGTTGCAGCGGGGAACAAATGCAGGGGAAGGTGTCACCAAGGCAGTAGGACGGGTGGTGGAGGGAAAATTATTTAGGGAAGGAAACGGGTCAGGGGGATTCTGTCTAATCTGATCTAATAGGATTCTTGCTCAAGGCAGACCTCACGGGAGGGCTGGAGGACAAGGCTGAGACATGGAGGGTCACCAGATATCACAGTTGACTCAGCCGAATCTCTGCCAAAAGCGGACAATGGTCTCCACATTTTGTCTTTCCTTTTTCGGGACGCTGTGATAAAATATGCTTATGCCCTGACAACTAGAGGATGTGTGACAAAGCAAAGAAAGGGCAAGTGAAAGCCTTTTTGTTTTTCCACATGGTGAAAGCAAAGACAAAGGAAAGGTAATGAGAGTATGAAGGGACCACGAAACAAATATACCTGGCTAAAACTGCCAACTAAAGGGAAGCAACGCTTTGACTGGACCACAGTAAAGATGCCCCGGCCCCCACATAATACCAAGAACACACATGCAGGAGGACTGAGGGCACCACCACCCTGACCCCCAGGGAGCCAGCGGGTCTGTAGAACCCGCCTTGCATGGAGCAGAGCCCCCTGGAGCCAGTGACCCATGGGACTCCTGGAAAGGTAAGTAGCTGCTGGGAGTGCGCTCAGGCTGGCTTGGGAGATTAAACTCCTGGAGGCTGAGCGCTGAGGAGCTCCCACCCTTTCCTGAGTTTTTCCTCCAGGAGCCACAGCTGGCTCTCAGAGTGCTTCTGACCGAGGGGAGGAAACGAGCCATTTTGAAACAAGCCACAGTGTTTGTCCTCCTTAGCAAGGACCTGCCTCCAAGGGACTGTGGTGGAGGACTCTGTGGACGTTGGTGGTGGCTGTGGTGGTAGCACACATCAGAAGAGGTGTGAGCCTGTTCCCTGAATCGTTGCAGAGTGTGGTTAGCCAGTGTTAATGCAACAGAAAATAATGCAAAAGAAAGTGACCTCCCTCAATGAGAAACCGTCTTAGCAGTCTTACCAATGTGGTTTACCAGAGACTAGCAGACCTGGGGGTGGGGGCACCCAACTCCGGGTTCCTCTGGCTTGCCACTCTCATGTAAGAGATGAAAGAAAAAATCTGACCAGCTCAGGGCTGCAGGGTCACTGAGAGGCCAAGACCTAATAGAACTGCAGAATTCTTTCCCTTGCCTCTCATCTCACCACCAGAGGACTGGGGTCCTGTGCATTGGAGGGAATTGCAACTGAAAAGAACTGCAAGGTTCAAACCTAATTTTAGAAAGAGTCTCTACCAACAGCCAAGATCAAGTGGAGAGATTAGCCTCTGACAGCTACAGGTCCAGCAAAATATAAACCCAGCCAGTCCCTGGGTGAACATAAAGCCTTGTGTTCAAATCCTGTTTACCTCAGGTTCTTTCACCCAGGATGCCCTGTCTGGCTTTCAACAAAAAAATGACAAGGTGTAAAACACAGTTTGAAGAGACAGGGCAAGCATTAAAACTTGACCCAAATAAGGCAGAGATTTTGCAATTAGCAGATCAGGAATTTAAAATGACTATAGATAATATGCTGAGGAGGTTAATAAAGAAATGTGCACAAAGTACAAGAAACGATGAGCATGTAAGAGAGATGGAAATGCTGAGAATGAGTCCAAAGGACCTGGTAGAAATTCAAAAAGCCATTGCAGCAGAAAGGAGGCGTGTCTGCATGGGCCTGTCAATAAACCAGACAGGCCAAGGGGAAATCCGCAAGTGTGGGAATATGTCGATGGAAACTCCCAAACTGAGAAAAAGAGGAAGGGGAAAAAAAAAACCAGAACAGAGTCTTCGAGATCTGTGGAACAGCTGCAAAAGGCTGAGCATGTCCTTGGAATGTCAGAAGAAGAAAGAGAGAAAGGAACACGAGTAACAGCAGTGTTATTGCTGAGAATTTTGCAAAGTCATTGCAAGACACGAAACCACAGATCCAGGAAGCTCAGAAACCGACACAAAAGATTAAAACATGTCCGGCTAAATACATCAATTCAAACATCAAAAATGTAAGGACAGAGAAAACACTGAAAGAATCTGGGAGGGGACCTTACCTTTAAAGGAACAGGATAAGCATTACTTTGGGCTTTTCTTCAAAAACTATACAAGCGGGAAGAGAGTGAGGTGGATATTTAAGCAAAGCAGCTCCGTCACCTGTGCAGAGGGTCAGACACACGCGTCTCCTGGCTCCTGAGGGCCTGAACCTGTGCACCCATGGGGGCTATGTGCAGGGGGCAGTAGGGGCTTTCAAGAGCCTGCCTGGTCGTGAGGGGACAAGGGGACAGGACATGGCAGTGGACGAGGCAGTGGGTCTGCCAAGGGGTCTTGAGAGCAGGCGCTCCCTACAAGCAAGATCAGAGTCTTCCACTAATGCTCATTTACATTTCAGGCTCATAGGAGAAAAGACCAAAAACGTCGCTAGAGGAATAAATATCGCCATTGTCAACTGTAAGTTCCCAAATGTTTTCTTTAGAATTTTGCTCAAAACTCTGATTGGATTTTCACAGATGCTTTAGTGTGATGTGGGTCTGTGTGCTATGCATTGTGTGTGTGGTGGGTGTGTGTGGTAGGTGTGTCCTGTGTTATGTGTGTGCCGTGTGTTGTGTTCCTGTTGTTCTTGTCTACCATTTAGTCTAGATTTATTTCTGGATGCAGCTTAAAAATATAAAAATTATTTTTCAGTGTCTCACTTTACTGATTCTTTGTAGTCCCTAATAAAAATAAAACCTGAAACCAATTAGAAGCAGACTTTAAAAACCACTGTACGGCTGGATCGCACAGTGTTATAAACCAATATTATCTCAATGAAAAATCACAGAGAACAAAGGAGGGCAGAAGGTGGGGTGAGACCAGCTAGGCCAGATGCGAGGGACCCTGGGCCCCCCCACCAGCCAGCTCTCTCCTCTGTGATCAAAGGCCCCTGGGGCCTTCAGGAAGCTCCTTTGGCCTCGTGAAGCCACAGGGAGGCTCTGGAAGGAAGAACAGTGGGGAGCAGGCTGGGTTTCCTCTGCCCCCCCCAACCCCAGCAACCTGGGTGCCTTGTCCAGTGTCGGGCGAGGGGCATCCCCGGGCTGCTGATCCAGTGGGCAACCTGAAGGACCCCGAAGAGGGGCTGGGGCTGTGGGGAGAGCCCCGCCCCACTGCAGAGCTCCTCCCTACTGCCCCATCCCGGGGGCTTCCTGGGGAGATGCGCCTCGGTGCCCCAGGCACCCTGAGTCCCTTGGACTGTCCTTTGAAAGCTCTTTCTCTTCCTTTCAGACGTGACGGGGAAAGTGACAGCCACGCAGTATTTCGATATGTACGAAGGGGGTAAGAAAACACTCTCCTTGTTAAGATCAGAAAGCAAAAGCATAGAGACAGACGAAAAACACACACACAGACATGTCAAGTATTCTTTCTTGGTCTCTTGAAAAGATCTCCAGGGGCTCACATGCGTGTTCTAGAACCGTCTCCACACGCCTCTCTCCAGGGGAGCACCGGTCTGCAGGTGTCCCCTGGGGAACTTCCTTTCTCTGACAACACTTGTCCCTGAGCCCGTGTCCAGTGACGGCAGGAGGAGGCATCTTTGATTCTGTTCCGTCTGTTGAGTTCTGGTGCTGGGGGGCTGGTGCGGTTTCCTGGACCCCCGGTGCCTGTCCTCTCCTGGCCACGCCCTTCCTGCGGGGCGGCCCGGGGGCCCACAGGGAGCGTGGGGGAGTGGGAGGCGGGCCTGTGTTCCTCCCTTGAGGCACAGCAGGTCTCTGAGCAAAGACTGAGCCAGGCCCGGGCTGGCCTGGGTGTCTGCATTCCTCGTATCCGAGGTGCATGTCCAGGTCCTGGGGCTGCCCTGACCCAGCTGGTCCCAGACCTTGTGGGTAATTGCAGGGGCCCCCACTGTGCTGCCGGCTCACCGCTTGAAGGCTGGCACCCTCTAATCGGCACACTGCTCACCTCACCCAGTCTGCGGGGAGGCTGCCTCCTGCCCTTCCTGGGCCGGACTCCCTCCACTTGGGGGATGCACACGTCAGGGGCTGTCGGGTGGACGAGAGGCCGAGGGCAGAGCGCAGGTGGGGGCAGGAGCTCCGCGGCCAGAGAAGACCCTAAAACTGATTTGCATTGACCCACAGATAACTCTGGACCAATGACAAAGTTCATCCAGGGCGTGCCCCCCAAGTCCCTCATCTTCATGGTGACCCACGACGACGGCAGCACCAGGTGGGCACGCGCAAGGGTCACCGCGGGGCCGGGGTAGCCTCTGAGGTCTCAGGCAGCGCCCCCTGGTGGCGGGAGGCCCCTGGGTGCAGTTGTGACGGGGCTGGCCAGGTGGCTGACACCCTGTGCACGTGCACCCCAGCTCAGCATCCTCCGAGCCTGCCCCTCCCAGTAACACGCCCGCTCGCCTGCACGAGGCTGTGTGGGCATGACCCCAGAGCCGCTCTCTGCCCTGTCCTCTCTGTCTGTCTGTCATCTGTCCATCCGTCCATCCATCATCCATCACCCACCCTCAGCTCTCCTCTGCCACGGGTCTGCACCTCCATCCCCGTGCGTCCACCCTCACCCTCCTCGCTGCGGTCCAGCGGCCTGTTTATTCAGCCGTCTGCAGGCGGCAGCAATTGTCTTCATTGCCAGTCGCGCGCAGGCAAGACCCCTGCACGTGCGGGAACGCGGGCTCTGAGCCTCCCGGTTTGGCCTGTAGCTTGGCCCGGCCCCGCGGCCGTCTCTGACCCGCTGGAGCCGGCTCACTGCAGGTGTGGGGGGCGAGGGGCGGGCACCGATTCGGCCCAGGGGGCACCCCAGTCCTGGTGCCTCCCGGCCCAGTGGCCTCGCCGCCCTCACAGCAGCTCTTCTTGCCGTCAGCTCCTCTGTGGAAAGAAAGTGTTTCCCTCCGACGGCCTCGGACACACGCCTGGGAAGCTCAGGATGAACTTATTTAGGAAGATCTCAGTGTATTGTTTTCTTCTCACAACAGCAGTGTTTTCTAAGGGAACGCTCACTTTTCTGCACATGAAGGGAGAGTTTGGGGCATTTGCTCTCACCTTCCGGCAGCTTCTGTGGCCCGTTCTGTGGTGCAAACAGCCCGGCGGGAAGGGCGGGCTGAGCTGGCTGCGCCGGCGGCACCAGGCCCCGAGACTCGGGCTTTCAGAGCCGACGGGGATTCTGTGCCGACAGCTGAGCGGGGCGAGTCCCAGAGGCTTCGCCTGCTTCCGGGCCGAGCCTCCCGGGCCATGGGGTCCCCGCTGCCCTGGCAGGGGCGGAGCCCCCCAAACCCCCCCCCCACCCCAACAGGCGCAGGGCCCACACAACCCCCCCCACCCCCGGCCTCCAGGTCGCTCACTTCCTTCTCGCCCCCAGACTGACGGAGAACGCCAAGAAGGCCATCGAGGCCCTGGGGAGTAAGGAGATCAGGAACATGAAGTTCAGATCCAGCTGGGTCTTCCTCGCAGCGAAAGGCTTTGAGCTTCCCGCCGGCGTGGAGCGAGAGAAGGTGAGCGCGTCCCACGTGGCTCCCGCGGACTAGCCGGGCCACGCCGGGCCCTCCCGAGCTCCCGTGGGCTCTGCCCCCCTGCCCCGCGCAAGGTGAACACCCCTGGGTTCTGCTCCCCATCCTGCCTGCCCCCTCAGGCGCCCTCCTTACTCCAGGAGAAGGGGCCAGGCCGTGTTTGTGTCCTCGCTGCCAAGGTTCGGGGCTGCAGGTTCACCAGGGGAGAACTTCCTGGGTTCAGCTCAAGCCTGCGTGGGGAGCTCTCTGGGCCCCGCTGCCCGGGCCCACCCAGGGGTGCGTGCCCAGAGGTGGCACAGCCGAGGGGGCTGTGTCCGCTGCGAGGCCTGCCGGGACACGTGTGACCTTGAACAAGCCTCTCCGGGCCTCGGCTTCCAGCTCTGTGCGCGAGAGCTCGGTGCCCGCCCAGAGCCAGAGCTGAGGGGGCAGAGCCCTATTCCCAGCAACTTCCACAGACTGGCCGCCTTCTCCTCCGCCCCGCACACGCGCGCCAGTCTGGAGAATGACGACCCACAGGCTTCCTCGGCCTGGCTGTGTGGTCTCGGGGAAGCCGCCTAACCTCTGAGCCTCTGCGTGGAAAGGCCAGGGCAGCGCCAGCCACGCAGGCCCCTATGGACTAAGTGAGAGCCGGGCCGGGAACCGGACAGAGTCCTGGAATCCAGGACAGCTAGGCCTCCGGGGTCGCCCTGCTGTTTCTCAGGGGAGCCTCCCTCGAAGCAGGGGCGCCCAGGTCCGCACAGCCCCAGGACCCACAGTCCCCAGGGTGGGCCCAGCTGCGTGATTCGGAGGCGCAGGGCTGGGGCAGATCCTTATGAGGAAATCTGTTCCGTGGTCACCCGCGGACTTCCTGCCACACCCTCCTCTTGCCTCCCTGCTCTGTCCCGGCTGTCTTGCCCTCCCTGCCTCCTGCCCCTGCACGGCCGCCCAGCCCCTCCAAGCGCCTGGCCCCCAGCCCCCAACGCCCATCGCTTACGGGGAGAGCACGGTGAGCAGGGGACACAGCAGCGCGCAGGGACAGCGGGGACGCACACGGTGCCCAGTGGCTGTCATTCCCACCAGCGTGGGGGACTGTCTAGACAGGACCAGGAAAGCCAGGAGCGAGACGAGACCCCTCTTTACCCGCGCGGTCAGCCCCTCCGCCGACAGGTCTAGCTTCGTGCCAAAAGCAAAGCCCCGTTGTTGCTGCAGAGAGAAGAGCCGTGGCCCTGGTCCGCGGGTGCTTCACAGGCGGGAGTGTCTGGAACAGGAGGCCCCGGCGCGGCCCGGAGCTCAGGGGGCTGAGAGGGGCCAGCAGCTCTCGCTGAATGCCGGGAACAGGCCTGCCCTGCCTGCCTGTCTGGGTTGAGACTTATCATCCAGTTGCTGCAAGAGCTCAGTGTAGACCTGACCGTGGCAAGCGGTCTCCTGGGCTATGAGAACTGGGGGGCGCGGTGGGGGGCCGGGCCCCTGGGGGCTGCTTACTCGGGAGCTGGCGGGTCTCCCGTGGCCAGGCTCCCAACACGTCCTGATACCGGAATTGTCAGGCCTAGTCTCCCAGCCAGGAACAGATCCCAGGCTGCAGGGCAGCGCTGAGCCCCGGCCACTAGACCCCCACGGGTTGGTGTCTCACGAAGCCGCAGCAGGAACTTCGCAGACGCTCAGACAAGCAAGCGAGAAGAGGCAGGTTTGTTTAGAAGAAGAAAAAGTTTATTGAGGAGGAAAGGAACAGAAATAAAGTGGGACTCCCAGGCCAGGGAGCCAGGCCAGGGAGGGGCAAGGAAGCCCAAGTGGAGTCGTGTCTCAGGGAATATAGACCTTCTTTCCCTGATGATTCTGCAGCTCCACCCGTCTCTGTGATTGGCTGGTTCTCGGCTCTCTCACTTAATTTGCTGCTGGGTGGGGGATCTTCACATTCCTTATCTAGCAGCTTTCTCTTTCCCCATTTGTTGCATCTTTATCTTTATGGCCCAGTCCTCCGATGGGCATCCCTGCATTGAAGTTAAACAGCTGCCCTTCTAATGTGTCCATAAATGAAACCACTCTCCATTTCTCCAATCTCCGCCTCCCTTTACCACCTGAAGGAAACCAGGACCAGCGTTAACAATGTTGTCCTTGGTCCTGGCATGTTTGTTTTTCCTAGTGGAATGGGTTACTTTCCCTTGGTTGTCCTTATCTCTGAAGCCTCCCTAAATTCTTCAGAGGTCCCCTCCTGCACTGTCCCTAAAACTGCCTAATTTCTAGCTTGCCCTGTGTCTCATTCCCACTGAGAGTGGGGGTCACCTTCGGTGCCGGGGACCACTGACATCTCATGGCGTGGCACATTGAGACTTGCAGGCCCTAGTTCCCGGTGGTGTGGGACACCTCAGTGGTCTCCCTGCCTCCCCACGCCCCCCCATCCCCAGACCCAGCTTCCTGGGTTCAGCTCGCGGCCACAACAGTCCTCCAGTGGTCTCCGGGCGAGAGGAGGAGCTGTGTGTCTGCACGGATTGGGCTCAGCGAGGAGGAGGAGGCCGGTTGGGAGCCACGAGCATTTACATTTCAACCGGTCACAATGGAGTAAAATTAAAATTCAGTCCGTGGGCTCCACAAACCCCCCCCCCCCCCCCCCGCGTTTCAAGGACGCAGCAGCCGCAGGTGACTGCTGGCGGCTCTCTTGGAAAGCGTGAGCTGTGGAACACTCGCTCCACACGGAAGGTTCTGGAGTGACTCTAGCTTCTGGCTCGAATGCTATTAAGAAATGCATTGAGAGGAAATGAGGTGCCGGTGGAGGGTGGAGCTGGTTCTCCAGGAGGCAGTTCTCTGCCAGGCTGGCCCTTCCCAGTAGCCTCCACCAGCGAGTAAGTAAAACCCCGTTCTTTCCTTTCCACAGATCAACCACTTCGATCCTTCGAAGAACAGATACTCTGGCTGGCCGGCAGAGATCCAGATAGAAGGCTGCATACCCAAAGGGCCCAGCTAGCGTTGCGCCCCCTTAATAAATATCTTTTGTAGATAAATGCGGCGTGGAGCGGCCGAGAGTCCTGTCCGGTGTCTGGGCGGCCGGCGTGGGTCTGCGGCTGCTTGTCTGTCAGCCAGTGTTTGCGGCCTGATCCGTGCTCCGGCGCTTTCATGCCAGTGTTCACCGTGGAGCTGGAGGCCTCCTTGGCTCTCAGTGGGACCCCCTGCCTACGGGACCAGAGAGAAGCCTTTCTCCCTCACCACCAGCACACCCCCTGCGGGGGACCGCCCTCCCCAGTTAATGAGCCGCCCGCAGAGGGCCGGGCAAGCTCTGGGTCAGCTGCAGCCCGGCGCCTGGCCCTACTCATTCTCTCCATAAACCTGGGCACCCCCAGCGGCGACCCCCGAGCTGATGGGGAGGGAGACCCCGTCTCTGCCTTCATTTTGGGGGGCCTCTGTCCAGCAGGTGTGGAGGAGAGCTGAGGGGCCAGGATCTGCTCTCAGGAGGCAGCTCCTTGGAGGCGCTTGGCAGCCATGAGGACACAGCCCTGCTCCCTCCCAAGGCCAGCGCCAGGACCTCCCAAGGCCAGCGCCAGGAGAGCCAAAGCAGGGTGCTGTGCCTTGGCTGAAGAATGTTTGTTAAAGCCACGGGGACAGCCCACCCCGACCTCCAGCATCCCCAGGGCGCTGACCACTCAAGCCCCAGTGGCTCACCCCTGCTTTTCCCGCTGCTGCGCGGGTGTGGGGCCCCTGGAGGAGCACCCGTAGGCCAGGAGCCTGAGAGCAGGGACACCCCCAAAGCCCTGCCCCTGCCAGGAGCCCTGCAAGCCCCGCATCTGCACATGCCCTTGCCCTGGGGACTGGAGAGTCAGCTACACGCCGCTGAGGGAGTGACCGCCCCGCCCTCCCCTGGGAGGGCAAGAGTGGGAGCGGCCATGGTCACGCGTGCTGGGTCCGGATGGGATCGCGGGGTGCTGCACGCGGCCCCTCGGGCAGCAGGGGAGCCCCTCTGCAGCAGGGTCTGCAGACCGAGGAGGAGAAGCTGGCGGAGCCCCTGCTGGAGCTGCGGCCTGGGGGCGGGGTCTGCAGAGGTGGTTGGGAACCGGGGTAGCTGGGGCCTGTTAAGGGGAACCTGGACACACAGATGGGGAGGATGCTACAGGATCGGGGTGAGGCTTCTGCAAGCCAAGGAACCCCAAAGATGGCCAGCACCCCCAGCAGCGGGGAGAGGAACCCAGGACGGCTCCCAGAGCCTACGGGGGTGTGGGGCACCCCAGACCTTGGACTCCTGGTCTCCGGACACGCATCTGTCTTAAATGGCACCAGGTATGGGCAGCTCTTTCCCTCCAGAGCTCTTGGGGGCCCCCACCCAGACACCCCGCCCCCAGCCATCTCACGGGTGCCCCCACCCAGGCACAGTACCCTCAATTGTCCAGGCCTGGTTCCTGCGTGGGCAAGTCCCGGAGACTGCGCTCCCGCCACCTTCAGCAGGCCCAGCAGGTTGGGGCCCAGGCCACAGCTTCCTGAAGGCCCTGGGGGTCCAAGTGGGCTCCCCTCAACACCCGGCTCCCGCGTGCAGTGTCCAGCGCAGAGTGGAGGAAGCAGCTGTCCTCACCCGCGTCCTCCCTCCTTCCCCAGCCCACGGAGGGGCCACCGCCCGCAGCTCTGCCGGGTCCTGACCCGAGAAGCCGAGACTGCTTCCCCTTTCATGGTTCCGGGCTTAGCGGCGCCCCTCACAGAAGCCCGTCTGCTCTCCCAGGAAGGAGGTCGCCCCTTTCTCCTCTGTGGTCAGAAGTCCGCCCCCCTCTCCTGGCACCCAGGTCTCCAGATCAGGTCAGGCAGCCCCAACCCCCACCCCCCACCCCGCCTTCAGCCTTGAGAGTCTGCAGCCCTGACAATTTCCACACACACGTCATTAAATTGATTGCTTTTCTCTGCTCACCGTCTGATGCTGTTGTGATGCCGCATCCAGGCCCGGCAGCCCCGCGGAGGCCTGCGCCTGCCCCCCAGCCGCCCCGCGGAGGCCTGCGCCTGCCCCCCAGCCGCCTGCGCCTGCACACCAGCCGCCCCGCGGAGGCCTGCACCTGCCCACCAGCAGCCTCCTCACGCTCCCGGCAGCCCTGCCCTGGGGAGCAGCTGGGGCTGTCACTCCTGGGGCTTGTCACCACCCCCCCCCCACCACAGCCAGGAGGGACCCCGCCCTTTCCATTGGCCAGGGACTGTGTGAGCGGAGAGACTGAGGGACACCCCGGGACCCCAAACTTGCTCGCTTTAAATGGGTTTTGCCATCCGCCCCATAAAGACAAAGCGTATTCTAAGTGTGAAGGAGCTTCGTGTGCACAGCGAGAGGAAGGCAGGTCTCCAGTTAAACACCCAAAGTTCCCCAGCCCCCGGTGGGCAATGCCCAGCAAACAGGGTTGGCCCAGAGCGGGCTCCCTGAGCCCCCCAAGCTTGCCCTAAATCTAAGACACCTTCTGAGGGACCACAGGACAGGGGCAGACGGGCAAGGCGTCTGGAAGGAAAGGAGCAAATTCAAAGCCCAGTCCAGGTAAAGGCCGCCCCGTCAGCCCCGCCAAGTGTCTGGTCTGCGCGTCTGGACGCCCGTCGCTGACCCGGCCCCGTGCTGAGAAGTGCGATTTCCTCGGTCTCCGTGGGCGCCCTCTTCGGGGCCTCTGCAAGGTGTTCCTCCCACTTCTCTGCCCCAGCTTCACAGGACGGGCAGGGAGCAGGGACCTTCCCTTTTTATGGAAATTACACCCTAACTCTACTGGCCAGCCCTCCAGGAGAGGCCGCTGGAGTCGGGGCAGGCGGGAGGGGGTGCTGCGTGCTGTGTGGACAGGAGTGTGGGGACACCCCTAATGCCTCCGCCTCAGCTAGAGGCTTCTGTGCCTGCCTGGGTCTGTGCCAGCAGCAGCAGCAGCAGCCTGGGGGTGGGCGGGGGGAGCAGGCCTAGTGTAAGAGGCCTCGGGATGATGCACAAAGCCGCTGGCCCCAGCGTCTTTGGAGCTGCTTCCAAGCCTGACACCCCTTCTCTAGAGGAAAGCGTGCCCCCAGGGACCTTCAGCAGGGCAAGGAGGGACTCGGCCTGGCTTTCCCTTGGTCAGAAAGTTAGTTCTAAGAGGGAGAGCGCTGTGGGCCTGGAGCGGGGGACTCCTTCTCCTGCACCTGGGGCTCCTGGGGCACCAGGGTGGGGATGCCTGACCCCTCCCCCTTCCCTCACGCCTCTGCCCTGCCCTGTCAGAGGAGAACCTCCAAGCTGGGGCCTTGTGGGAAGAGAGATCTGCTCCTTCCAGCCCCTTAGGGCCTTGGCTGAGATCCCTCTCCCCATTAGAGGAAGGTCACAGGAGGGACTGAACAACCTGCAGATGCCTCCGGGCGTGGGAGAGACCCAGGAAAGGGGAGCTTCTCCAAGAACTGGCACCAAGTGCCCCCCTTAAATAACACCATCAGCCAAAAAAGAAAAAAAACCACCACCACTCAAGAAAGCTCTGGGGAGCAGAAAGGCGGTGGGTGGGTGGGTGGGGGGAGCGCGCCAGCCCTATAAACAAGGGAGTGGGTGCGGCAGGTTTCCTGGCTCTCCTCTGCGATAACAGCTGTGGAGCTCTGCGCCTTGGGGCGGAGGGAGGTCTTCCAACCCAGGGGCTTTGTTACCCAACGCTGGCCTCAGTTTCCCTCAGCCAATAAAAGGAAACTAAGTTTGAGGAAAAGGAAAGCGGTTTTATTTGTCAACAAATGAGGAGGGCGGCGACTCATGTCCGAAAAACCACCGTCCTGCTCTTTGGCAGCGGGCAGGGGTATTTATACAGGGGGAGATGGGTAGGGGTCCGCGAAGGGGAGGGGAAGGGGAGGGGAAGGGGTCCGCACAGAGACAGTGGGCGCCAGCTCAACAGGGAGCTGGATGGGTGTCAGCTCCTTCATCTTAAGGGAAGGGGAAGGTGTGGAGGCACAGAGAGGGGTGATCGCCAACTTGTTTTCCTTAGGGCGAGGGGGAAGGGTCTGCAGGGAAACCGGTGGGCGCCAGCTTGTTTTTCTTCCCAAGGGGAGGGGAAGCTGCAACAAATGGGAAAGACAAGTCATCAATCCTGTTAATGCTAGATAAGGGGAATTGCAAAAAATGGGGGAAAGACAAACTTGTTAACTGTATCAGCTTCACTCTTACAAATAATCCACCTAAAAAAATCCTATGTCAGAAGTATTTGGGGGCTTCGGTTCTCCCTGTAGGAATCAGATAGTCTCCCTATAGGAATGGGGCAGGCATGTGCTCCCGGGGTGATTTCCGGGTGCATGAACGCCGGCACCCAGCGCTGACCCTGGCAGAGGGTGGCCTTGGTCTGGCTGGGCCTGAGGCCAGAGGGGGTCTCAGCTCTGGCAGGTCACACGCCTGAGCAGCCCGCGCTGCTGGAGTTAGCCAGCGTGTTCTGTGCCTCGGGGAGGCCCCATCTGGGACACTGGGCAGCCTCCGTGCTGGACAGCACAGAAGGCAGAAAGCCCCAGGGCGCCACTGCCCCAGGCCACCACGTCCTCCGGTGGCTCCCCCTGGCTCGCAGTGCAGGTTCCCGGGCCCCAGAGCCACGGCCTGGGCTCCCTGCAGGCGGTCAGTGGCCCCTGAGGGGCTGACCGGGCACCCACGGGTGTGGTTCTGGCAAGGGTGCTTCAGCATCTCTTTTTTCTGGTTTCGTTTCTGTGGCCTGACTGTTTGGTTTCACTTCTCAATCTGCTGGTTCCAGGAAAACAATGGGGAGGAGTGATTCACACCCATATAAAGGGGTGGAGGAAGGCCGGTGTCCGGCTGCCGGCTCCGTCCCCAGCTCGCAGGCTCTGTCCCCAGCTCGCAGGTAGGAGTCGGGCTGGGAGGGGAGCCCCACAATCCCAAAGCGGTGAGCTTCTGCCTTTGTAAGACCCACTCAGGGCACCTTCTAGAAAAGGGGTGACTGCCTGGGGCACAGCCCACCCCCCTTCCTGCATCTGGCCAAGTCTTGTGGCCCCACAGGGGTGACCAGGGACCCCTCTCTCAGGGCCCATCTTTGGGAGGGAGGCCTCGCGGTCCCTTGATGCTGTGATTTGCAATAATGTGTGCTTTGGAGCTGGTCCCCCTCGGGGACCTCGGGGTTTCCTGAGCAACCAGGCTGTGTTGTTATGTTAATGAGGCGACTTGTTATGTTAATGAGGCGGCCGTGGCTTAACCCCAAGGTGACCAAAGGGTGGGGCTGGTCACCTAAGGCGCCAGCCTGGTGATGGCGCTGGAGCTGTCTCCCACCTCCGAAGCCTGAGGTGCAGGAGGCAGCTCAGCGGTCAGAAGCCGGGAGTGAAACTGTCCAGGTCATGGAGCCTCCATGCCAACCTGCGGGGCCCGGCTGAGACATGCAGGGGCCGGGCCTGGCGCCCCTGCAGAGCGTGGCCCGCTCCCCATCCCCTGGCATGCACCTCAGCCCCGGGCTTTCTGAGCTCTCTCCTGTTACAATAAACGCTTCTGAGCCGTGAACCCCGCGGGCCCTCTCTGACCCCTAGGGGTCGCGTGGGACGGGAGGTCTGCAGCAGGTGGGTCAGAAGCCCAGGTGACCTGTCCGTCCCTGCAGCTGCGAATGGGGGTGGGGTGACCGGCTGGGGGTGGGTGATGGGGCTTTGCCGGGAGGCTCTACAGCTTTCTCCGGGTGGGTGGTTCAGAAAGGAGCCCCCGGGGTCTCTGGCTTCTGCAATGTTGGTCTTTGTGGGGCCGAGCCCGTTCCCAGCCTCTCTGGTGCGGCTCTGTGTCCACTCTCTCTGCTGCCCCTGAGATCACCCGTCGCGGGGTCTGGGCCCGCCCAGGGACCAGGTCCTCACAGGGGTTCCATCTGCCCACGCCTGCCCCCAGATGAGGCGCCTGCACTGCCCTGGCTGACAGGGCGCGCCGCCCACCCCCCACTCATTCCCATCGGGCAGGGACCGGTCCCAGGCCCAGCGTCTGCTGGCGTGGGTCTGCGTCCAGCGGGGCGGTCTCTGAGCCTTCGGGAGCTCGGGCCCAGGTGGGGGCGACCAGCGGGGCAGAGCACGGTGGGGGCTGGTGCCACTTTCTCTGCCGAGATGGCGAACAGGAGACAGGAGCGTGACCACAGGGGCGCGCCCGGGGGCTGGGGCAGCTGGCGTTGCCTCCCCACACGCCTCCCCACACCTGCGGGCTGCTGTCTCTTGAGCCACAGGCGACAGACACATACACATGTCCCAGCCCCAGGGCCGCAGACCGGGCACTGGGCCCCTGTGGGGCCTGCAGATGGGGTGGCTGAAGGGAGGTCAGGACGCCTGGTGAGGGGCCTCTCCCTCTGTCCCTGCAGGAGATCTGGACGCGCCCTCTGGCCCCGAGCGGGCACCAGCTCTCGCGTGACGGCCGGGATCTTGACCGTCCCCGATTCCCTCTGTCTTCGCTTCCTGACACCACCCAAAAGAAATGAGTTACTTGAAGCACCCACGGCCCCACAAGGCAGCAGCGAGACAGGCAGAGACAGCCCCAGCCCCGCAGGAGGGCACGCAGGACCCCCCCTGCCTCTCCCAGGACCAGCAGGTGCAGGGAGGGGACCGGGGCCCACAGATGGTAGCGGTCGGTTGGGTGCAGGGATGTTCAGGAAGGGCGCTAAGTGGCTGTGGGGTGCCCCCTCCCCCACGGTACCAGAACCTACATGTCTGGTCCAACCCAACAGCTCAGCTGGTGCCGCCCAGCCCCCATGGGTACTTCTGAGAGCCCCAGAGAGAGGCCCAGGCGAGGGCAATGATGGCCCTTGTGGATGGGGGTGGGGGCTTCTGCCCCAGGCGCTGGCTCCTCCCTGGGACTTTGCAACCACCCGCCCCCACCTGGCAACCCCAGGCCCCGCTGCTGGCAACCCACCTCCACCCCTCCCCATCTAAACAGCCCCCACGCGGCAGCAGCAAAGCCTCCCAGGACATGTGAGGTCCACCCCTCACCCCTGCCGCCCACCCCTCACCCCTGCTGCCCACCCCTACCCCTGCCGCCCACCCCTCAGCCCTGCCATCCACCACCGCCACCCGTTCTGCCCCCAGTTCCCGGGGTAATGGCCATCCCCGAGGCCAAGGCCTCCTAGCCCGGCTGCCTCTTGCAGGGGCCCCAGAGCAGCCTGTTCAACCATTATGAGGAGAAGGTGCGGCCCTGCATCGACCTCATCGACTCCCTGCGGGCCCTGGGCGTGGAGCAGGACCTGGCCCTGCCCGCCATCGCCGTCATCGGCGACCAGAGCTCGGGCAAGAGCTCCGTGCTGGAGGCCCTGTCGGGGGTCGCCCTGCCCCGAGGCAGCGGTGAGTGGCGGGGGGGGGGACAGGTCAGCAGTGCCCGCAGAGGCGGCCGGACACCTGGGGCGAAAGCACCCGGGTCCCACGGCCGCAGAGGCCGGCACCAGCTTCGGGCCCCGGGCGGCTCAGCGGGGCGGGTCTGCCTGTCCCCCGGCCCCGCGCTGAGCCCCTTGGCCGCCTCGGCACCCTGAGCGCCAGGCCTGGGCCCCGGGGGCTCCTGGGGCTGCCTGTGCGCGCAGCTGCGCTGCTCACCTTCCTGCCGGGGGATGGCGGCGTCTTTCTCCAGCGTTTCCTCGCGTTTCGAAACGTCCGGTGACAGGGGAGGGCGTGGGCAGGATTCCCCGGAGAGAGGAAAGGGTGTCTGTAGGGTCAGCCGCTGCGCGCGTAGGATTTGATAAAATAATTATAGAGGAAATGAAGAAGACGTGGCGTCGTCAAGGTGGGGAGAGGGTGGTCCTGCAGGGTCCCCCTCCCAGCTTCCGCCTGCGCCCCCACACCCGCCAGGCCCGGCAGGGGTTCGTCCTGGGCAGAGGGGAGGGCGTGGGGGCGCGGGGACCTGGGGAGGGAAGAGCCAGGACGCCCGGAAGGCTTCCTCTTCAGGGTGACGCGGGTCTCTGGGGAACTGTCCCTCAGGCATCGTGACCAGGTGCCCGCTGGTGCTGAAGCTGAAGAAGCAGCTGCAGGGGGCGCCGTGGAGGGGGACCCTCAGCTACCGGACGGTGGTGCTCAGCCTGCAGGACCCCTCGCGGGTGGAGTCAGAGATCAACAAAGGTGGGTCCCCCGCTGCGGGCTCTGCGGGGGCCGCGGCCCAGCGCCTGCCCCTCCAGGGCCTTGGGGCCTCCTCAGTCCCACCGGGGAGCCCTGCCCTTCCTTCCCGGCTCTGCCGCGGGCTGCCGCCCACCCTGCCCCTCCACCTCCTCCGGCTCCCTCCTGCTCTTCCTTTGGGTCTTTTCCTGCCCCTCCTCTGGGGGGCGGTGTCCTGCGGAGGACCCCCAGTCCCAGCCCACACCCCTGCTGGCCCTGCTGGCCAGGGCCTGGTCACCCTGTGTCCACACAGCTCCCGCCATGGGCCTGCCCACAGGTCAGTGAGCAAAGTTTACCAGATTCAGTCCCCGAGGTTCAGTGGCTCCGGCATCCTCTTCTGTGTCCCTTGGAGGGGCCGAGGGCCGTCCCCCTCTGCAGCCCTGCCCCTGTACCCCAGGCTTCTCCCCTTTCCTGCTCTCAGCCACCAGGCAAGCAGGCAAAGGATGACCCTCACCGTGTGGGTGCCTGGGGTCGGGCTGCGGGCAGGGCAGGCCGGCCAGCTCGAGGCAATCGAGGAAGCCCTTAGCCAGTGGCCTGATGACAACCCCCCGCCACCGGGAGCTGGTGACCCTCAATCTCTGTGGCCTGACCTTGTCCTTTGCACGCGCACCCTGCAATGTGACGGCTGCACCCACATCTCCTCACCAAGGCCCCCCAGTCTGTCTCCAGCCGTCAGCAGGTCCTGCAGAGCCTGGCCCTAGTTCCCCAGTGGCAAGGATCCCGGGGCTTGGCGGAGGGCAGGATCACTGCCACCCCCCAGACCCACCGAGTGGGCATCTGGATTTTACCCAGACCCCTCCCCCACCCGCTCCCACCCTGTGGGTCAGATGCCATGAAAGCAGAGAAACCCGCCCGGGCGGGGCCGTGACAGGATTCAGGGGCGCAGTGCACACTGAAAGCACAGGGCTCCTTGTGCAAAACACTGGACTTGCCTGCAGGCGAAAGCAGACCTTTGACCCTCTGGCCACGGGCCTCCTGGATGGCACAGGTGTCTCTCTATGACACAGGTCCTGGTTCGGGGGGCCCATCTTTTGGTCTGGGAAGTCTCAGCCCCATGTGGCCTCAGCGCCATGTGGCCACTCGCGAGGGGCCACCGGCTGGTCCCTGCAGGGCCTCAATTCCACCCTTTGTGCGTCGCTTGGGGTCCTCATGAAGGGACCCCTAGAGTCGCCATGCCCTGTGGCCTGGCCACCCGGGGGCTCCCACGGTGCCTGTGAGATGTGCTTCCAGCCCAGCCACTGGGGACCCCACCTGGGAGGGGAGCAGTGGGAAGAATTTGTGGGTGTATATTAAAGCCACCGCGTCCACGGGAAACAGTACAAAGAATAAAGGAGAGCCAGACCCGAATGCCCAGAGGGAACACCTGGCCCGTGTGCCTTCGTGCCAGGTGGAGGGGGCTGTGGGGTCCTGTGCCCCGAACACGCGTCACCTCTCAGACGCTCACTCATGAGGACCCTGGGTCTCCCCGCTTGGCCTCCGCAGCCCAGAACACCATCGCTGGGCACGGTGTCGGCATCAGCCACGAGCTCATCACCCTGGAGATCACCTCCCCCGAGGTCCCGGATCTGACCCTCATCGACCTTCCGGGCATCACCAGGTTGGCTGTGGGGAACCAGCCCCCGGACATTGGGGTGCAGGTGAGCCTGTCTGGAACTAGGGGGGTTGTCGTGCTGACATCAGAAGACGTCTGAGGACTCTGCTTGTGTCCCCAAGTGTGCAGGTGGCCCCAGCCCCACTGAAGGGTCAGGGAAGCAATAGGAGGGCCCTTGGCTCGACGAGGCCCGGCCCATCCCTGGGGAGCGGGGTGGGGGTCAGCGTGCGGGCCCAGGTCCAGGGCTACCAGCTGCACTGATGCTCTGAGCATGTCAGCAGTTTGATTTTACCTGAAGTCTGCTAATTTTAGCAGTAATTTAAAAAACGATTGACCCTACATGCGTTCATCCGCACAGGCTGACCGCTGGTTGGGCAGGAGAGGCCAGCACCGTGGGTGGAGATAGTGCGACCCAAGCGGACCGCCCCCATCAGGGAACCTCAGGGCAGGGTCTGGGAAAAGCCAGGAACTTACCAGAAACACCTGCAACGAGTCGACTTGCTCAGTCTGAGGAGCCTTTATCCTCACATGGGGATGGCCTGAAACAGAGGGTCGGCGGCTCCCTCTTTTGAGGCCCAGACCCTGAGCCTGGCCCCTCCGGCCCCCCGGCCGCCCCGCTGGGCACCCGTGGGCTCCTCGCCCCACTGCTTCATGACTGGAAGGACCTCCTCCAGGGGACTGTTCTGGGGAGCAGTCGTTGCCCCGAGATTCTGTGAGTCACAAAGTGACCCCACAGGATGGCGCAGGAGTGAACTGAATTGCACGGACATGTAAGAACGTCTGTCCCCGGCGACCTGCCCTGCAGGCTCCCATGCGGAAGGAAAGGGCGCTGGCGCGGGCTTTTGAGGGGAACCTCGCCCGCGTTCCCTTCGCCTGCGTCCGAGAGGACGTTGGAGTCTCTAGTGAAATGGCCCCTGCGAGCCCCCTCAGCCCGCGGGCGGGGTGCCAGGCTTGGGCTGGACTGCGCGGGGACATGCCCGGGGTCGCCCCAGCACCCGCCGCTGGGGAAGGGCACATCGCGACAGGGCCCACGGCTTTTGGGGGCACCATGCACACCCCAAACGTAGAGCCGCACCACACACACACACACTACAGTCACACCACACGCCACGCACCACGTACACCCCATAGACCCACAGCACACACACACCACATGCATGCACCCCTGCACACACACACTACACACACTGCAAGCATGCACCCCTGCACACACACACTACACACACACCGCATGCATGCACCCCTGCACACACACACTACACACACACACCCACAAGCATGCACCCCTGCACACACGCTACACACACACAACGCACGCATGCACCCCTACACACACACACTACACACACACACACCCCGCATGCATGCACCCCTGCACACACACACATACACACACCGCACGCATGAGCACACTCCTCCCATCAGAGGCAGCAACTCAGGCGTCAGGGGGGAGGGCGGCTCTGCAGGGAGAGGAGACCAGGGAGCCTGATGCGGGCAGGGGGTGGACCTGCTGGGGCGGCACCGGGCCGAGTCCCAGCCCAGAGGCCAGCAGGGGCTGCACTTGGGACAGCCGCCCTGCCTAGCGTTGGGGTGACCAGGACGTGCCTTCCTTGTGCCCCTTGGCCCCAGATCAAGAACCTCATCAAGATGTACATCCAGAGGCAGGAGACCATCAACCTGGTGGTGGTGCCCTGCAACGTGGACATCGCCACTACTGAGGCGCTCAGCATGGCGCGGGAGGTGGACCCCGACGGCGACAGGACCCTGGGTGAGCACGGGGAGCCAGCTCCAGCCAGAGGGGAGGGAGACACCGGTCTAGAAGGTGCTGGAATGTGGCCGCCTCTGAAAAGGCCACGCTCCTCTGTCCCAGCGAGAACCCGGGGCCAGGGCCATCTCCACTCACAGGCAGGCGTGGGTGTGTGGCCGGGATTTAGAGGTTTTCTTCTTCCTTTGTCCCTCATTTGCACTCACCCCCATTCTGGATGTGGGGCCAGGCTGCCTTGCGTGTCCCCCATGAGGGTCCGGGAGCAGAAAGGCCGTCAGCTCCACTGTTGCACAGGTAACGTTCGCACCACCTCTGGGTGCGAGAGGCCTGGGTGACAAGTGGACCTGTTGCCAGTCGCCTCTGTGGTGCCCGTCTGCAGAATTCATATTTGGCCTGGCTCTTCCAGGGGCCTGGGCACCCCTAAATCCCCTATAAAACACCCTCTCCCTGGACGAGTGCAGGAATGAGCCTGAGAGCCGGCGACCTGGTCCTCCCGGCCGCTGTCCTCAGATCCCACCAAGACACGGGGTGACCAGGGCCTCCCTCACTGGCAAGCCTCAATTTTTATGCGCTCATACTTTGTCCCCGAGTAACACGTGCTCAGGGATCTTCGTGGATGGTTTCTGGTGCCGGGGAAGGGCCTTCCGGGCTGTGGTCTCCCCTCCCCGAGGCGCTGCTCCCATAGCACGACCGTCTGCGTGACAACCTCGAGGCGGAAAGGACGCCCTCGGGCAGGACGGTTAGACTCAGCCAGCAGCTCCCTGGCCCAGGAGCCGGTGCTGCGGGAAGAGGTAGACGAGATGGCCGGCCGTGACCACCGAGCCGGGGTCAGGCCAGGACCAGGAGGCGGCGTTCAGGTGTCCGCCGTGAGCCGAAACGCAGCGGTGATGGCCTCATGGGCCACAAACATTAGGAGCTCGAGCTTCCGGCCCCGTTGAGCAGGAAGGCTGGGCCAGAACCCGATGGGGGGCACAGGTCTGATGTGGGGGGGCGCCTGGTACCCGGTACCCGCGGGCGCAGGAAGCAGCCTCTAGACTTGTGAGACAGGCAGGGAGAGAACCGGCGGCCTCGCAGCCGGGGACAGCTGTGGGGGCTGCATCCTGGCCATGCGGGAGCCCCTCGCCCATGCCAGCCCGTCCCCCTGTGTCTCGCCTTCCCACAGGGATCCTGACCAAGCCCGACCTGGTGGACAAGGGAGCCGAGAAGAACGTGCTGAATGTGGCTCAGAACCACGTGTTCCCCCTCAAGAAGGGCTACATGATCGTGAAGTGCCGGGGCCAGCAGGACATCATGAACAAGCAGAGCCTGGCCAAGGCCACCGAGAAGGAAATCAGTTTCTTCCAGACGCACCCGCACTTCAGGTGAGTGTCCGGAAGCGGCACCTGCCCGGCGGCCCAGGCCCTCCTGCTCTGCTGCCAGAGTCCCCGGCTCACTCCATCTGGTTGCTTCCTCTGGGCCCTGCGACCCAGTGGCCCCTGATGGCATTACCGGTGCGGGGGTGGGTGGGGGGCCGCTGTGGCTTCCCAGAGTGCTCTCTCCTGCATGATCCTCTGAGCCCCACACCAACACCCACGCAGGAGAGGGTTGTCCTTTTTTTTTTTTTTTACATTTTCCACTCTTTTTTTTTAAAGGTTTATTTATGCATACAAGAACTGGGGTGTAGCCCAGAGATGCAGGGGGGTTAGAGGACTCACCAAAGACAGAATGAGGAGCAGAACAGGCAGATCCACTGAAATACCCTGCTGAGGGGAGCAGCGGGGAGACAGGAGAGGTCTGCTGCGCCCTATGGGTAGCTCCCTGGCCGAGGATCGATCTCCTGCTGCAAGGGCTGGAGTGCTTCACAGTGCTGACGCTGAAGCACTTGCACCACCAGGGAGGCCCCGGTCATCCCACTTTTATAAACGTGGGTGGTGAGTGCATGGAGACAGACCTCCCTTCCTCTCTCTCCCAGGACCGTGTCCTCTGCCCTCAGTCACCGCGATCAGACCTGCGGTGGGGCCCTCATCTCTGAGGGCCTGTAGGCGCTCCTCAGTGTCCGCTGGCTGGGCTGGCCCTGGGTTCTGAGGTCAGAATCCAAAGGTTTGCGTTTCCAAAAAGCCCCCCGTGGAGGCGGATGCAGCTGGTCCAGGGGCCACATGTAGGGAAAGTGCAGTGACCCCCGGGGTCCCGCCTGAACTCCTGTTATCAGCAGACCTGCTGCAGCCACCTGCCTGGGGTGTGGTCCTGGGCAGGCGACTCACCTCGCGCTTCCATGTCTGCCTCTTTCTCTGAAATGGATAGTGGTGAAACACTTCAGTGTCTATGAAGCCCTTTAGTGCCAACTGTAGATGTAGTGTCATTCAGTAGAACTCTCTAGAACCTACTCATCTGGCTTGATTGAAAGTTTGCACCTGCTGATTATAACTCCCACTTCCCCATGCCCAGCCCCTGCAGCGCATGCCACCCTCTGATTCTACAAGGTTGACTATTTTAAACTCTGGCGTGTGTGCGGCCACGCGGTGTTCGCCCTTCTCAAACAGACTCGCTCCACTCAGCGGCATGCCCTCCACGTTCATTCCGCTGTCACATCGACAGAACTTGCTTCTTGTTCGGGGTGGAATGTTCCATTTATCCATCCATCCAGCCTCCAGCATTGAGGTTGCGTCTGCGTCTTCCGGAACGTGGACAAGCACGCCTAGGCGTGCTCCTGTCTCTTTGAGATCTTGGTTTCCTTTCCTCTGGATATGTACCCAGAAGCGACATTGCTGGATCACATGGCTGTCCTCTTTTCAATTTTTCTGAGCCACTTTGGCACTGCTCCCCACACAGCTGCAGCAGCGCCCAGGCGCCCAAGGTCGCCACGTCCTCCCTTGCATTTGCCTTTCGCTTGTTTTGTTCTGCAAGACCCATCCTAGCAGACGGGAAGTGGTTTTGATGGGCAGCACCTAGCTGATAAGTGACCTTGCGTATCTTTTCATACACTTATTGGCCATTGATATCTTCTTTCATGGAAGGAATTTCTATCCAACTTTTTAGCCCATTATTGGGTTTTTAATTGTCTTTGTTATAAAGTTTTAGAAGATTCTTATATATTCTTGTAATAAACCCTTCATCAGATACGGGCTTTGAAAGTACTTTCTCCGGTTCCATAGGCTGCCTATTCCTCTGTAGATCATTCCCTTTGCTGTGTAGGAGCTTTTCAGTCTGATGTAGTCCCCACTTTAGTCTAAAGTTTAGTCTATTTTTTGCTTTGCTTGCCTGAAATTTTGGTGTCATATCCACCGAATCATTTCCAAGACCAATGTCATGAAGCTCTCCCCCACTTTCTTCCAGGAGTTTTATAGTTTCAGGTCTTAAATTAAAGCCTTTAATCAATTGTCAGTTGATTTTTGTGCCTGGTATAAGATAAGGGTCTAGCTTCATTCATTTGCCTATGGATATCTAGTTTCCCCACATTTGCTGAAAACACTATCCTTTCCTGATTGTGTATTTTTGACATCAAAGGTCAGTTGGCCATATGTGCATGCATTTATTTCTGGTCTCTCTAGTCCATTTTATGGGTCAATATCTATTTCTTGATGCTAGTACCATACTGTTTTAATCACTATAATTTTGTGATATGTTTTGAAATCTGGAAGTATGATGCCTCGAGCTTTGATTTTCTTGGGTTTCGTTTAACTGTTGGGGATACAAAATTAGTAGAAGAATAAAATATGAATTTGGACAAACCACTTTATATATACAAAGTTAGGTTGTTTTGTTGCCTGATAAAAAGATCATTAACCTTATGAGTTTGTTGGGATGATTAAGAGAAAACGACCAAAACGTTCCTAGCACCATGCTTGTGAGGTATAGTCTCCCTCCATAATTAGAACCCATCTGCCTCAGGTTCCACCTGGCCTTCCTGAGGGCAGGTGGCCTTCCCAGGGCTGAGTTCACCAATCCATGCTCCAAGCCCAGTCCAGAAACTGAAGCTGTGTCTTGTTTCAGGGCTCTCCTGGAAAATGGAAAGGCCACAGTGCCCCGCCTGGCAGAAAAGCTGACCGCCGAGCTCATCTCACACATCACTGTGAGTCAGTGGGTTGCTTTGCAATTTTAAAAACTGCCCAGTGCTGGGGCTTCCTACCCAAAGCTGCTCAAGTCACTCCCAAGGTCACGAGTGGGCTAAGATACCCTGCCAAACTGCCCAAAGGAGCAAACCAGCACATTCTGAAAACCAAACCCTCAAGGTCAGAGGCTCATAGGAGAGTGTCTTTCCCTGACACGGAAACAAAGAGTTGAACCAGTCCACTGGGAGGCAGCAAAAAAGCCAAAGAGGAGAGCGATGAAGGTTTAGCGGTGTCAAAGGAACCAACGCCGGCTTAGCAACTTGTCCTTCTTTTTCGTGGGTTGTTAACTTCATGGTGTAAAAGCATTTCCCCGACCTCAAACTTGTAAGAAATAGTGTTCAGTTTTTCCTGGTTCTCAAAAATGGGAACCACATGCAAGGTCTCATGGCATCATTAAGGAGAGGGGGCCCTGGTGCCTAATGAGATGTAGCACATCTGTAGGGCCTGCAGGTGGGAGGGGGGGCTTCCTGCCGGGCTGAGCAACAGGGAAGGCTGATTGTTACCTGCGGCCGTGCAGCTGAGCCCAGGCCTGCACCCCAGGCCCTGAGGAATGATGCGGCACCCCGGTGGAGGCCTCCCTCCGGGGGCCAGGGCGCTCCAGCCCCTCTGTGTGAGCCACCTGGGGAGCTTGTTAACACCCAGGGTCTGGATACTATTTCTCCACATTTAAATAATTTGAAGTTAAAAGTTGTACCATTTAAAAATTTTTTGAGACTCAAGACAACCATGATGATCATCATCTGAAAATCAGGAAAAGGTGAATCCATTTCTGCCTCTAGAGTCACATTATCCAGGGAAAAAAAGGGCAGAAGGGCCCGTGAGAGCTGCTGAACTTCCCCTGTCCAATGTGTGGGCCTGCTCCTCACGGACGCCTCCCGGCCACCCGCCCCCACGCCGGCCGCAGGGAGCTCACTCTCCACAGCAGAGCTTGGCTCCGGTCTCCTCAGGCGTCTGCACCTGCCGCGTTCGCCTGGGCAGGCTGCAGAGGTGGCGAGCAGGTACCTTTGGAACTCGTGCCTCCTAGCTCAGCGGAGACACCAGCAATTGCTCGTCTGAGCCCCGGGTCTGCGTCCCGCCGTGCGCTGCAGACCTGGGACGCCTGCATGACCCACGGGCAGCCACCTGGCGGGCCCGGGTCCTCCCTTGTCCCAGTCTTCATGGTCCTCTGCAGCGGTGACCGTTAAGCCCGGACCCAGCCTGACACCAGCACCCACGATCGCAGTTGGGGCTCCTGGCTGGTCACCCACAGACGGTCACTGAGGAGCCTTACAGCCATTCCAGGGCGCTGTCCTCTGAACGCAGAGCACCACCAAACCAAAGGCCCCCGCGGGCCCACAGGCGCCCCTCCACTGTGCAGCAGGACCCAGGGCTCCGTACCCGGTGCCGCCTTCCCCGCCCTGGCAGGCCCCGTCCCGGCAAGCCCCGCACAGTGACGGGCAAGCCGGGGCCCCTGGCGTTCCAGTGGGATCTGCCTGTAAACTAAGCTGCCAGCAGCGTTTCACCCACACCCCTTCACTGTTTCTGTTATTTTGTTCAGAAATCGCTCCCGCTCTTAGACAACACAATAAGGGAGAGCTACCAGCAGGCGACGGAGGAGCTGCGCCAGTGCGGGTCCAGCATCCCCACCAGCGAGAGCCACAAGCTGTTGTTCCTGATAGAGGTGAGGCTTCTGGGCTCCGCCGCCTCCCACGCCCGGAGCCCGGTTCTGTCCGCAGGCCCCTGCAGACGGCCCGGCTTGGGGCGGTCCTCTGAGTGTCCCTCCCGGGGTGGGCCGGGACCCTGTTTTGCTGGGGCTGCACTCCAGGGGTCTACCCTGGGGGCGGGGGCGGGCCCATGAGCTGATCCCCTTGCAGCCCCCCAGTCCCTGGCACCCCACACTGCAGCACCATGTCCTTGCTCTTTAAAATAATTCAGCATAGATTGATGATTTTAACGTCATTTTCAGAAAATAAAGGGGTTCAACCGTGACATTGAAAAGTTAATAGAAGGAGAAGAAACTGTAAAGGCGAAAGAGATACGTTTATGTAACCGAGTCAGAAAAGAGTTTAACAAGTGGGAGCTCATCCTTCAAGACCATAGGCAAAAAGGTCAGTGCTGGGGCCGGGTGACCCCAAAGGGGTCTCGTACTCACCGAGGTAGAGCTGCCTCTGGCACCTAAAGCGTGTGCGCAGAGCAGAGCATGCTTGCTCCAGAGGCCGTGGGCCTCAGCAACCGCCAGCCGCTTCCTACCCCCAAGGCGGCCTGCCCAGAGCGAGGCCCTCGCTCCCAACCAGAGGCAGCTGGGCCAGCTCTGCTTCTCCTCACGCCGTGCTGTGAGGACAGACCATGCACGCACCCAGCTCCCCCTCTCTTCTCCCCCCGGCCCAAGGCCAAAGGGGGCAGTGGTGGGGCAAGGACCTCTCGGCTTTGCCAGGCAGAGTCTGGGCTCCAGTGGTGCCCCCACCAGAGGCCTGTGAGCATGTGTGTGGGTGTGGGTGTGTGCACAGGTGTGTGCAAGCATGTGATGTGTGCCTGTGCTCCGGCACTTGATACCAGCACTATCCACTTTGGTGGCAAGACCCCAACGACAGTGGGGCGTGTTCTTGGAAGATCTTCAAGTTCTTACAAGAATGTTTGGTGTCTATTTTCATTGAACGAATCAGACCCTTTTCTACCAGTTATGGTTTTTTTAAAGATTTATTTATTTATGTGTACGAGAGCTGGGGTTCAGCCAGAGGTGTGGGGGGTGGGAGGGTTCACCAGAGACAGAGCAGGGAGCAGAGCACGTGGATCTACTGAAATCCCCTGCTGAGGGGAGCAGCGGGGAGACAGGAGAGGTCTGCCACGCCCTGTGGGTAGCTCCCTGGCCGGGGATCAAACTTGCCTGCAGAGGCTGCGGGCAGCTTCATAGTGCTGCATGTTAACCCCTTGAGCCACCAGGGAGGCCCCTTTTCTACCAACTATGAATTTCTATTTTTTTTTTAAAGATTTATTTATTTGCTTGTTTGTTTATTTATTTATTTATGCAAGCACTGGGTACAGTCAGAAGCACGGGAGGGTGAGAGAATTCACCAGAGCCAGAGCGGGGAGCAGAGCAGGCAGAAGGACCGAAGCACACTGCTGAGGGGAGCAGCGGGCGGCTAGAGGGGTCTGCGCGCCATGTGGGACCCTCCTCCGGTGGCCGGGGAGCAGCCGGGGATCGAACTGGTGCTGCAGAGGCTGCGGGCAGCTTCACAACCCAGTGCTCAACCGCTGCGCCACCGGGGAGGCCCCCAACTATGAAGTCTTAATGTCTCTCTCAGGGCGATGACTTAAAATTGCAACATATTTTCATAGAATAAAATTCGTGTTTTCTAAAAGTGGTATCAGGCCATGAATATTTTTTCACTATGAAAAAAAAACTCCAAGTAGAAACAACACTGCAGGTGCCCCTGGGAGGGGGTGTCAGAACGCCTGTGGGATGATTAGGGTTCGCGGTGGTGAATGCGTTTGTTGTTGCAGTGAAAACCATTGTCCACAAGGAGGTGTCCCAGTACGAGGAGCAGTATCGCGGCAAAGAGCTCCCCGGGTTTGCCAGCTACAAGACCTTCGAGGCCATCGTGCAGCAGTACGTGAGCCAGCTGGTCGAGCCCGCCCTCACCATGCTGCACAACGTTGCGGGTGAGGCCTCTCCCACACGTCTCGGGGACCCCGCTCCTGGGCGCCTCGCAGGCTGGCCCAGCAAACACATCAACATAGACAGACTCATGGGACACAGCGGCTCAAGTCAAGGGCCAGAGGCGGGGCATGGACACAGCTGTGAATTGCAGAGTACATGGGACCAACCACGGCTCGGTGTCCTGAGCGCAGGCGTGGGGGGCGGGGGCCAGCAGGGAGAGGGGCCTCACACACCAAGGGGAGGACCACTTCCGGGCATGAAACCTCGCCTCTAGATGTCTGTCCTGCCCCGACACGCCTCACCCTCTTGGGGCCCGCAAGGGAGAGTCAGACGCAGACCCCGCAGAGGCGCACACCCCACAAAGATGGCAGGAATTAATCTCTCCCTGGGATTGACACCCCCTTCTCTCTTGGGCTGCAGATCTGGGGAGCTGAGCCCTCGACGGGGCGCGACCTGCCTGTGTCTTTTACCCCTTCTCACCCCACCTGCATTTCACTGTGTCTTTGTTCTTTCTCGCATTAGAAATGATTGAGCTCAGTTTCATCGACACAGCCAAAGAACGTTTTGGTGATTTTCTGAACCTGCATCAAGTAGTCCAGGTGAGCGCCCAGTTTGCTTGCCCATCGTCCGGCGGCCTGTCCGCGTCTGGCCCCGCGTGGCTCTGGGTGTGTGGTCTGGAAGCACGAGCCCAGGCTCCGGCCGTGGGACTGGGCAGGCGGCTTTGGGGAAGGCGGCTGCTGTGCTTCCTCTCGGAGCCGTTGGCCTGTGCTCCTGGGCTTTTTAGCCCACGGCCTCCAATCCGCAGCCTGGCAGCGCGGGGCTGCCGCTGGGGCCTGAGCACAAGGCTGGTTAGGGACGGGTTGGCGATTTGAATCGTTTTCTAGCAAAAGGACAGCAGGGCCTACAAGGCCCCTCCGGAGCTCTGTGGGTTTCCACTAAGCAGCTCGAACCCCTTGCAGTAAAGGGGAGAAGGGTGTTCCCGCTCCCTTTGAATTCAGGACAAAAAATCCTCTGGCCTGGCCTGGGCCAGTGGATCAATAGCTCGTTCTGTCACTCCGGGCAGCCAGAAAAAAAACTTCGATTACGTCTCCTACACGTAACTTAAGTGTCCTCTCCGAGCAGCTGATGAGTCAGGTGGGACAGGGGCCTGCGGGAGGGCGGGCCCGCCAGGCTTGGCAGCCCCTGAAGCTCCTGTCAAGCCTCAGGCCTCCTAAGGCCTAAGGTTATTTTAAGTGTGATGTTCCGCATAATAGCAGTTTTGAAGTTGTTGAAACTGCAGGGGTGTAGGGAGGGGAGAAGCCAAGGCTTCTCGTTCTTATCCAATCAGAGCAAGATCAAAAGCATCACACAGAAACAAGTGGGAGCAGCAGAAAACCTGATCCGGCTTCAGTTCAGCATGGAGCAGCTGGTCTACTGCGATGACAGCATCTACGGCCTGGTTCTGAGCAAGGTCCGGGAAGAGACGTTCAGCCCTGCGGTCCAGACTTTTGCGAGTCTGCAGGGCGCCCACCCTTCAAAGGCGAAATCTCCGATTTCCTCCTTCACTGAAATCGGGGTGCACATGACCGCGTATTTCTTGGTGAGTGTGCAGGGGCACGAGTTGAGGGGCCGTCAGGGTGGCCCCTTCTGCAGCCCCTTCCGCGGTATGGGCGCCCCACGGCTGGAATCGTGATGCCCGCTGACCCCGTGCAGGCCCTCTCGTGACTGCCCCATTGGGTTTTTAATGAGCAGAGCCTGTGCTCAAACTCAGTCCCACACCCGACATCCCTTCTAATTTGTAAGTCCGATAAAACCTACGCTGTGTGTCAATCGCGACGGCGCCACCACAGCCTCGGCAAACACGACCCGTGCTCACATTGCTCACACTGACTCAGTTTCTCCGGGCGCTTACAGAGTGCTCAGCCTTTTTGTGGGGTGCGCCTGTAGTGTGCTCACCCCGCAAAACATGATGAAAATTCCCTTACCTTAATTCCTTGCCCCAATAGACTTCAGGCTCCCAGTCCCGCATCCAGGGGCGAGAGCATCAGGGTGCGTGGAGAGGAGGCGCTGCGGGGGCGGGGTGGGGGCTTCCAAGACCCTTTCATTTCTTTTTTTTTAAAGATGTATTTATTTATGCATACAAGAGCTGGGGTACAGACCAGAGATGTGGGGGTGAGAGGACTCCCCAGAGACAGAGTGGGGAGCAGAACAGGCAGACTGACCAAAATCCACTGCTGAGGGGAGCAGCGGGGAGTCAGGAGAGGTCTGCCGCGCCATGTGGGTAGCTCCCTGGCTGGGCATTGAACTCGTGCTGGAGAGGCTGCAACAGCTTCACAGTGCTGAGACTTAACCCCTGCGTCACCAGGGAGGCCCCCCGAAGTCCTTTCTTAAGAGGATAGCAAGTAGGCTTACAGGACATGGGGTCTGGCTGTCGGGCAAACAGGGTCTGCCTATGAGGAGGGGCATTGAAGTGAGTCCCAATTGCCGGGGGCCGTGGGGTCAGAAGGTCCACCAGGGAGGGGTTGAGGGTCAGAGAGGGGCTGAGGGCTTCCTGTTAGGTGGAGGCAGGAATGTCGTGTGGGTTTGCTGAGCCACGAGGTGACTCCTCAGGGCCGAAGGAGGAGCTGGGTACAAAAGCCCAGAGAGAAACCTGCCAAGACTTGTGGGTGGCCCCAGAGTGGGGACAACAGACCGGCAAGATTTAGCGGGGTAACCCTGCCTTCATCCAAGAACCCCGAGGCTTCCCTCCAGAACCACAGAGCTGGGGCGGGGATCCCTCCAGCCAACCCTTCTCCCCCCGCTTCCAGGAAACCAGCAATCGTCTCTCCAACCAAATCCCGCTCATCATCCAGTACTTCGTCCTCAAGGAGAGCAGCGAAGACCTGCAGGGGGTGATGCTGCAGGTGCTGCACGAGCGGGAGCACTACTCCTGGCTGCTGGAGGAGCACAGCGAGACCGCCAAGAAGAGGATCTTCCTCACGGAGAAAATCGACCGGCTGGCCCAGGCCCGGCAGGCGCTCTATAATTTCTCCAGCTCCAGGGGGTAGCTGCTGCTCCCCCTCAGGTCCTTCCTCCTTGCGCTGCCTGCGAGGGGTGGTGCAGGAGGCCCCTTCTCCTGTGGGCAGACCCTCCTCTTGCGCACCAGTCCTCTGGGGCGCTGCTCCTAGGCCCGCAGTTCTCGCCCTGCGCCCCACCTGCCTCCACCGCTGTGGCCCGGCCTGCCTCCCCCAGCGTGCCCTGCCCATGGTCCTCGGAGGGGGGCATCAGCATCGTCCCTCTCGTTTCCAGCCCCTAGCGCGGCTCGTCGCTATCAAGCGCTCAGTGGCGGCCACACCACAGACCAGCACGGAGTCCCAGCGGTGGGCTGTGGGGCTGGTGTCCCCGCCGGCCACTTTCAGAGGCAGTTGGCCTGGTCACCTGTGCGCCATCCTCTGCTGGACCATGTGTCCAGCCGGCCAGGAGCGACAGCCGAGGGACGCCACTCTGCTCCGATGAGCCCCCACGGCAGTCTCGAGTCCTGCAATTTGATCCTTGATAAGGAAAACCGTATTTTGAAAAGCATAGAGGTCACCGCTACGTCCGTCTCTGGACTGGAAGAACAGAGCTGCTTCCCCGACGGCGGCCTTCCCGGACGGGGTTCGGGCGCGAGTGACGCCACGGCCGCAGACTTCCCGCGCCGAGCCGGTGCCGCAGGTCATGTGCACGAAGCCTGTGGTTCCGGACCCAAAACATAGCAGATCCTTTCCTGGTCAGGTTCCGCCGTCGCCACCCACAAGGCCTCCTTGCCCGGGCCCGCGCCCGAGCAGCCCCCACCCGCGCCTTCCCTCCAGCTCTCACCTGCAGTTCTTGGACGCTTTTTGAGCCAACCTCTGCGTCTGCTTTAGACACGAGCCCGGCTGCCTCCCACGGGCGGGTGTCCTGTTCCCAGTTCCCAGCACCGTTTGTGGAAAAGCCCGCCCTCTCCCGTGGGGCTCGACCGACCCCACCGTCCTGCCCGCTGCGCTCCGCGGGGCGGGGTCCCGGCTCCTGCTCCGTCCTCTCCTTCCTGCGCTGGGCCCGGTTGGCTGCCTGGAGGCCGAGCCGCACTTTCCAGGACTGTCGCTGTAGTGAGTTTTGAAGTCAGGAAGTTTGAGAAGCTCGGCCTTTGCTTTTTCAGAAACTGCTTTGGCTCTGTGGGGTCCCGTGAGAACCCACATGAATCTTAGGCTGGGTGTCCTGTCTCTGCAAAGGCCGTCACTGGCATTTTGACTGGAATCGCACCGAAGGGGTCGATCCCTCCCGCGGTGCTGACCTGCCGGAGCTGCAGCCTCAGGGGCCCTGGCGCAGGCGGCCTGTGCCTGTCCCCGCCTGCGGTTCCTTCCAGCGCGTTGTGTCATGTCCAGTGGACGCGCTTCCCCTTCCGTGGTCACTCCGAAGCGCGTGGCCATTGTAGACGCGACTGTTTTCTTCATTTCCTTTCTGATTGTGCACTGTTAGCTCACAAAAATGTAATGAATTTTTACGTGTTGTTTTTGTATCTTGCTGCTTCGCTGCACTGTTCATTAGTCCTGACGGGGTTTTTTTTTTTTTTTTGGTGTGAAATCTTTATGTTTTGCAGAGAAAATTGTACTTTTCTAATTTGGATGCCTTTTAATTTTTATCTGGCTTAGCGGCTTGCTCCACGACTTGAGTAGCGTTGACTAGAGTGGCCAGGTCGGGGCCCCTGCCTGAGTTTCCTGCCACTTGTGTCGCAACATTTAAGGTAACGATTCTGAGAAGAAAGGCTCGAAGACAACGCTGGCCCCAGTGTAGGCGTCCTTCACGTCTTTTGATGTGGCTTTTCCCCTCATTGGGTGAGTCGGGCCATGTGTACACAGAGTAGAAGAGACGAGGGAGGGTCTCGAGCCCCGCTGCGCGCCTCCTGGCTCACTCCTTATTATAAATGTTGTAATAAAAATAAAGCTTGCGAAAAATGAAGTCTGATATTTAATATTTGTTCCATAAATTGAATATTCCAACCCTCCCCTCGATGGTTCCATGTATTTCACACACGTACACGTTCGCACACACGTGTACAAGTGTATACACCCAGGCACACGCACGTGTGTGTATACACGCAGTCAAGGCTTCTGATTCCCCACCTCAGGACCAGCCCCGACTGGTCCTGACTGGTCCAGCTGCAAGCCCCAGGGAAGGCGCCAGGGCCGGAGGGAGTCCACGTGTCTCTCAGGCTGCGCAGCAGAGGCCCCCCGCTGCGGGTTTATCACAGGGAAGTTTCTTCTCTGAGGCTCTGGAGTCCAGAGTCTAAGGTCAGGGACTGGGCAGGCTGGTTCCTCCTGGGGCCGGGGGGAGTCTGTGCAGCCCCTTCCCAGCCTCTGGGGGCTCCAGCTGCTCGCGGGGTTCCTTGGCCTGGCTTCCCTCCAGTCTCTGTGTCCACCTTCAACTGGCCGTTGTGTCTCCACGTCCCCTCCTCTCTCTTACAGACGCCAGCCCCGGGGTCTGGTGGCTCGGATGAGATGGCCGCCTCTCCAGAGCCTTAGCATCGTGATCACATCCACAGAGACCGTCTCCAAGCCAAGCCCTGCAGGCTTCTTGGGGGACAGCACCCGCCCCTCACCTGACGTCCCAGCAGGTCAGAGCAGGGTCTGGACCTGACCACGTAAGCTGACCACGGCGACCAGCACTGCAGGGCTCGTGGTCTAATCACCCAGGAGCCCCCCCTCATCACGGGGCCGGGTTCCTCCCCCGTTCACCCCTCTCCCCCGGGCCTGCCACACCCTTGGCACCTGCCACAGCACCTCTCAGAGCTGACCGGCGCCCTCACCCCTCCAGTCTGTGGGCAGGTTCAGGCCTTAGCTGCCCTCCCTGCCTGGCAGGCCGGGCAGTGTGGCCCCGCTCAGCAGACAGCAGTGGGGGCAGATGGGACTGGGGGCTTCCACACCCGCCCCCACATACGGGCACAGCCCCTGAACAAAACGCAGGAGTAAAACAAAGATGTATTCCCTGCTCTTGCTTCTTACCCCAGACTCACCACACACATTACACACCTGACACACACACATGCACACGCATGCACACGCGCCCTCCCCCGCTGTCACTGTGAACACGCACGCGTGCACACGCGCCCTCCCCTGCTGACTGTGGTTCAGGGTCTGGTTCCCAGTGGGGTGCAGGCCCAAGAAGCCCACCCAGACGAGTGAGAGCGAGCGGCGCCCGCAGCTGGTGCAGGGGGGTGGCCTCACAGCCCTGGGCGCGGGCTCCAGAGGGCGGAGGCCTGGGGTCTGGGGGAGAGAAGCGGAGGTGGCTAAGAAGGGGCCGGATTCGGGTGGGGATTTGGCTTTCTCTGGCTGGTCCTGACCAGGCAGCCCCAGTGAGGAGGGATGCAAATGTCTCCTGGGAGAAGCCCCAGAAAATGCAGATTGATTTGGGGGGCGGGTCTGGGCAATATGGGCAGTGGTCCCTGACCAGCGACCAGCGACAAAACCGGCCTGGGTGGCACAAAAGGGCCCGCAGCGTGGAGAAGGCAGCTCTGCCCCAGGCAGGTGCTTTCCTGGGGTTCCCAAGCTGCTGGCCCTGAGGCTCTGCCCGACCTCCCAGCCAGGCTGGTCTCCGCAGGCCCTGCCCCTCCCGCCCTTCCCAGCACTGCCCCTCCCCGCCCTTCCCAGCACCACTTGCTCCTCCCAGCTCCCTCCCGCGCCCCTGAACTCCATCCAGGCTGGTCCAGCTGGCTGACTTTCCTTTCTGGAAACCAAAAGGAAGAAAAGAAACCGAAATCCAGCCTGAACTGACAGAAATGGGCGCTGTGGGGGCGGCGGGGGAGGGGCTGGAAAGAAAGTCCAGGGGCCTGGGGCTTTGCTCCCGAGCTCGAGCTCCCCTGAGGCCGGGCCGCGGGCCAGCGCTCTGGACTCCGCTGTCCATTCATGCGGCCATTTGTGCTCGCGCACACGCCCTTCGTTCCTCATAGGAACATCTGTCGAGTGCTGCACCCTGGGGGGGTTGGGGGGGAGAGGGTCTGACTGGCCCAGGGCAGGATGCACCCCCCCAGGAGCCAAGACAGGCTGAGGTCGACCCAGCAGGTGTGGGGGGCATGAGGTTCTGAGGAGACAAGTCTGGGCCTGGGGAGAGCCCCGAGAAGCTGTGTTCTAAGGAGAAGCCCGGCAGGTGTGGGGTGCAGCGCCCTAACTGGGGAGCCTCCCACCCATCCACACAAGCGTGTGGGACTCCATGAGGAGGGTGCTGTGGGCTGCACATGCCGAGCAGAGCAGGTTGGAAGACCCCATCCCTCCCCTGCAGTGGGGCACCCCAGCCCCTTTGGAGGGTGCTATCAGTTTCCCACAGGTTTTTGGGGAAATGTACCACTGGAGCTGGGGCCCACACGTGGGTGCACAGGACTGGGGTCACCATGACACCAGCTCAGCCCTCCCTGTGGTGGGGCAGGCCAGTGGGCTGCAGGGGATGAACAGGGCCAAGGGAAGACAGGCAAGGGGGCGGGTGTAGGGGGGTGGGATCGTGTGACGGGCCATGCTTGCTTCCCTGTGAACGTCCTGCGTTGGCCAGAGGCACTTTCGTGGAGGGGGAGCAAGGGCAGGAGGCAGGTGTGGCTGCACCAGGTGGGGCCCAGGAGCACGGAGCAACTAGAGGAGCATGGAGTGTGACTGGGAGGCACCAATGAGCTGAGGAAGCAGCAGGTGGTTCCGGGCACAAGCAGGGCTTCCTCGGAAACAGGCAGGTGGAGAGACAGCAAGCTTTCCCCGAGGCCCCCATAACCTTTGGGGGACCCGCCCTTCAGTCTCAAGGGAGGGACACAGTATCACCCATGTGGGAGGTGCCGGGGTTTTGGGGTCCTGCAGTTTGCTGATTCAGCCACACCTGGGAGCACTTTCCACCCTGCTGACGCACGTGGTTCTGTGCAGGAAGGCCCACCTGGTGGAGGGGGCGGCCCACCCCGCCGCGCCCCACTGGCCCATCCCCTCTGAGACAAGGCATCTTAGCCTGAGCCAAGGCTGGTGGGGCCGCCAGCGTGACTCCAAGTTGGAGGGAGCTCCCTGTGTTATAGAGCAGCCCCGATATTGAACGGGTTCCTGGCTAGGGGTCCTCACCCGCGTGCTTACAAGGGTCTTATGAATACTCCATGACAGGCACACACAGAAGGTTCATAAAAGGTTTATTGACAAGGGAAAAGGAAAGAAGGAAAATGGACAACTCAGGGAGAAAATAGGGAAATAAAGTCTTTCATGCGTCCTACCCGATCCGCCGACCTGGAAACCCAAAGGCACTCTCAGCTGGCCGAACGCTGCGAGCTGGCGGGGAGCCAACATGGGGGACCCCTCCAAAACCCACGTGTCTGGCTTTATACCAACCTGGCTGCTGAACCCCACCCTCAGGTCCCAGCCACCTTCCCTTGGGTGGGGATGGGATGTGGAGTTCCCAGTGTCTTTGGCTTTGGCCTGGGGTGGGGGTGGAGGCCACAAAGCCTGTATGGAATGAGCTTTAGGACAGCCTTTTCCCCCTAACACCTGGGCCGCTGCGTAGACGGACATGGCAGCTGTGACTTGGCAGGGAAGGAGAATTTATCCCCAGAAGAAGCCGACGTTGGGGGTGGGGTGCAGAAGTGTGAGGTGCTGTGGGGCTGAGCGGGAGGGGCAGTTAGGGGCCCAGCCTGACTCCCATGGAGAGAGACCCATCCTCTCACCCCTCCTGGCTTGTTGGGGCGCTTCTGTCTCGCAGAGGCAGCCACACCGAGCCAAGCACCTGCATCTGGGCCAGGCCTGTGTTATTACTGAAGCGCACCCGAGCCCCGGGCGGCTCCAGGGAGCTGCCTGAGACCAGCAGCCATGTCAGTCATCACGAGCCCCCCAGGCCCCGGCACTTGCACCTCCCGAAAATGAGCCCCCGGGTCTGCCCCTGCGAGGCCAGACCACTCTCACGTCCCCCTGCCAGGCCAGACCACTCTCACGTCATCTGGTTTCCTGTGGTTTTTGAACCAGAGCCCGCAGGAAGAGCATCTTGCTCGGCGTGCAGGCAAGGCCACAGCTTTCCTCCCAGCGCCCGCCACGGCTGCACTGTCCCCAGCAGAAAGGGCTGTCAGGCCGTTCCCAGGAGCAGGAGCGCGGTGGCCTGCTGCACGGGGTTGCCCAGACCCGCCTGGTGCCTGCGGGGCTGCAGGGGGCAGTGCTGGCCTCCCCTCCTCTCCTCACCTGGCCCCGGGTGTATTTGGCTTTGCCTAAGGGGGTGCTGGAGCTGGGGCAGGGTCCCCAGGGACTCTGAGCTGAGTGAAGGAGGTTGGAGGCAGGGTGTGAGCAAAGGAGATTGGAGGTGGGGTGCCTGTCCCTTCCAAAGGGAAAAGCTCACCTCACCCCCAGAGCCGTGCACAGCCCCCCAGGAGGGCCACAGCCCTGGGCCTCAGACCTCCCTGCCCACCCTTCTCTGCCCAGAGCCATCATGAGCCACACAGCAGCGGGGCTTGTGGTGCGGGTCTGCATGGGGAGAGGGGCCGGGCCATGGAGGAATCCCCCCCCCACCCCACGCCCGCCCAAGCTGGCAGGGGCCGGCAGGGACACAGGCCCTGGAGGTGGGTGCGGTTCAGGGCGTGCCCAGATCCCGGCCAAGTGCAGCTTTGCGGACTGTGAGTCTCGCTCCTGGTTTGCGCCCAGATGTGCTTCAGAGGGTCTGGGTGCGCCCCCGAGCCCCAGGGACAGAGCTGTGGCCCAGCACGCCTTGGGGGGGGGGGGAGGGTTTGCTGGCGCAGGATTAGGTTTCGTTTCTGATCTTCAGCCATCAGACCTTGCAGTTTCGTTTCTCCGCGGCGCTGGGCGGGAGCGGGGTCGGGAGGGGGAGGTGGGCGGCGCAGATTAAAGCGGAGGCCCAGAGCCCAGCTGAGTTTCCTCTGGAGCCGCGGGGCAGCAGCAGGTGAGGGCAGGTGAGTGCGGCTCTGGCGAGCAAGGTGGGAGCCCGGGGCGATGGGCTGCCTGGCACCCACCGGGCTGGTGCTGGCGGAGGCCGGTGATGACGATGGTGTTGGGGCTGGACTCAGGGCCGGCTTGAGTCTGGATGGCCACGAGCCGAGGCTCCTGGTGACCCATTAAAAAAAAAGCCTCTCCCCTTACTTGCAGCTTTTCTGCTTGAGGAGGTGGGCAGTGGAGGGAAAGGGAGCTCAGAGAGTCTCCAGGGGCGTGTCTGAGAGGGGTGCCCACCGGAAAGTTTCAAAACCTCTGCTGCCCGGACTGGGGCATCTCTTGAGCGAGGTTTGTGTTTCCTGCCCAGGAGGGCTGACCAGCCAGGCAGGACAGCCGTCTGGGGAGACCGGGGTCTTCGCTATTCCTGCTGAGCAGAGGCCGGTTGAGCAGAAGCCCCCGCAGGACGCTGGGGGCCGGACAGGCAGGAAAGGCGGGTGGGAGAGGGGAGGCGTGAGCAGAGGGCGCTGCCTGGCGGGCGCCCCTCGGTGGAGTGGGGAATGCCCAGCCTCCTTTCCCACGCTGAGGGCTGAGGTGATGGGGTGCAACTGCCAGGGGCGGAGTCACGGGGTAACCACTGTGGGGCTGGAAGGAGGCAGGAGACGCTGGCGGTTCACAGGAGGCGCAGGCACAGTGAACCCCGCCCCCAGGCTGGCTGCGGAGCAGGTACAAAGGCTGCTAAAATGTCCAGCCCGGTCGCCTTTCTGCTCCTCCGGCCGCTGCTGGCCGCAGAGCCCGGCCTCTCCTTCCTGTGCGGACGCCCTCCCCGCCAGGCCTCCTCCCCAGCCCGCCCCCGGCTGCTCTGATTGGCAGAGAGCAGTAGCTAGAGCCGGAGATGTCGCCCTTCTAATCTGCCAACACTTACACGTCAGCCTCTGGGAAGGCAAAACGCTTCCGGGAGAAAAGGAGAATGTGAGACCTGCCGGGATCTTCTGCAAACTGAGCAGAGGCTGCAGGGGGACTCTCTGCATCAGGCATTTTCTAAGAATTGTTTGGTAGATGGTCCTTGTTGGGGTTCCAGGGGTGCAGAATTGGCCCCCCACCCTTGCCCTTCTATTCTGCCGGGACAGTGTCCCCACATGGGCAGAACCCCTGGACACCCCTCTGATGCCATCCCCATCCCCACCGTGGGGACTCTCCTCTCCTGGTCTGGGGCAGAGGGGCAGGCGACCAGGCACCCCCTGGACAGTGGACCTGAGTGGACACGACCTGCCTGCTGGAAGGGTTAGAGCCCACTGCTCCTGGACAGTCCCCGCTTCCTCCCCGCCCCGAGGGAGCCAGAATGGAGGCCCAGCGTGAGCAGCGAGCTGAGCAGCAGTGAGGAAGCAGAAAGCTGGAAAGGGGAGAGTTTCGGGGTGGGCCTGGATTGCCCCCGCCTTGTCTGCAAAGGGGGGTACGGGTTAGTTCACAAGCAGTTTGGGGCTGGGAGCGCCCCTTGATTCCCCCGACACTGGAGAGTGACTCCTCTGACAAGTGAGTCTGGGTAGCGAGCTTGCTGGCTTGAGGAAGAAACCAGTTTCCAGCGCTGAGGCGGCGCTGTTCCTGCACCAGACTCAGGTGGTGCTAGAAGGGTGGACACTGAGGACGTGCAGACAGAACCCACCGGATTGGCCTTCAGGGGATGCTGCTTTGTGCAACAGTGGACAGGAGCACGGTCACAACCCTGTGCTCTCGGCCCACTCGAGGGCACTGGGGTGCTAGCCCTGGGCACCCGTGGGGCCCAGACAGGGTCCAGTGAGGCCACCTGGGGGCAGCTGTGGTCTTCCACGCAGGGCTGCCGCCGCCGGGCTCCGTGGCAGACCCCCAGCTTCCAAAGTCCTCTTTAAATTTCATCTCCCTACAAATCACCTTTTCCCCATTTCCAATGAAAGGCTCCCATGCCTCTCGCCTTTATTTTATTTATTTTATTTTGCTTATGGACCTTGCTCTGTCAACAGCGCTGCTCTTGACCAAAGATTACACAGGGGACGCAGAGACGACAGCCTCGGGACTTCTGGGAAAAGGTCAGTCACTGAGCGTCTGTGCCCTCATTTCTATCTTAGAATTAAAATATTCTAGAGTTGGGCCTCCCTGGTGGCGCAGGTGGTTGAGCGCAGCGCTGTGAAGCTGCCCGCAGCCCCTGCAGCGCCGGTTCAATCCCCACCGGCCTCGGAGCAACCCACATGGCGCGGCAAACCTCTCCTGCCTCCCCGCTGCTCCCCTCAACAGTGTATTTCTGTCGTCTGCCTGTTCTGTTCCCCGCTCTGTCTCTGGTGAATCCTCTCACCCTCCCGCACATCTGGCCTGTACCCTGGTTCTTGTATAAATAAAAAGATAAATCTTTTTAAAATAAAAAATAAATAAATAAAATAAAATATTCAAGAGTTATATAGAGACTCCGGAACTGTGACTCTGCTCCCGAAGCCATTCCCAGCGCGGGGGACGCCCCTCTGGGCACGCTCGGGGCTCACCTGGGTTTTGGTCTCGTGGACGTTTTCATGACTTCCTGGACAGCTAGGACAAAGCAGTGACGCTAACACATCGAAACTGTACCTTCAAGTAAAAAGAAGGCATCTCGGACGTGAGAAAGGACTTTATAAAATTTTTTCTAACATGTATTGTAAGTCGTAGGAAAAAAATTTTTTCATTTACTTTTAATCCAGATTGTCAGATGTGTAAAATTTAATATTTAGATACTCGTGATCTCAGAACAATCTTTAAATGAATTTCAGAAGGACGCCTGTCCATTTCTTGGATGATGAAGTGGTCAGTGAACCATTTTTATAACTAAAATAAATGACATTAAGCTGCGCTTCTGTGAGGGGAGTAAAGTGAAAATGTGAAGCTGAGGATTAGAGGAACAGAGCAAAAGATTTAAGAATTGATGCATTTTTTTAAACGATAGATTTGGGTAGCAAATGACCGTCACACAGAAATCCTCTCAGCTTCATTGGAAAGAGTTTCATAACAATTTTATTTTTAAATGTAGATTTTATTTTTTTAAAGATTTATTTATTTATTTATGCATGCAAGAACTGGAGTGCAGGCCAGAGGTGTGGGGGTGAGAGGATTCACCAGAGACAGAGTGGGGAACAGAACAGGCGGATCCACTGAAATCCACTGCTGAGGGGAGCAGTGGGGAGACAGGAGAGGTCTGCTGGCCATGTGGGTAGCTCCCTGGCAGGGGATCAAACTTGTGCTGCAGTGGCTGCCAATAACTTGATAGTGCTGCCTTTAACCCCTGCGCCACCAGGGAGGCCCCAAATGTAGATTTAAAGAATGCATCAGAATTGCATCTTTGCCACTAAATTTAATAGTGAAACTATTTTTGTTCAACCTAAAATTGTGACAGAAAATGCCAATGTTGTAAAAACATGGGGGTGAGGAAACATGCTCTGGAAGCCCTCCAGGCAGGAATGTAGCATGTGTCGTCCCCTGTCTGCTTTTGGGGTGCTCCCATCATCGTCATTTCAGTCAATAGAGGGTGGTGGGCTCACGGGGCCCCCACGAGCCTAGCGGGGGGTCAGGGCTGTGATGAAAAGTGCCTGCTTCTGATTTGTGGTCATGGTGACCAGCTGGATTTTCAGCAGAAATACCACAGGAAGAAGAAAAAGATGGTGCAAGTTAAGGGAGAAAACCCAGCCAAGGGCTCTGCTGCTGACCTTGACCTGGTGCTCAATGGAGAAGCTATCACGGGGACGCAAGATCAGGTAACAGTGCTCGCTTCCCAAAACCCCTGTGCACACAGAGCTGAGCTACGTCCATTTGAGGTTGCCTGTCTGTACAGCGCTGCCCTCCCCTTCCCCCACCTCTCCTGGGCGGGATGCTGAGGGTCCTGTGCTTGGTCAGCTGGGGCATCTTGCATAGATTTTCTCCCACTCAGTGGCTTTCATTGTCTTATCAGTCAGTTTTGATGAAGCCCAAGTTATCAGCTGATTCTTTGATGGGTTGTGTTTGGGGGGCACAGGTAATATGCCTGATCCCCAGTCACAGACATTTTCTTCTCTCTTTGCTTCTGAAAGTTCTACAGGTTTGGCTTTGCATTGACTTCTATGAGCCGCTGTGAATGATTTCTTTTTTCAAGATTTATTTATTTATGATTACAAGAACTGGGTGCAGGCCAGAGGTGTGGGAGGTGAGAGGATTCACCAAGACAGAGTGGGAAACAGAACAGGCAGATTGACCGAAATACATTGCTGAGGGGAGCAGCGGGGAGACAGGAGGGGTCTGCTGTACTGTGTGGGTAGCTCCCTGGCCGGCCAGGGATCGAACTCACACTGCAGAGGCTGCAGACAGCTTCACAGTGCTGTGTTCACCCCCTCGCATCACCAGGGAGGCCCCGTTGTGGATGATTTTTGTGTATGGTGCAAAATACAGGTTGGAGACCAGCACCATCTGTCGAGAAGCTCCTCTTCCCTTCGCACCATTCACGCACTGTTCTTGTGTGGGCTAGTTTATCTCCAGATGTGTATTCCACTTTGCTTTCTCCCACTTTACATCAAAATTATTTTGATTACTCTAGCTGTACAAGAATTACTGAAACCAAATGATAGCCCTGTTTTCATTTTCGTTTTCAAGCTCACTGTGAAAATTCTAGGGGGTTTTAGACCATTTCTATTTATTGTGATTGTTAATATAATTGATTGTTAATATAATTGAGAAGAACATCTTGCTTTTTGTTTTCTGTTTGCCCTATATGTTCTTTATTTTCTCTTTCCTCCTTTTCTGCCTTCTTTTGAATTAATCAAGCAAACATTTTTTTATGATTCCACTTTATTGCCTTTTTGACTTTTTACGTATAATTGTTTGAGGGTTTATCTCATGCCTCTTCAGTGACAGTGTGTTACTTCATATTTAATATAAGAACATTACAATAGCAAGTGTCCATCTCTCTCCTAGCTTTTATGCTTTTTTTTAATGTGCTTTAATTTTACTTATATCAAACCCCCACAATATGTACTTAGTAGTTTGGTTCAAATATCCTTTAAAATATTTAAATAATAAAAAAAATGTATTAGTTACACCATTGCTGGTGTAGATTCTTTTGCATAGATAAAGATTTCTGTTCAGAATCATTTCCTTTTACCTGAAGGACTTATGACCTCATTTTACCCTGATTCCCTCCTTAACACTTCCTGTGGTGCAGGCTTGCTGGTGATGAAGCCGTTCCCCTTTCATTTGTCTGAAGAAGTCTCACAGTCATGCATCGCTTGGGTATATTCTGGTCAGAGATGAACTTCTTGTATGATGGTGGTCCCAGTAGGCTCTGCACCATAGTGTAGACTTGTCAATAGGCTCATCCATTTGACGTGTGATTTGCGCTCTATGATGGTGTATCATGGCATAATGGCTCAACAGCACATGCTCAGAATAGAAGGCCTCTGTCGTTAAGGAACACATGAATGTATTCCATCCTCATTTTAAAAAGATATTTTTGCTAGGTATAGAATTCTAGACTGACAGGGCTTGCTTTAAGTACTTTAAAAATGCCTCTCCACTGACTTCTCCCTTATATTGTTTCTGATGAGAAATCCGCTGTAAATCTCAACTTTGTTCCTCTGGATGTAGTGTGTCATTCTCTGACTGCTTTTAAATGTATTCTCTTTATCACTGGTTTTGAGCAGTTTGACTATAATGTGACTTGATGTAGTTTATCTCATGTTTCTTATGCTTAGGGTTCATTGAACTTCTTGAATTTTTGAGTTAATAGTTCCAAATTTGGGGAAATTCTATCCATTAATTTTTCAAATATTTCCTTCTGCTCCTCTTCCACTCTCTTTTGGGAACCCCAGTAGCCTGCATATTAGACCAGTTGAAGTTGCCTTTGATGCCGTGTCACCTGCAAGCTATGATAAAATCCTCTGACTCTGCTTTCTCCAGAAGCCCGACAACAGCCTGTACTGCCATTATGAGGAGAAGGTGCGGCCCTGCATCGACCTCATCGACTCCCTGCGGGCCCTCGGTGTGGAGCAGGACCTGGCCCTGCCCGCCATCGCCGTCATCGGCGACCAGAGCTCGGGCAAGAGCTCCGTGCTGGAGGCCCTGTCCGGGGTCGCCCTGCCCAGAGGCAGCGGTGAGCACTTGCCCTCCTATCAGTCAGCTCGGGCTGCCTTGACCAAGTAGTGTGAGCTGAGCAGCTCAAGAAACAGAAATATGCTCCTCACGGTTCTGCCAGAAGTCCAAGATCAAGGTGTCAGCAGAGTGGTGTCTCCTGAGACCTCTCTCCTTGGCTTGCAGAGGGCTGTCTTCTCCCTGTGTCTTCATATGGCCTGGTGTCTTGCCCTCTATTTAAAATTATGCCAGTCATATCGCTTAGGGTCCCACTTTTGTGACCACGTTTCACCCTAATGCCCTCTTTAAAGAAAGGCCTTGTCTCCAAATTCAATCACACTGCAGGCGTGAGGGGTGTACATTTTAACCTATAAATTGGGGAGGACACAGTTCAGCCTATCACAGCCTCTCCTTGCACATGTTTGGGTAGGTTGTCTGGGCCCCATCCCAGGACTCTTTTCAGGTCTCTTTCCAAGGGATGACTCCGTCGGGGCTGAAGGCGGGCCTCTGGGGGCGGGTGCTGCTTAAGCCACCAGGCCAAGGTTATCTGTGTGGGCTCCAGGGAAGAGGTTGGACAGGAGGTGGAACACAGAAATGCATGTAGGACATGGAAGGAGTTTGCAGGTGGGGGTTGTGTTTGGCGTCTGGTGGGACCCGAGTTCCTTCCTGATAGGTGTGGTGGGACTACAGGGGTGGGGGTGGTATCTACATGGTTTGGGGGTTTCCCTCTGCCATTTGTCACCTGACATGATGGCAGAGCACTGGGGTGAAGCAGGAAGCCTCAAATGGTGACTTCAAGAATTAGTGAGCAAAAAATCACCTGGAATGTGCACTCGACATGCACACGCTCGAGGCCTCCCAGACAGATGCCGCAGCCTTCCCAGGGGCTCCCTGGATATTATGTGGAAGCGTGAGCTCAGCCAGCCCAGGGCTTCCGCGGCCGCTAGGAGCAGACTCTAGAACTGACCTGCCTGTGGCCTCCTAGGGATCGTGACGCGGTGTCCCCTGGTGCTGCGGCTGAAGAAGTTGATGCATGAAGACTGCTGGAGAGGCAAAATCAGCTACCAGGACTTTGAGGCTGAGATTTCAGATGCTTCGGAGGTGGAACAGGAAGTCAATAAAGGTGAGACCATGTCCAGTGGGGGAGGGGTTGTCCTCCCCCAGGGACGCCCCCGGGACTCCCTCCAGGCAGACCCCAGCGCCCCTGTGTCTTCTCTCCCCTTGCCTTTACTAAGACCAGAGCTTTGACGGAATCTGACCCTAGTAATCTGTAGCTTTTATGTAAGAAAATGAGAACAATGAGGATTTAAAATTTGGTTTGTCACCAGACCTGGAGCCATGTGCCTCCCGAGCGCTCCTACCCCGGATACTCAGGAGCTGCCCTTACAGAGACGAAGAGGGTGTGGCCATGGAGCCTTGTCCCCGGTAGCCTGGCCCAAGGGCATCTCAGAATGCCCGCAGCCCTGGTGAGGGCCGGGGCCTGTCCTTTCCGCGTGTTAGCTTCCTCTCGCACACACCGGCCGACTTGTGGCCGGTGTCGGGGGAGCCACACAGACCAGTGGGAAGCATCCAGAAGGAGAACTAGGTCCAGGAGAGCAGATGAGGACAAAGGGCAACCCCGCTCGTGGCCGCGCGTGCTGGGGGAGGTGCATGAACCGCCTGCCATGTAGCGAGACTAAGTGGCCGGCGCTGGCTGACGTCCAGCCGTGGGAGAGAGCGGGCACGACTGTCCCGAGGGCAGCAGCGCCTTGGGAGGTCCGCCGGGCAGAGCTCTGGACCGGCTGGGCTGCGCACACGGTCGGGACGGCCTCACTCGCCCAGGCCCTTTTCTGGCAGGTCCTTCTCTCGGGGGCGGATCATCCTCTCCGGCTTTTGCTGCAGTGGTCAAGGGTCCCCAGCAGCAAGACGCGGTTGCTGTGAGAGGGAGATCACGGGGCTTGGGGGTGATGTGGAAAGTAGGAAAGCAGATTTGCTGCACCTCCTGCTAGACAAGCAGAGTGAGAGGCAGGGTCTGCGCAGCGAGGGGCGTCTGAGCACGTTTTGTGCTTGGCGCCGAATCTCCAAGGCCCAGGGCGCAGGTCTGCGCTGCTGCTGATGTGTGTTAAAGCGTCGGGCCTGCTGGGTCCCTGCGCTGCTTTCGAATTTCCATCAGCTTCTCATGGCACAGGCCCTGTTCCAGCCACAGACATCTGGTTCCATCGCCAGCCCCAGTCATTCTCACTCTCCAGTTCCCCTTTTCTGGTTCCAACGTCATGCCTGCTGGGCCAGGGAGACTGAGCTTTTAAACCTGTAAACCCCAAGAGAGGCGACGCCTGGGGCCGGCACGTCCCTCTCTGCGGCACCACACCTGTGACTTCCCTCCTCGGCCAGGCCCCCCTGGGGTAGGCGCAGGCCACTTGGAAAGCAGGGCAGTGCCCGCCGGCGGGGACACCGAGGTCCGGTGAGCGAGCTGGCCACCGTCGCGCGGGCGGAACACACAGACGTCTGGTTCTCCCGCAGCAATGCCTGGAGGTGGGCGCCCAGCGCTGCTTCTGGGTTCCAGGCGCTTCCCATCCGGGGGCGTCCGCTCCCAAGCCCGCATGACTTAGTCAGCAAGTCCACCTTCCAGCCTCCGGTCCCTGGCGAACGGGCCGTCTTCTAAGCATTTTGCTGGAAGATTCGACCTCGAGACGCCTCTGGTGAATGGGGGCAGGGGGGCGGTGGGTGGTGGCAGGCTATGCCCCGCCCCGGCCCCGCTGGTGTTACTGTCTCCATCTATGGTTGTGTATTTGTAATTTGTTCTTAGTGGTGTGACCTTAGTTTACAGCCAGGATGGTTCCTTCACAGCGTAGAGTCCTCCCTGGGGTGTCCCGTAGCTCTCAGTCCTCCCTGGACCATGGTGCTCCCTCCCCTTCTTCCTGTCCCTCCCCCCATTCTAGTCCTTCATGGTACACAGCACACTCGTGCTCAAAATGGGCGCAGCAAGGAGTCCAGTGGCATTAGCTGCTCCTTGAGAGAAGTAAGGCCTTGTCTTGAAGGTCGTGGGGAAGGAGCATGGCGGGGCCTGCACTCACTAAGCCCGTCCCTCCGTGACCCCTTGTGTTGCAGTTCCGTGGATCTGCGTTTATTTTAACTTCACTTCGTCACTGGTTTCCTAATCCGTCAGTGGGAGGCCCTTAGGGGCCCTCAGGGAGTCCCGGCCTGGCGGCACCAGGGCCAGCCTGGGGAAGCCCCGAGGCGGTCAGCCGGCGGCTGGCAGAGAAGTTCCCAGGCCCCTTTTCAGGTCCCCTTTGGCTCCAGCTTTAGCTCCAGAATCGGGAGCCTGCCCCCTTATGCCCTCATGGTGCAACCCACTGGGGAGAGGCGTGGGGAGGCTCCCTGGAAGGCGTCCCTCCCCAACCGCCCTCTGAGGGTCTGTTTCTCCTTCCCTCTAGCCCAGAATGTCATCGCCGGGGAGGGCGTGGGGATCAGCCACGAGCTGATTAGCCTGGAGATCGGCTCCCCTCACGTCCCGGATCTGACCCTGATCGACCTTCCCGGCATCACCAGGGTGGCCGTGGGGAACCAGCCAGCCGACATCGGGGCACAGGTAGGACCCGGGCTCTGCCCCGACCTTGGCTATGGGGGGCGACGGAGCAAGGGCGCGTGGACGCTGGCCGTGACGCGTGGACACAGGCGTGAGCGGGGGTGGCGCCACCTCCCCCACCCCGCCGGACGCCAACAGGGAGAACTACAAATGCATTTAATACGGATTTTGTGTTTTACACAGCAAGTCACTTTTGGCCTCAGTGACCTCTGTGGCAGGTTAAGCGGGCAGACCCGGGCTGTGTCTGCGGGGGGTCACGCGGGAAGAGGGACTTTCTGGGTCGGGGACTCCTGCCCTCTGGATCACGGGTTTCAGGAGTGATGGAGCAATTCTGGCATTGTGGTTTCATCGTGACCATAGAGGTCAGGTCCTAGGAGTCTGGGAAAGGCTGAACCCTCAAGCTTCCCAATCCCAGAGCTCTGGTCCCCCAGCAGGGAACTGGCTTTCTCAACACTCAGGCTTGCGAGGTGCCAGCAGGAGGCATCTGAGGGCGGTTTCTCTGGGAACGCCTGGGACTCTGAGGGCCTGCAGCATTGACGGGGCCAGGCCTGCCCATGCCCCTTCCTGTCTAGAAGACACAGGTCTCCTCTCACCTCCCCACAGATCAAGAGCCTCATCAGGAAGTACATCCAGAGGCAGGAGACCATCAACCTGGTGGTGGTGCCCAGCAACGTGGACATCGCCACCACCGAGGCTCTGAGCATGGCACGGGAGGTGGACCCCGACGGCGACAGGACCCTGGGTGAGTGTGGGGACACCCCCCGGTGTGAGGGGAGTGGAAGGGCATCCCTTGGCTCACAGCACACACACCCCAGGGGAGGATCTTCCCCTAGCTCTTAAAACCTGGAAGGAGTGGGTCTGGGGCCCAGTGAGCCCAGGTGAAATGGGCCTTGTTGGCTCCTGCTGGCCACGGCTGGCTCCTGATCCTACAAGCCTGCTTGTCTAGGGCATGGTGAGCCCAAGGCGGGGACAGAACCAAAAAGCAAATTACATTAGTTCGTGCCTTTGAGGTAGAAGTAGCCCCTGTGTCCAGATGGACTGATAAACCACATGGGTCCATTCATGCAGTGGAATAGTATACAGCCATGCAAAGGAAGAACATTCTGACACCTGTCGAGGAGGGATGAGACCTCACACGCTTGCTGAGTGAGGTAAGCCAGTCACAAAAGGGTGGATGCTGCAGGATTCTGCGAATGTGAGATCTCTACATGGGTCAAATCCACAGAATCAAAGCACAGGGCCGGGAGCCAGGGGGGAGAGGCAGCGGCCTGGTGGGGAGCAGGGGGATTTAGTAAGAGATTCCGTCTCGCACGATGGAAGTGCTCTGGAGGCGGCCGCAGCTCAGCTGCACACAGGTGAGTGAGCTCTTCCTGCCTGAGCTGGGCCCCGCAAAATATTGCAGTCGTGACTCTGATGTGAAAATCTGTGTTTGGCTGAGCACAGCAGACTGCCTGAGCGTGGTGATGCGACAAAAAGTCGTTCACCTTCACACACGACAAGAAGTCCGGGCGGAGGCAGCCCCATGTGCCCCCGTCCCTGGAACTGTCAGGACCCCACTCTTCAGCCTTTCTGCGCCCCCACCTGTGGCCTGCTTGTGCTGCGGCCAGCCAGGGCCGGGCTGGGGACGTGCTGGGCTGGGCACAGACACTCTTGGCCTCTGGGTTAGGTCTGACCCGTGCAAGGTCCCTGTAGCGCTGGGTGGTCAAACGGGCCCCCACGCGAAGACCCACTCTTAGTCCGGATGGGATTCTGGTTTTCATTTTGCAGTGGGCCCTGCAAAAGCTCGAGATGGTCCTGACAGGACCTGCCTCTCTGAGGGGACCAGGCCCCACCTGAGCCGCTGTCCTAGAAATGCCAATTCCTCAGTGGCACCGAGGGGCGTGGGTTCCCTGTGGCCCGGCGGGCGGCACTGTGAGGGCCCTCTGGTGGCCGAGCCTTGTCGGGGTGCCTTGGCGGAGCCCCTGCCAGACAGCATGAGCACCCCGCATGCAGAAGGAAAGTGAAAGGCATTGTAGGCTGCCATCTCCGGGCCTGAGTGCCCAGACCGGGGACCAGCTCCCCACTGCACTGGGAGGCAGCAGGGCAGCTGCGTCCAGGCCTGACAGCCTCCTCGGGCTCTGTGGCAGCTGTGAGATCTCCGGTCTCTGACAGAAAGTCTCTGGCTCGCAGGAATCCTGACCAAGCCTGACCTGGTGGACAGAGGCACGGAAGACAAGGTGGTGGACGTGATCAGGAACTTCATCTGCCCCCTGAAGAAAGGCTACATGATCGTCAAGTGCCGGGGCCAGAAGGACATCCAGGATCGGCTGAGCCTGGCCCAGGCGCTGCAGAAGGAGCGGGCCTTCTTCGAGGAGCACCCCTACTTCAGGTGCGCAGGCTCGCTGGCCTGGGGAGGGCAGGGCAATGTGGGTGGGTGCTCCCTGGAGACAGTCCGGGATGTCCAGCCGCTCGGGTGAAGGGGTGGGGCACAGCCGTGTGCGCGGGCGTGACGCCGCAGACCTGTGCGCTCAGATGGTTCCAGCGGGAACTTTCCCGTTACGGATATTTCACCACAAGTTAGAGTTTTGACCTGGGTAGCCGGAAGCTTAGGTGTGAGGCCTCTGCAGGCCGGCCTGCCGGCTCCCCGCAGCTTGTATCTTAAAAAGTCCTTTAGAATGCGACGCCCTGCCAAAGCCTTCCCGGAGCACAAGCCGGGGCAGGGCAGGGAGGACTTGGCTCCTCGCCCCAAGCAGTGGGGTGGACGTTCCTGTCTTGGGGAAGCGTGACCCCCTTGGCGTCCAGCTATGTGTTGTGTCCAGACAGCCCCAGGCTGTCTCCATCCGGGACCTGCATCTGGGGAGCCTGGCCCCCCACCGTGCCCACGCCACGTGCTCAAGCTGTGTCTGCACTGAACCCCACGCCACGGAACAGCACCCCACCATTTCATAGCACTGCTGGGCCTCGGGGTATGTGCGTAGTCCAGAGAGGATGTAAAGTGGGTTCGGACATGTGCGGGGACAGGCAAGCCCAGGACTCGAGCAGCCCTGGGCCGGGGTGCCCGGAGCCAGCCCCCAGGCGCCTAGGGTGCCGATTCTCGCCCGTCTCTTACTCACAGGTGTGTGCTGTGAAGCGAGTCTGTGGGTGTCAGTCGAGGTGTCTTGTTAGAAAGACCGATTCTGCAGTCAGGCGTCCCGAGACAGGTGTACCGCGGCGGCAGGAAAGGCTCCTCCTGTCCCATGATTCGTGGACCTGAAATGCCTGAACGTCAGTCACAAAGCAGTGCGGTCCAGCCTGGGCCTCAGGGCACCCAGGCAGGCTGTCCCGGCTAGCGGGAGGGGCCGGATCCCAACTGTCCACGACCAAGCAGGCGCTGACGCCATTTTCCTGCTGCACCAAGTGGGCGTGGACCTTGTCTTCTCTTGCAGGGAGCTTCTGGACGAAGGAAGGGCCTCCATCCCCAACCTGGCGGACAGGCTGACCTCCGAGCTCATCACACACATCTGCGTAAGCCCAGCTGCCCATCTTCCCTCCACCCCCACCCCCCCACCCCTCCCAGCCAGGCTGGTTCTGTGTAGCATGCAATGGTGCAGGCTCCTGTCAGGGGGTGGAGTGTGTGTGGCCTCAGGGTCTCCATTTCTAGCAAGGTGCCAGGCGGCGTGGAGCCTGCTGGTCAGAGGACCATGCCCAGGGGAGGCCAACAGACCTCACCCCCTCGGCCTGGACAGAAACTAAGATAGCATGAGCCTGTGCTGACTGATCTTCTCTTCCCCAGCCCCTAGCATCATGTCTTCGTAATTGGAACACTTTTATTTCACTCCAGAAAGTTCTAAGAGGTCCTGTTTCCAGTCTGTCTGGACAGGGCTCTTGCTTTTTCACATTCTCACCCCTTTTACAAGGTTTTCTTGCACGTTTTCCTGGTGTCGGGAGGCTGGGTGGGCTGCCATGACCCCCTACAACTTGGGGGGCTTTGACGGGGACTTATCTGTGGGCATTGGGGGAGTCGGGGTTCAAGTGGGTCTCTCCAGGAAGAGGCCTGCTTCTGCCAGGCCTGGGGGAGGCCCACAGTCTGAACCACGTTAGATGCTCAGCTTGAATCTGGTGCACACCAGTGAGTGTGAATTTGAGCAGCAAATGGGCTTGCAGGCTGACTGGCCGGCCTCTCAGAGGAGCTGTGCTTCCCCCCAACGCAGCGCTGAGGTGCAGCACTCACAGGCCAGGGCAGGGCCCGGCACTCACCACTGTGACGACGCAGCTCTCTGGGGCCCCAGCTCTATGCAGAAGGAAGGGGCTTGCTGATTAGGTTTCACCGCTTCACGTGAGCCCACTGAGTTTTTAATCTTTCATCCTGGCACCAGGCAGTTCTCTTTCTCTTCTCTACAAATAACCTTGAGTCCAGTGCAGCTTCATCTCGCACCCCTGGGTGCCCAGCACCACCTGGCCTTCACCTTTAAGTGTCCTTACTAATTGCCAGCTCAGTGGCACGTTCAAGGGGGCACTTCTACGGAGGACTGAGGGGCTGGGTAGTGGGGGTGGGGGTGACACACAGCTGAAGGGTGAGCCCCTCCCTCTGAATCATACACAGAGCTGTCGACCGCTGTGGCCTTGGTTAAAGAAAACAAACAAACAGAAAACCAACCAGGCAATGGAAAAAAGCAATAAAGTAGAATAAAGAGGTGGTGCCTCTGCCACTGGAGCCAGTGCGGTGAGGTTGTGCCGGAGGGCGGCCGGCAGTGCCGTGGGCTGTGTTGTCAGAGAGAGAAGTCCCCGTAACTTTTAATCTGTTATAGCAGCATAAATGTGTTTGAATCTCAACTTATCCCAACTCAGTGTTTTCAGAAACTGCTAGCCCCGTGACTTCTCCTCATCTCCCTGCCGAGTTTAAGTGACATGACCCTTGAGGGAATTTTGCCTTCGGTCGCTCTTCCCAGGCAGGGGAACCAGGCCTGTGGCGCTTCAGCTCTTTCCAGTGGCAGAGGGGGCGGCCGGGAGGAGAGCGGTGCGGCTCTTGTGGCCCCCCGCGCCGTAAGCCCTCCTTCGAGAGGACACAGCAAGTCAGATGTGCCAGCACGCCCTGCCCGACCTTACAGAGGGCCCGGGAGCTGCGTCTCCATTTCCCGTCCCTATTTATGTATTTCCACCATTTTCTCTCTTTTCCACCCAGAAATCTCTGCCACGGTTAGAAAGTCAGATCAAGGAGAGCCACCAGGAAGTCAACGACGAGCTGCAGAAGTGCGGCAAGGACATCCCCGAGGTGGAGAACGAGAAGCTGTTCTTCCTGATAGAGGTGAGTGCGCCGTCGTGTCAAGGGGAGATTCACGCATCGGTGTCCGCAGAGGACTTGTGTGCCTTGTGCGTGTCTTCCTTCACCCCCTACGGCTGAACCAGACGCATTCTGTCGGCTTAGCACCACGAAGGGTTGGTGTTGAGGCCATGTGGGGCTGTGGGCGGGCAGGGCAGAGCAGCACAGTCAGCTGCGGAGTCTCTGTCACCAGCACTCATCCAGACCCTTAAGGCAGTGAGGGGCTGACGGGCCTGACACCCGCTCTTTCCACAATCCGCAGAGGCCCAGAAGGTAGTGAAGAATGACTCCCTGCTTCCTCTGCATGCACACGCCCTCCAATCTTCCTCCACTTATACTTATGTTATTGTTCTTGACAGAAACTTAAAGCATTTAATGAGGACATCGCCATCTTAGTAGAAGGGGAAGAAACTGTGAAATCATCTGAAATGAGACTTTTTACCAAAATCCGGAAAGAGTTTCAGAAGTGGAGTATGGTGGTTGAACGGAATTTCCAAAACGGTGAGTCCAAAGTGCCAATGGTGGCCCCAGAGACTTGGGTGCTGCCGGGGGCCAGATGGGGCGTGGGGCAGAAGGAGGTGGGATCGATGCAGGTGGTCGGTTGGTGAGAAGAAGGAGTTCGTGATGCAAAGGCCAGTTTTGCTGAGACCTGCCCCTGAGCTCCCCCAGCAAGCACCTTTCTTACTATTTCACGTGACACCCAGAGAGAAAATGCAGATTAATTGGCTAGAACCAACTGTAGCTTCTGGAAGAACCCACCCCCTCCCCAGCAAGGATTCACCAGATGTGCACCATGCTCTGAGAGTCCAGCACACGGCAGCCAAGTGGCCCATCTCGGTCCACGAGCTCAGTCTGGGCCTGATGTGCGTCCGAGTGGATCGTATAGCAGCAGCGATGAAGAGAGAGCGCTTGGGGCCACCCTCCTGCCTCCGAGTCCTCAACAGTCTGAAAAAAGTAGAAAGTGTGATCTGAAATTTATTTTGGGGTGTTTCCAGAAGCCTAAGGAAGGTGTACTTCGAGCAGCGGTAAAGCTGTAAGAACTGAGGGGACTACTTGGTTCAAACAACCTGGTGGGTTCCACGACTTACTTTAGCTGAGCAGAGGTTCAAATCGACCCTTCTTGGCTGTGAGTAACGAACGTGGGGGGAGGAGGGATGAATCACTCATTTTTCACATATTCAAAGGCGCCGCCTTCGAGTCTGTTTCCTCGTTGGCAGAGGGCACGGGGTCTGGACAGGGCGCAGAACAGCGACCCTGTGTATACGCAGACACGACGGCCTAGACGGGCTCCGGGAATCAGCGCTCAACATGGCCCCGGAACTAAAATGTAGGAGCTACCGCTGCGCGACGCGCCCAAGGAGACACAGGTGTAGACGTGCGTGACCGCGGGTGCAGCGGTGAGCCCTCGGATAAGACACATCAGCACAAGCTACCAGGAAAACAGATGAAATTGACTTGCCCGAACTAAAAACTATTGTGTGTCAAAGGGCACAGGAACGTGGCGGCCCCCTCAAAATGGGAGACAACGCCTGCACACCATCCAGAGGTGCAGTTTCCGCTAAGAACTGCTGCTGGACAAGTGATTGGAAGAGGCGGATCTCCCAAGCGAAGACACCGAAGTGGCCAGTGAGCCCACAGAGCAGAGTAGCACCCTGGCCTCGGGTTCCGCCCCCGGGGCCCCTCCTCACACTCCCTGGGCTGTAGAAGCACTGGCAAGGGTGTGAGGGGGCCGCAGCCTGTGAGGGGGCCGGAGCCACTCCCCGCGGGAGAGGTGCAAGCGGACAGCAGCCTGGAAGCGGGCCAGAAGCAGGCCCAGAGCCGCCGCGACCCGGGCGGCCTCCGCGGGCATGTGCCGAGAGGAGGCGTGTGTTCGCGTGGGCTCGCCGGAAAGCGCGAATAGGGCGTTCGGAGCAGCAGGCTGCACGGTTTCGCAGCAGCCAGAGGTGGGAGCGGCCCCGCAGGGGAAGGCCAGGCCTGGGCGCTCCCCGTGGCCCGCTGGCGAGGCTGCCGCGCCGGGCAGGGTGCCTGGTGCCTGGTGCCTGAGTGGCCCGAACAGCCCTGCGTTTAGGAACCCCCCCGGGCTGCTGTCGTGGCTCAGAGCTCTCCTCCCTGCCGTGTAGATTACCTCGATGTCCGGAGAGAGATCACCAAGTTCGAAAACCAGTACCGCGGCCGGGAGCTGCCGGGCTTCGTGAACTACAAGACGTTCGAGACGATTGTGCGGCGGCAGGTGAAGGCCCTGGAGGAGCCCGCGGTCCAGATGCTGCACAAGGTGGCGGGTGAGCTCCGGGCCTGCCCGCGGGCCTTCCCTGCAGGTGGGGGGGCTGGAGCCACCCGTGGAGACCAGCCCCGGGGCTCCCTGCTGGCTGCCAGTTACCCTCAGCAGCCCCTAGATGGCCCAGCTCAGGGCGCTCACAGACCTGGGCCCCCCAGCTCAGAGCACTCAGCTCAGGGGCGCTCACTGTCCTGGGCCCCTAGCTCAGGGGCGCTCACCGTTCTGAGCCCCCTCTACTCCCCACGGTCATCCATAAGTCAGGGTGCTCACACTCCCCCTCATTTGCCAGAACAAACTGGCAGAACACAATGAAAACAACTCTTAGACTCTGGCAATGATGGCCGTGCCGTGAGGGGATGGGCAGAGGGTCCTGGGGTCTGTGTGGGGGGCCCTGAGCCCCGGGTGGGGGGCTGCGCAGCACAGACAGAGTCATGGTGGAGCTGTAGTCCTGCAACTATATCGTTAGGTGAAGGAATTCTAAGTTTATAACATTTGATTGAAAACATTTTTATTTTTCTATTTTGATTTTTATTTTTTTAAAGATTTATTTATTTATATAAGAACTGGGGTACAGTCAGAGGCGCAGGAGGGTGAGAGAATCCCCCAGAGACAGCGGGGAACAAAACAGCAGATCTACTGAGATCCACTGCTGAGGGGAGCAGCGGGGAGACAGGAGAGGTCTGCTGCGCCCTGTGGGTAGCCCGCTGGCCGTCCGGGGATCGAATCCCCCCTGCAGAGGCTGCGCCAGACAGCTCCACAGTGCTGCGCTCAACCTGCTGTGCCCCCAGGGAGGCCCTGAAAACTTTTTTAAACAGCTGTGCCAGTGATAAATGCTTTCTTTGGGCTGAGTAACGGCCACGGCTCCAGCTGTGTGCTCGGTCGGCCGTGCGCTCCGACTCCACTCCCGGAGGCAGCGTGTCGTGTAGAGCCGCACAATCACGCAGCAAAGCTAGAAGGCAACGTAGTGTGTGTGCACACTTCAGAGATGCACACCGTGAAGTCCGAGCTCCCCAGCGTGAGAGGGTGCCTGGGGGGCGGGATAGAATTCTGTGAAAAGGCAAATGCAAATGGGAGTTTCGAGAAGAAAGAAACGGATGCGGATCTTCTGATGAAAGCCAGGGCTTCGGAGTGGCTTTCTCTTCAGATGGGCGACGTGGCCATTAAACACCATCGAGAGGGGAAGAGAATGAGTCGTGGTCTGTGACGTGGCGTCACACTTAGGCCTTGGCAGACATTGCATTCTTTGCAACTAGTTATATTTAGGATGAAAATTTTAACTGTCAGATGCATTGCCGGGGGGACGTTTAGCCTTGGAATTCTTTCCGGGGTTTTCTTGAGCAAAGGCAGGCCCCCTCCTGTCTCCCGCCAAGGGCTGGGCGGGGGCCACGAGCGTTGTGTCCTGTTCTTCTTGGTGGCCCGTGGAGGTGACCCCGACTCTTCCAACTCCGGGGGCTTTTCTTTCTTTCACCAGATCTGACCCGACATGCCTTTGTAGACGTTTCGGAAAATAATTTCAACGAATTTTTCAACCTCTTCAGAACGAGCAAGGTAAACGGACTAGGTTATTCAAGAAAAGCCTGACTCTGGAAACCTGCTTTCTTGGAATAAGACTGTCACGGCGCTCCTGTTCTCCATGTAATGACCGAGCGCACGGTGGCCCTCACTAGCGACTTTGTAGGTGGTGCCTGGGTCCGAGCCCCGAGCAGGTGCCCGGCAGGGCCCGGAGAGAGCCCAGGACGCGCATCGTTACAGTCCTAGGGGCAGAGAGAGCCCGGCGCATGCAGGGCGCTGGCGCCTCTGGCCGGGATGGCCTGACCCTGGCCGCTGCATGGGGAAGTCCAGAGGGAAGGGGGCACCTTTCAGGGCTGAAGCTAGAGCTGAAGAGGAGGAGAGTCTGCCCCTTCCTCCTCGGGAGGCCAGACTCCTCACAGGGCCGCGCCAGCTCAGCTGCTCTGACTAAACGCCCCAGATGGGTTTCTCATGGTGCTGGGGCCAGGACACCCCAGCCGGTGTCTGAAGAGGCCCCAGCTCCTGGCGTGTGGGCCTTCCCGGGAGTCCTCACAGGGGTGGGGAGGACCAGAAGGGAGGAGGGAGGGAGGGAGGGGCTCGAGGGAGGGAGAAACTGGGCAGGCTCTGGGGTGTCCTCAGGGCTGAAGCCATCACAGTCTCCCCTCGGGCATTCAGCCTCCTCCGTGGCCTCCCCAGCGCCCGCCTCCGAGCAGAGTCTCAGACTCTCAACCCACCAGTCTGGGGGCACATCCCTAGCACCCAGCACAGGGGTCTTGGGGCCTGGGGCTGCCACTCAAAGCGGAAGGCACCCAGGCACCTTCCTTGGGGCCCGGATGGACTGGAAGAGAAGGTTAGGGTCACGTGTGGGGCTCCCCCCACCAGGTCTGAGGCCCCGCTCTTGGGCAGCTGCATCTGCAGACTCCAGGGCAGGGTGCTGGTGAGTCCCAGCTGTCACTGCGGCCCTGCACAGCCTGCGCTCTGACGCCAGTGCCGCTGGGGTGGAGAAGCACTCAGGCAGAGGATGGATCCGCAGAATCTGGGCTCTGGGGGTGAGGGGTCCCTATGCAGCTTAGGCTCCCCAGGAGGTTCTGTTCCTCCCGGATGGGAGCCCCTTAGATCCTCAGCCAGGAACATTTCCATTCAAGTGGGGACCCCACTGTGGACTTAGCAGACAGCCCACTTCCCGACACTACGGTGAGCCCTTCCCCGGTGAGCCTGTGTCTGTCTTTGGCCCTAGACCAAAATCGAGGACATTAAAACAGAACAAGAACAAGCAGCCGAGAAGTGCATCCGGCTGCACTTCCAGATGGAGCAGATCGTCTACTGCCAGGACCAGACTTACCGGGGGGCCTTGCAGCAGGTCAGAGAGCAGGACAAGGAAGGAGGGAAGAAGCCTAAACAGTCTTTCCAAACCTTCATTTCCCCGGAGTCCTCCATGGAAGAGATCTTTGAGCACCTGGAAGCCTACCACAAGGTGAGTCTAGGGCGTCCTGGAAGGACATTTTCCGAAAGATGCTGACCTCGAATGCCCCTCCCTGGAGTCTCACTGTCTCTGCAGGGCCGACCAGCCGGCCGCCTGCCAGTCCTCTGCGCCTCCCCAGAGTGGGGCAGAGGGAGCAGGAGGGCTGGAGTATCTCAGCCTGTCTCGGCTGGCTGTGTGGCCCTGGCCCCGCCACTTACCCTCTCTGAGCCCCAGCTGTCTTCCTGGTAGAACGGCGTCTCCCTCAGCCTCTTCGCGTGCCCAGCGGGGCGAGTGGGGTGAGCCCCTGACTGAGCATTGCCTGCAAAGGCAGCTCTCCCCGGAGGCTTCAGCCGGAGACACCTGCCTCACGCTGGCCTGTCTCCATGTAGCCCACGAGATGCACCCCACTTTCTTGTGCCTGGCACGCACTGCGGTCCTGACAAGACCCTCCACCAACAAAGACCCCCCCTTGCTGAAGACCCAGAGCCGGGAATAAGCGTCGCCTAGACAGGTGTCTGGCTGAATGAGTGTCTGGCCGGGCCGACACGGGAAACCGGCCCCATAGCGAGGGAACACGTGTTCTGGATGGTCAGCGTTAGCTGGAGCCGGTTTCCTCTCCCTGGCGCTTCAGTCTGCAGAAAGGGCTGGTTTCGAGTCTGATAGGGGAGAGGTGACGGCCCCTCGGGAGGCTCCCCCAGCCCGAGATTCGCTTCCATTGTCTGTCGGCAAACTGTCCGCCTGGGGGCGCCTGCGAGCGGGCTCAGCCCAGGGGTGAGCCCTGGGGTCTGCGAGTGGCTCCACCTTGTGCCTCGCATTAGACGAGACAGGATCTCTAACGTGGATTTAAACCTTTGCTTTTGGGGGTGTCTGTGCTTTTTATCAGACTTGGAAAGGACTTTGTCTCCTGATGACGCTGGTGGACGTGGCCTCTGTGTGCGGTGTCAGCCCCGCCCCCGCGGGTGCCCTCCCTGCAGCACCCCTGGCCCCGAGGCCTGCCAGCCTCCTCCTCCCTCTGCAGTCAGTGGCTGCTTCCCGCCCGGCGCCCCTTTCCAGCCTCAGTCCTTCCAGTGCAGCTTGGGACAGTGGGGCGCTCCCGGCAGCCCGGCCTCGGGCTCGGACAGAAGGCCGCTTCGCCCGTCCAGGCTGGGGCAGGCGGAGGCCTCCCGGGATGCGAGCACAGCTGCTCCTGTGCGTGTCCAGCTCCTGAGGTGGCCCTGGGCTCCCGGCCCATCCTCTGTCTTCAGAACCAGCCCGCGGCCGCGCTGCCTCTCCCCTAGTCACCCGCCTCCCTCCTGCCGGGCCCCCGACCACCAGGTCACTGCCTGATCTTGCCCCCAGCAGCTCCGCCGCAGCCTCCGTGCCCTCTGGCTGTAAGGCAGCGCGGGCAGGCCCGGCCCGGCCCTGCGGAGTGTTGCTCCATCTCTTTCCAGAGCCGGTTGTGGATTCGTACCACGCCCCTGGGGCACTGGGCCGAGCGAGGTCCCCGGGAGGTCCGGAGGTGGCGGGTTCCACCCTCAGAGGTTGTTCCCAGCGCTGCGGAGTCATCTCGCGGCAACAGGGCCCACCTGTGTGATTCACCGCGCGGCCCCCTCCTGTGCTCCCCGAATCCAGCTCTACCGCCCGCGCCCTGGCTCACCGGGGAGATCGTCTCCAGGAAAGGGTGTCCTCTGCTCACTGCCCCTCCCCTGAGCCCTTGCCTCCAGGCCCGGAGCTGGGCCCGTGGCTCGGGACAGTGGCTCTGTCCGTGTTCACACCAGAAGTCACAGCACACACCTGGGTACCTGCTCCGTCCCCCCAGACATGCCTATTCCTTTCGGCCGCGGTGGCCCCTCACCCTCTGGGCCACCTTCATCGGCCTTTCTTCTTCCTTGCCTCCCTCTCCACCTGGGAGCGCAGCCTGCGCCCCAGGCTCTGCCCATGAGCCCCCGTGAAAGCCTCCCCGTGCCCGCGTCTGCCCGCCGTGGCTCTCCTGGTGTTCCAGGCGGCCGGGTGCGATGTCCTCCCTGCTGCGTGGAGAGGGACCCTGAGGCGCAGAGCTTGGCACAGGAGCCAGGATGAGGGACCCCCGGGACCCGCCATCTCCACCCAGCATGTGTCCCTCCCAGTGGCTGCCGGAGAGGGGCGGGGGTCCCGCACAAAACTCAGAGGCCCCTGCTGTGGCTTTGGGGCGCAGCCTCTTCTGCTGAAGAGTCTCAGTGTTGATTTTAAAGGCACAACTTCTTTACTTTGCAGGTGCAGTTTTGTGCGCCGTGAGTTCCCTTTCTCAAGCACATTTTGCCCAAATTCTTCCAGCAGGAGCAGCAGGCGGCACTACGGACCTGGCTGGCACCTGCCCCCCAGCCAGACCCTGCTAACCAGGCCCTGCCACCCACACTGGCGGCTCAGCCCACGGGAGGCCTTCCCCGGGGCTCAGGGGCCCGAGCCATTCACGGCCATGTCCCCTGCGCCCTGCCGTGACCCTCCTCTTTCCCTCCTTGTAGGAGGTCAGCAAACGCCTCTCCAGCCACGTCCCGCTGGTCATCCAGTTCTACATGCTGCAGACCTTCAGCCAGGAGCTGCAGAAGAGCATGCTGCAGCTGCTGCAGGACAAGGACAATTACGACTGGCTCCTGAAGGAGCGCGGCGACACCAGCGACAGGAGGCGGCACCTCAAGGAGAAGCTGGCGCGCCTGTCCCAGGCTCTGCGTGAGCTGGGCAAGTTCCCGGGGTAGACGCCACGCCCCGGGGAGTCTGCACCGGGCTGCTCCCCCACCCCTGCTCGCAGCACCCCAGCATCCTTGTTAGATACCCATCTACAGACAGGCGGTTCCTAGGGCCTCCGGCTATCACCGCTGTGCTTGTCTTCCCAGCAGATGGACTTAGTAAGAGGTTGGGGCCTCACTTCGGGTCAAGCATGGAGACTAGAGACCCCCACCCCCGAGAAGCAGGTGACCTCCATGGGCACTGGAGCAGGTGCATCCCCCCTCCCACACACACAGCTTCCCAGGAAGAGGGTGTCTGTGTCCCTCTGTGTTGGGGCACACTGGCCCACTGAGTGACTGTTCTAGAAGCCAGTCCATTTGTGTATAATAAACGCCTTCCTCCAGACATTGCTCTGACACCTTCTTTATTTGGGGAGCATCCTGACAACCCCAGCAGGTGGGGACCCCCCAGAGGCTGGGGATGGGAGGCACGGAAGCTCCCTCCCCTGGGCTGCACAAGACTCCAGCAGAAAAAAACATCAGGGCCCGGTTATTTGCTGGAGGCTTGAGGCAGCAGGATAAAGTTGAAGAAAAGAAATGGGTGAAGGAAGTGGAAAGCCCAGGGCCCCGGGAGGAGCCGGTGCGGAGTCCAGGGGCTGCAGTCTCCAGGCTCCCGAGAGTCTTGAAGGCCTGCAGCAGCGGATCTGCTGGATCTCGCCCCCAAAACACGCGTTTCTGACCCCGTCTGCAAGTGTCACTGGACACCCTGGGATCCCTTCGCGCAGAAAAGAAATGAAACAGAACGGGAAGCGGCCGTGGGCACTGAGCGGCCACACGTGTGGTCTGGCCGGGCCCAGTGGCCTCTTGCTGGTGCGGATGGCCCCGCTGCAGGTGGCAGGCCTTCTCCCAAATGTCCGGGGCGCAGGGGCTGACTCGGCAGCAGTGAGCCCGGGCATTGGAAACTGACCAGTGTCCAGCCAAGCAGGACAAGCGCTCTGGGGGGAAGGTGGACACCTGCCATGCATGCCCCCCAGGTCTCTTCTCTGGGGCAATCTGGGGGTGGGTCCAGAGGGGGTCCCCGGGAAACAGTGGGCATCAGCACCTCCGTGCCTCTCCAGGGGTTCCTGGCGCGCGCGCACACACACACACGCTCACAGGAGCCAGTTCGACTCAGGCTTAACGCCAGCTCTGGCACCGCCAGGCCTGCGGGCGAGGGTGGCGGCGGAGCCTGGGGTCCTGACCCCACCCGTGTCCCGTGCCCCTTGGAGCTGCTGCCTCCTCCCGCAGCCTTGCAGGCTTTTTTAAAGCTTCAAAATAAACCCGGCAGCCCTTTGCAGACCCCAGCGTTCTGGCGACACCCACAGACCACAGTGGAAACTGCAACTGGAAATGTGCCCCGCTGCCCCGGCACCCTGGGCTCCCGCTGGCCCTGGGGCCGCGGGACGCTGGGGCTGTGGACAGGGCGCTTTTCGGGGCACACCCCGGGCCTGTCGAGCACATGTGTGCTTTGCTGGCAGCTTCACTGTTTAAAGTGGCCCCAGCCCAGGGACGAGGCGGCCAGACCACCCCCGCAGGAGCGAGCTCCCTGTAGCGTTAACACCAGCAGCACCTGTTCAACCCCAAAGTGGCCCCACAGAACTGGCCACAAAACAAGGCCACAGCCTGGCGGGCTGACAAGGGCTGGGTGGCCACCAGCAGCTGACCTTGGCTGTCCGCAGTATCTTTTTCTTTAAGATTTATTTTCCTTTATGCATGCAAGAGCTGGGGTGCTGGCCAGAGTGCGGGGTGAGACAGAGTTGGGTGGGGGTAGAAAGAGTGGGGAGCAGAGCATGTGGATCTACTGAAATCCCCTGCTGAGGGGAGCAGCGGGGAGACAGGTGAGGTCTGCTGTGCCGTGTGGGTAGCTCCCTGGCCAGGGATCGAACTCCTGCTGCAGTGGCTGTGGACAGCTTCGTAGTGCTGAGACTTAACCCCTGCGCCCCCAGGGAGGCCCCTCGGCTACACTCGGTGCAGTGCAGGCCACCACGGCTTTATGGGACGTAACCACCAGGCGTCGCAAGATGAAGGTGTCTTCTCACTGAACGTGTGCTGTCCTTCCTGTTTTTGTCACATCTGTCCCCACAATTTTAACACACCTGGGGCTAAAGCAGACAAACCACCTCCCCCACCCCTGGCAAGTCCACGCCACCTGCTGGGGTGGAGAAGGAAAAGAACGAGAACAGACTCAAAACCCCACTCTCACCTGCAACCGCCCTGCAGGACCTGAGGTGCAGGCTCCCGGGGAAGCAGACAGCAGCACCTCAGAGAGGTGGCTAGAGGGGAGGAGAGGGGACGGAGACTCGGCTGGCCTTTGGGCAGGTGGGTCTGCAGACCTGGGGGACACAGGGCCAGAGGCCTAGCGGGGAGCTGGGCTCAGGGCGTGACTCTAGAGGCAGGGTGCCAACAGAGCAGGGCCGGCTGAGCTGGTTGGGGACCACCCAGAGAGCTGCTGGCCCCACCGGCCACCGTGGCCGCGTCAGCCCTGCCGCCCACAATCACTGCCGGCAAGGAGAGCAGCTTCACCAGGCTGCTCTCCAGAGACTTCACTCTTGTTTGGAAAAAATGCATAATTTATTTGTACAGCATTTCACAATTGAATTTTACAATTTATAAAAGATACAGAACAGAAGACAAACGGTGGTCGATAAATAAATCAAGGCCCTAAGGCGGAAAGCGGGAAGCTCTGGCAAGGCCACTGGCCGCTGGGGGGCTGCGTGTCTAGGAGCCCGGGGGCGGCCGGTGCGTGGAGGTGGGCGGGGTGCCCTGTGAGCGGGACCACGGACCCCGCTGCAGGCAAGTCCCAGCCGCGGGATTCTCCAACTCCTGGAAAGCAGCGTGCCTGAGAGGAGTCCAGGGACAGGCGAGTCCTGCTGAGGCCAAAGCCCCTGGGACCCCTTGGGGGTGGCCACAGCCCCGTCTCTTCTTGGCTGTGCCCACAGGCTGTTCCTCAAAGCTCTCATTTCCAGAACATTCCATCAGTCAGGTGGTAAAAGCGGCCCCCGCCTGCAGTGGGCATCCGTGGCAAGGAGAGAGATGGTTTGGAGGGAGCACAGACATCGCCATCAAGATTCCACAAACACTGAGGTAGTAACATGGAGAAATCACTTGGAAAGTGGGACTTCAATCACGCACCCCCGATTTCCCCAGGTGATGTTAATTTCCACATGATTAGCAGGCCCGAGAGGGTCCGCAGGCACCCGGCTCCGCCGAGGTAAGCGCCATGGTGGGTGAGCACAAGCTCAAGAGGCAGCGAGGAGCGGGAGTGAGGCAGGTGTCCCTGGGAGGGTCACCTGCCCAGGTGTGCAGGGGGGGTCGTGTGTGCGGTGGCCTCCCCAGCTCCCAGGCTCGCCGGCCAGGCTGTCACCCCTGCGGGGTTAGAAGATTCCTAGTCCCCATGGGTGACTATCAGTCATCACCCCGGAAAAGCTGGGCCCTTTCCTTCCGGCCTCCATCTGGGGCCCTAAACATGAGCAGCCGGAAGTCCAGGGGGACAGGCTGAGCCTGAGAGCGGCCCCCAGGCTGCCTGGCCCGTCCCTCTCCCACTGAAGGTGCCGGGCAGTGGACGGCACCAGCACCGTGTGCAGCCCCAAAGCAACCCCCAAAAAGGCACGGAAGGAAGACCCCAAGGGGCCGACTCACGCGGCTGCTCTGCCTGTGCAGAAGGGGCCTGCACCCAGGGCCAGCCCCGGAGGAGGGTGGGGAGCCTGGGGAGGAGCCACACGTGTGGCCTGCACAGAACTGTGGAGAGCGCCAGAAACAGACAAGCTCATGATTTAATTAGATGGGGACCTCGAATCACTCGTAAAAACACAGTACGCATAGGGAGGCAAAGTCAGTCCTTGGTTTTCTGGTGGACCCGGGTCAGGACAGGGCCGTGCCGATTAGTTGTTTGCCTGTTCAAAAAAGAAAAAGAAACGGTGTGATTTTCTTAAGACAAAAAAACGTGGAAAATTATGTCCCCCTAGGTTGAAAGGAGACGCTTAGCGCCCCAACGAGCACGCTGGCTGGGACAAAGGGTCCTGCTTCTGCAGCCAGGAAGGGCCGAGTGCTAGGCCCAGCGCGGAACGGAGCTCCAGGAGGCGAGATGAGCCTGTGCAAAGGCCCTGGGGCGAACAGAAAGTGGCGGGTGGGGAATCGAGTCCTCCAAGCAGCTGGAACACAGGCCTCTGGGAGAATCAAGCCTGACCCTCGCCCTCGTACCCCCAAATTCCCAGCAGCTACAGAAAGACAGAAAGCACAGACCCTGCACGTGCCGGGTTTTGCTCGGCGCACACACGGCGCTACAGCCTAACTGGTAAGACAGGCCCAGGAAGAGATGAGCCATCGCTAATAAGAAGGTAGAACAATTCTAACCACACCCGGCAGTAAGAGTTACGTGAACGGGGTTTCTCTCGCAAAGCATCTCACTGTGGACAGCGTTTTTGGGGCTATGGTTGGCCGAAACCTTGGAGAAAGGGGCCATTTTCCTCTTTCTGCCACTCTCTCTCCTGCCACCCAGACTTTTTATGCTGCGGCCGGCCCTGCTGGGCTCTGGGGTCCCCTAGAGCCCCCAGTCTTGCCCTCTTCATGAGGGAGACACCAGCCTGGCTCTGGGAGCACCCCCCACACACACACACTGAAGCCCCTTCAAGAATCAATGCGTTCATGGAAACTGCTCGGTGCAATGTTTTTTCCTTTTTGGTACTCAACAGTACCGGAGCCCCCTTTTGGGTGAGGCCTGCCTACACCCAACCCAGGGCTAGCCCTGGCCCTGCCCCTGCTGCAGGTCTTGAACCCCATTCCTTGTTGTCTTCATGCCTGGGCCTGCCTGACTCTGAAGGGGACTCGAGGGAGGCTGTCTCCTCAGCCCCCGCAGGGCCACGAGGGTAGGGAGAAGTGGGCAATGCCCTGGGAGAGAATAGGGCATGCAGAGGGGTCCTGCAGTGGGGATGAAGCCGCCTGCCCCGCCCGTGGACATCGCCAGACTTGGCCTCCCCAAGGTCTGGCTGGGTGGACGCAGTCGGCTGAGCCAGAACCAAGTGCGGCCAGCAGGGCACAAGCCAGATCTGGTCAGCTCTGCACCCCACACTCGTCGGGAGAGCCAGACCCCCAACCCGTGTCTCCAACCAGCCGCCAGATGCTGCTTGTCAGCCATTTCGCCCGTGCCCCTGGCAGGTGGTGGAGGGGAGGGGTCAGAGGGCGTGCGGACCGCAAACCCGAGGCCAGGAGGCAGCCTGGACGTCACCCGCCTGCGGCAGTAGTCCCTCCCCTGCGGCCGGACGGGACCGCCCACGGCGCTGCCCAGGGCATCAGGCAGCGGTGGGAAGACGGACACGCACCCGCATCTGCCGGTAGATCCAGTCGGTGAACAGCGTGATGTTCCCGTACACCCCGGGCCGGTTAGGCTTGGCGCAGCCGGACCCCCAGCTCGTGTCCCCGACCAGCCACCAGACGCTGCTCTTCAAAGTGACCAGAGGGCCTCCGCTGTCACCCTGGGACAAGCAAGTCACAGACAGATCACAGCGCAGTCCACACCCTGCCGGGCGCGGGCAGGGCCCGGGGCTCCAGGGCGTCACCCCTCCTCCAACGAGGCAACGTGAACGGGACCCCCAACAGACTCCACACCAGCGGGGATCAGCCGGCATCGGATCATCTGGACCACCAGCTAACGGGCACCCAACACGTCACTGTCCAGATGTTTAAATAGTCAAAGTATGCATTTCCCTTCGCCGACGCCTGAACAGAGTCACGGCCTCGTGGAGAAGGCAGGGGTGGGCGTCACCTCCCACAGCCGCCCAGCGCGGGCGCCCCGGGGACAGGCGTCGCGCATCCCTACGGCGACCCGGCCAGGCCCAAAGGTTGAGGTTTCCTGGAGGGGTCGATCTGCACTCGAGGTCACCTGGCAGGAGTCGATGGTCCCCTGCAGGTAGCCTGCGCACATCATGGCCGGCGTGATCAGGCCGCTGTAGACGGCCTTGTTGTTGCAGCGCCAGGTCTCGATGAGGCGCACGTTGGCCGCGTTGAGCTCGTCTGAGGTTTGTCCTGCCGCACAAGAGACCACAGCGCTCAGCTGCAGCAGGTCCCGCGAGGAGCTCCCAGCCCCCAGGGACACTCCACACTCACACACACGCGCACACGCACACACATGCACACACACAAACATGCACGCGTGCACGTACACTCACATGCACTCTCGCACACAAATATGCATACACAGAATACACACCCTCATGCATGCACAACATGCACACATAAACATGCATACATGCATGTACTCACACGCACGATTGCATGTATATGCACAAACGCATGCACACACACACAGCATGCATACACTGTCACACACACATGCACACTCACACATACACACACTAGACAGGCAGCCATGCCTCCTCCCCTCCCAACACCAAGCCCTCCCCACACAGCCGGGTCACCCCTACACCCCAGAGCCTGGTTGACAATCTCCTGCCTCTGGAGCCACAGAGCTCCGCTGTGTTCCAGAACTATCCTCTCTCAGCCCCAGCCACTAGTTCAATTCTCCTCCTTCCTCGCCCCCTCTTCCCTGGACCCTGTGGGGGCTCCCTGCCTTCCAACAACCTCCATCACCCACATTGTCTCCCTTCCAGCGCCTGCCCATCAGACCCATCTTGTCTGGACTTCAGCTCGGATGGACATCAGGCTTGGCGTGCTCAATCTCCACCCCACCCCTGGAACACCCCAGCTTTGGAAAGGGCACAATGTGCCGCAGGGCCCGCTCCCTCGCCTCCCACTCTCTTCCCTGCCCACCTCGTCCATCAGCAGATCTGGTGTCTGTTCTCCCATCAGGTTGTCCCGGCTCCCTGGCTCTCGCTGGCTAAGAGCCAGTCCCCTCACCACAGCCCATGAGGTCCCCCTTACACCCCCCCTGACCTCAGTCCTGGCTCCTTGTGGCCCTGTGCTCCTTAGACATCCCTGTCACTCAGCACCAGCTCATACATCACCTCTGCCGAGCAGTCTTCCCTGACCACCCCTCCAGAGCAGCCAGGCCTTCTGCTGCTGGGAAGCCCGCAGTCCTGCTATTTCCTGTGGCCTGGCCACGCTGTCCCCCGGCCTGCCCAGGAGAGCATGAAGGTCCAGGCAGGGGTTCCCGTCTGCTCCTGCTCACTGCTGTACCCCCGGCCCACACGAGGCACCCCATAGGGGCGTCCATTCTCCCTCTCGTCCTGGTCCTAGAGGCTGCGGGCCAAGGCCCCGACACCACCCTCACCACCCGCTGCGCCCCATCCCCACCCTTTGGGAAGAAGGATGCAGACAACCCATAAAATGTCTCTCTGTGCTGCCAAGTAATTTCAACTCCATCAAAAGAGGGCAGCTGGGGCCCCTTCATTTAAAACTAGTCTCTGAGGTGAGGCGAAACTATCACCGAAGGGAGCGGAGCAGCAGGGGGTGGGCACTCACGGCAGAGCTGCCCACACACCCCAGGCCAGGCGACCATGCCCACCGTCCCTGAGCCGCTGCGGGCACGCCCAGGTCCAGGCAGCCGCAGGCAGCGCGGACACAGACACAGGCTGTGTGCTGGGACAGTTATTAAGACACACACGTCGTTCTATTTGACCCTGAAAAGACCTGTCAGGCAGGGCAGGCGTGACGTTCCCCACCCAGCAGATGGGGAAACTGAGGCACAAAGCCATCTGATCACCTGGTAGCAGAATAGGGTGAAAACCCGGACCTGCCACTTCCCAGCCCAACACCCTGCTCCGCGGGACCTGGCCAGGGCCTCACCTTTCTCGGAGGTGGCCCCCCACCCGGAGGTCCAGCAGGACTGCGTGGGCTCCAGCATCAGGCCTGGGTTGGGCAGGCACACGGGCCTCACCCTGTCTGTTTCAAGCAGAGAACACCTGTGAGCCGGGACGGGTGCGCCAGCCACAGTCACCCCCCTGACCCAGCCCGGGGGGCGGGGGCCTGGCACCACCCCGCCCCACCCCAGGAAAATTCTGGATTCCACCCCACTGTCGTCCACAAGCTGCCCCAGAGGCGAGGCGCTCCCTTCTGGAGGTTAAGCCCCTTGTAAATGGAACTACCTGCTTTTAAAAATACACAATTAACTTTTTCAAGCTTAAATCTGCAAGAAACAGAAATTCAAAAAGAGGTTTCTCAGTGAGAGAGAAAGAAAAGGCACAGGTGAGCCGGCTGGAAAGCGCCAGTCCGGGCTGGCCGCCGCCCGACCGACTCCCCTCTCAGGCAAGCACTGTGTGGGAGGCGTGAGGTTTACTTCTGGACCCACAGGCGTGGAAGGACCTCGGATGGTCGAGACCGGGAAGCCAAGTTCGCTTTTCATCTTTTAAATTAAGCCTCATGACCTCAGCGTGCTTCTGGGCTTGGAGGCCAGAGCGCTTCTCAGCTAAAGGCACACGGCCCGCAGGGACGTTTGGCGACACAGGGGGGACACTGCTGGCCCCCGGTGGGCTGAGGCTGGGGTGCTGCTCGGGCCCTGGAGGGTCAGGAGCCCCACAGCAGAGCGCCTGTGTTTTGGGGAAGCGTGAGGGGCTGCGCCCCCCAGGGCACAGGGTCGGGCGGCAGCCCCTGCAGAGCCCTGGCTCCCCGCCCCTCCACAGTCCACCCCGGGTCTGCGCCCTCAGCCCTGGCCACCCGCAGGGCCCCGGCCGCCTGAGGGCCCAGCACCGTTGAAGGTCATTGGCGCCTGCAGCTTCATCAGGGCGATGTCGTAGTCCTTGGTCTTGGTGTCGTACTTGGGGTGGACGATGACCTTCTTTATCCTGTGTCCGGTCCCGAAGAACATGAAGGATTGCCTCAGGACCCCGGCGTACGCCGTCCAGTACCACGGGTTGTTGAGCGGCCTGGAGGGTGAAGAAGACCCGCCAAACTCATTTCAAGAGCCTCGAGCCCAGACACCCCTCCCCAGGCCACAGGGAGGCAGGCCAGACGGCTCAGGGCCCCCCACCCAGACTTCATCCCCTACCCCGTGCCAGGGGCAGCTTCCGTCCCTCCTGGGTGATTCTCTCCAGCCTGGACCCTGGAATTCCCAGGCCCCTTTCCCTTGGGCCTGAAGCCCCGAGGTTCCCAGCCTCGTTCCTACAGGACCGGCTAGAGCCTTTCGCCACCACAGCAGGGGCTTCACGGGGGTCCTGAGGAGCAGAACCAGGGTCTGAGGCCATGAGGCGTCACCGTCCCCCAGCCGTCTCCTCTGGACAACCCCAGCCCCTCGGGGCCGTTGGTAGCAGAAGCGCACAGCCTGGGAGACAACCGTGCTTCCCTCCCCTCCTGGGGCGAGGCGGCGCACCTGGCCCACAGGCCTGCACAGGAGGGCCACACCCCGCACCGTCCCAGGCCAGCAGGGCCAGGCCGGCCCCCACGAGAGCGAGCACTGGGCCTACAGCTGCCCGTCTACACAGACGCCGGTGGCCAACCTCACCTGGGCCAACCTAACTGGGGCTGCAGAGAACCTTCTGGCCCCGCAGGGAGTGTCTGGCCCTGGGTGTGTCTGGCGCATCCCTCCCGGAGGGCACCCTGGGGGTCCCCAAGCCATCAGGGCTTCAAGGAGGGGAGGGGAGGTGGAGAAGAGCACCTCCGTGGAAGAATTCTGATCTCAGTGACCCCCCAGTCTTGCTGCACCCCACGTCTTCCAGAACCCTGCACGCATGGGACCCCGACCCAAGCTTGCTCAAGCCCGGGACCAGCACTGCTCCCTGGCACCCGGCACCCCTCCACCGCGGCACACGAGGCCAAGACTCCTCCCCCTGCCGAGGCCCACCCTGGCGCGCGCCCGCCCCGGCCCGCGCCCACGTACTCCTCCACGCAGTGCGCCGCCGTGATGATCCAGTCGGGGGAGATGATGGAGCCCCCGCAGACGTGGATGCCCTGCACGTGCAGGCTGACCTGCCAGGGCCAGTCCCCGGGGCGGGCTTTGCTCCCGCCCACGATGCGGCTCTCGCGGGTCATCTTGGAGGACACCCCGCACTCTGAAGAGGAAGGGCAGCTGCTGGGAACTGGCCCGACCCCACGCCAGCCCCCGCCGCCCAGCCCAGGGCCCCGCGGAGGAGGCGGCGGGCGCTGCAGGACCCAGTCTTCACCAGAACGGGAGACGGCCTTCCTGTCTGAGCCCTCACCCCCTCGCCCCATCAGCAGAGAGCCTGTCCCCCCAGCCCCGGATGGGCCCCAGGGGTGGGGGCGCAGGGGGAGCCTCAGAGACCCAAGAAGCTCACTCTTGGAGCCAGGTGGGAAAGGAAGGGCGGGGGCCGAGGGCGGGGCTTCCCAGGCAAATCCCTGGGTGTTCGAGCCCCTGCCTGTCCTCGGTCCCCCCAACATGGAGGTCAAGGCCAGACGCCTCTAAAGTGTCTCCCTATGCATCCCTCGGCTCTGTGCCTCCCTGGGGGTGCTGGTGCCAGGAGGTGGAGGCTGGCCGGGAAGCTCCTGCCGGCACCACAGGGACAGCATGGCCCACCCAGCGCCCCTGGGAGCTCCCCCTCTTCCAAGTGACCGCTGAGCTGCAGGCCCAGGTCCTCACGGGACACAGCGCCCTCCATCGTGGCAGCAGGCTTGGGGACTGCAAGTAGCCCCACGCAGAGAGGTAGGCCAGAGGCCGCCGGCTCCGCCTCTGTCGGGGCACAGGGCGCCGTGGGGTCTCAAGAGCCATCCCTGTGGGGCCAAGGCGCCTACAGCCTGAACCCCAAGAGTGGACGGCGGGTCATGCTCTGTGGGGTCCTATCCACAGGCTCACACGGATTCAACCACACGTGACATCAGCGGCTGAACCTGCAGACTCAGAGGTGAGTCTGCCACACGCGGATTTGGAATGGGGGAGGGCGCGGGCACCCCATCCCCGAGTTGTTCCAGGAACAAGTGTCCCCCAGAATTCCACAAAGGTGCTCCCTGAGCAGAACCAGGGCGCCAACAGAGACCTCGGGGCTGGGCCGGCCCGGCCCTGTCTCCTTCCCGCTCCTCACCCCAGACACAGGGGACGGGGGGCTGGTTTCTGAGGCGTGGAATGGCCCCACTCAGACCCGGCCAGGAAGGCGGCTCCACTCACCCACGCAGCGGAGCGCGACCACGGTGTTGGAAGGGCAGGCGTCACTGCAAAAGAAGACAGGCCGCGGGTCACCCTCAGGCAGGGAGACACTGAGAAACGCGTCTTTCCCCAGAGTCCTCACGGAGAGCGCTCGGCTGAGAGTCAGACAGGAAAGTGACCCTGTGGAGGGCGCAGCGGTCCGTGGTCAGAGCAGACCCTGGTCAGAGCACCGGGCTCAAGTCCCGGCTGTGCGACCCTGGGCACGACCTCCCCGTGCCTTGGCTTCTCCCACCTGTAAAACGGGGTAACAACGGCACAGACTCCGTCGCATTAACCACCAATTTTATTCTTGGGGTTTAAAGTCGCCTTTAACCTCGTAAGGAAGGAATTAGGCTCCTGCTTCTACTGTACACTTGCTACAAAAAACCAGAACAACCAATACCCTGGGAGTGCAAGAAAAGCTACTTGGGAGAACATTCCAGGTTACAGATGAGAAAGCGGTAACCCCCCGTCTGGCACAAGTGCGTTTCCCGAAGGAGCCGAGGACGAAGCAGGCTGACGCCAGGCACTAGCGGCGAGCAGAGCCCGCTCCAAGCGCGTCCACACCCAACCTGGGCACCGAAGGGGCAGGACACGCTCTTGGGCATGGACTGACAGGACCTTCCTGGCCACACAGTGACCAGCAGCCCCGGGCCAGCTAACACGATGGCCGCGCTTTGCCAAGCCCGGCAGGGGCCGGCCACACGCCGCCCGCGGCCTAGAACCGTCACCCGCTCGAACAGCGTCGCTCCACAGACAGCGGGTTCCTGGGGCTTCCCCCGGCGCCCACGAGCCCGCATCCTAGACTGAGTCCTTGCCCGGGGACACCCAGGTTCCGTGACCACAGGTGTGTCCAGGGACGCTGGCTGGGGACAGGGGGCCGCAAGTGCCCAGAGCGGACACGTCCGTTGAGGGAAGACGTTTACTAAGGGCGACCCCTCCGCGAGGCCCGCTGGGCAGCACCGGCCCCGGCTCACAGCGGCCGTCCAGGGGAGCCTCGCGGGCGTGGAGACTCAGGGCAGCCTCTTCAAGAAAAGCAGTTGCCCTGGACCCCGCAGCACCACGAGCCAGCAACGACCTCCTCTTCCCCGTGAGCTCTGCAGCTGCTCGTGGAGCCACCGATGCAGAGACCGAGCTGCCCGGGTCTCCGCAGCGGCCCCCACACTGGTTGGACAGGAAACACCGCACCCGCCGAGCCTGGGCAGCTGTGCTGGGCCCTGGCGGCACGGCCTGCCAGCTGCTCTGAGGTACACCTGGCCATGCTCACCCCTCGTCTGCGCATTCCAGGCTCCCGAGGCCCAGGGGACACCAGCCCCAACGCTGCAGCCACAGGAATGCAAACCTGCCTCCACCTCCACCCAGAGAAAAGGAGGGGGCATGAAGAGCTTGAGCTCCCCCAAAACACGGCGCTTGGCCCCTGGCTGGCAGGGGGTGGTGGCTGGCAAGCCACCTGGGCTGAGCCTGGGGACCTGGGCGCCCCGGAGATATAGGTCTAGGGTCTTCGCTTCAAGAACATTTGGATGGCAGGGACAGCGCAAGGCACTGCAAACGGGCAATACGAGCAGGGAGCTGAAGCCCCTCCCCTGCCCCACTGCTGACCAGCAGGCCGCCAGGCATGGGACCTGGGCACACCATGACCACTCTGGGCCAGCGGGCTGTGGGGGTACAGGAAATGCTGGCTGACCTGGACCAGCTGCTGCAGCGGCCAGACCCAGCACCGCCCACCCCTCTGATGGCAGAGCCAGGGCAAGCTGGGTGAGCTGATCCCCTGGGCTGGGGCCTGAAATGTTCTTCCGTTCTTCGGGACACCCCGACGCACAGCAGGCACAGCTCCAGGGCCTGGGAGTGAAGACATTGAAAGGTGGACTCCCATGACGGCTGCGCTGTCTGCTGGCAGCCAGGGCACAGGGCACAGGGCAGAAGGCACAAAGAAAACGGCCGATGAATGGTCACTGCTCCAGGAAGGACCAGCCTGGTCAGCACCCAGCAAGAGACTCCGCGCACGCCAGAGCCACAGGCTGGCGACCTCAGGCTCAGGACAGCAGTCCCCAGGCTCCTCCTCTGCAAACGAATGAAGAAATCCCACACCTGTGGTAGAGCTTTTTGTAGAGGTCCATGTTGCCGGCGCTGGAGTTCAGCTTCATGAAGCTCGTGGCCCCGCTGTCGTCCACGACTCCTTGGCTCGAGTAGAAGCTATTCCTGCAGCAGAGAGAAGGTGAAGCAGTGTGACGCCGGCACCATCACCCGGCCGAGGGCACCCTCCTCCTGGGTGGCCTTCGACCAAGAGGGACCTTGGCGTCGTGGGAAGCAGCCCCAGGCCCCATCAAGGACACTACATGTGAAGTTGCCCCGTCCCTGCGCCAAGTGGCAGGGGAGGGCCACCACCAGGATGCTTTACGGGGCGCGAGACGCCCCAGCTAGTGTTCCCGCAGGTTCTGAGGGCCAGAGGCTTTGCCGTGACATCCACCTTGCTGGGGTGGCGGGCTGAGCTCTTCCCCAGCTAAGACAAACTTTCTGGCAAGTGGCAATCCATTTTGAAAACTGGCATACAAGAACACCCCGGAATTACATGGAGACCACATGGGCACACACCCAAGGAAGGGAAGGTGGCAGTGAAACCACACAGCAATTGTTCATAGGACCCAGCAGTCCCTGTGTAGAAACCTACCCAAAGGAAGTAAAAACACTCATTTGAAGGGACACATGCTCTGCCGTGTTCACCCAGCACTATGCACAAGCACCAGCGGCAACCACCCCCGCGCCCGAGGAAGAAGAGTGGATGGGGAAGGTGTGGTCCACACACCGTGGAATATTATTCAGTTGTGAAAAAGATGAAATCCTGCCATTTGCCACAAGATGGATAAAATGGACAGTGATGACTAAGTCAGAAGGAAAAAGACAAATATTGAATGATTTCGTTCATATACAGAGCAAAGAAACACACAAAAGCAAAACAAGATTAAAAAAAAAAACCCAACCTAGAAATCTGACTGCAGATGGAGCTACCCAAGGGCAGGGTGGGGAGCAGGGAGCATAGGGACACAACGCAGTGGACTGTGGTGGGGGGTCACTGGGCATTGGTGGTGGGTGTGGGTGGTAACATGTATTTGTAGAGGGGTGACCTGTACCCCTAAACCATACACAGTGTTGTAGACCAACGCTACTTCAATAACCATGACTTTCAAGAAAGGACCATCACACAGCCTTCCCCGCGAAGCCGGCCTGCCAGCCCTCCCCACAAGACACTGTGAGCTGAACACCTGGGCCGAGTGCCCCTGCCTCCTCTCCCACCTTCCTTGGCTGCACCCCGTAATCTACTGTCTCTGGTATGAAGCTGACAATCAGTTCTCTCCCCTTAAACTCCTCCTACAGCCGTGCAGTGAAGGTCAAGCTGTCTCTGTCCCTACAGGCCCTCCCCAGCCCTGTTCACACCAGGTCCCGGCCGGCATCTAGACCTGGGGGTGGTGGCGCTGGATCCCAGGAGTGGACGCAGGCCCAGCAGGGGGGCAGCGAGCCTGTGCCTCACCTCCAGGAGAGGCAGGGTGGGGATGGCGGGGCCCAGCTCTGGAAGCAGACAGCTGACCCCGCACTCACACAGGCACTTCCAGGCAGGCAGAGGGAAGTTCTGGGCCCTCTGACCCCGCAACTGACCCTGGGCGCCGCGCCCGGCAGGGCCCACACTCACCGGTAGCCCATGTCCTGGCAGGCGGCCCGGCCGTAGGCGTCGCTCCAGCCATCCTGACACACGGGGTACCAGGCCTTCCTCTGGGACGAGTACACCTGCAGGAGGAAGCTGGGTCCGTAGAGGCGAACTGCAGAAGGAGCATGTGCGTCTCAGCCAGCGGAGCTGACGGCCGGCGACCCAGCAGCCCAGCACCCCGGCTCCCGTGGCTGGAAGTCTCCCCCTCCGTGGTCTTCCCCGGGGAGAGCGCTCAGTGCCCCGCAGACTGAGAAGCAGTGTTCACACGGAACCCACGCACGGCGTCCTTAGCGGCGTCAGCCACAAGAGCCCAGGCTTGGGAAATAATCCGAGTGGACGGATGGCCGGCCCTCCGGATGCAAGGTCCTGACCCCATGGGCGTGGGCACCCCCAGACAGCGGCCTGGACCCCAGCTCTGCGGTCTGCTACGGCCAGGGGAGCGCACAGGGCGGGGCGGCGAGTGGGCTGGGCTCAGGGGTGCCGGGGAAGCGAGGCTGCTCCGTGTGGGCCTGTGATGACGTGTCCTCGCCCATCCGCCCCCTTTCGCTGTCCAAGTGGAAACACGCTGTGTCCACACACGGCCGCAGCTACGCGGGCCAACAGTCAGGAGCAGGCGCCGGCCGCCAGCTGGGCGGCAGGAGTGTCACCGAGCGGACAAGCTCCAGGCCGGGGGCAGGACGCCCACTTAATCCTCCCTGAGGAAGACGCGGTGGCGACCACCTCCAGGTGTGCGCGCGAGTGTAAACAGTGGGGGGTGGGAATCGTCACAACCTGCCCTTCGCTGCTTCCTGCACTTTGACCTTCGTGCATATTTTAACTCTAAGGTGTTTCAATGCATAAATAAGACTCAGACAACCGAGACAGGCCCTGCCTGGAGGACGCTGCGTGTGCCTGGCTAGTTTCTCTTGCACGGGCGTGCGACTCCACCCCAAAATCTCCCTTCAAGCCAATGGCGACAAACGCATCATCGCTGTAACAAAGAGGAGGTGAGTCACCCCCGGACGCTAGGGCTCGGGATGCAGGGCCGCGAGCTGCAGGGACAGACACGCTGTCCACGCGGGAGCGGAGGCACAGGAGACCTCGCGGTGGACACTGACAGCCAGGACCACGGCGCCTCCAAGGCCCTGGCCGGGCATGGAGACCCCAGGACGCCGCCCTCCTGCACAGCCTGTCCGCGGCCACCTGTATTTACAATAAGCGATGTTGGGGGACCATACCGATGATGTGCCTCCGGGGGAGGGCAATGTGGGTACACAGCCACCAGCGCCGTGGATTTGGGGTGCCTGGTCGTGCTGGGTAGCGCTCACGAGAGGAGACAGTCCCTCAGAGAGAGTCATCCAGAGCAGAGCCAAGCCCTCGCATGCCAGAGGGGGCCTCGGTTCCTCATCCTCCAGGACCACCCGCGCCCCAGCAAACATGGCCTGCCATCGCCCCAGGCAGGGCGTCAAGGCTGGGAGCACCCCTCCACCCCCAGTGATCACCTTCAAGGTGAACAGGCTTCCCCTGGTGGCTGGCCAAGGTGGCAGGGCAGGGCCCAGACCACAGCATCTCCTAGGCCACCTGGCAGGCACGCAGCCGCTGGAGTCCGGGCCGAGGGGCTGGCAGTGCCCCGTGTGGGCATTAACACTTCTGGCAGTTTCTACAGCAACGAGTTGAAGGACCTGGACTTCCTCTGGGAGTGGATGAACACCAGCCCCATCTGGGGCCCCGCCCCGTCCTGGCCCCGGCAGCAGCTGCCCCAACAGACCCACCCGCCCCGGCCGCCCCGGCCCCGGCCCGCTGCCAGGTGTGTGACGGCATCTACCCCCGGGACAAGAACACTGGGCGGTGGTGTCTGCTGCCTCGAGGCTGCATGGCTGACGCATCCAGGAAGGTGTGCTCGGGAGGGCACAAGCTCGCGCGGTGAGCTGGCAGCGCAGGGCAGCCCGGGCCGGGAGAAGAGGAGGCGGGAGAAAGCCAAGACCCATCGCTACAGAGAAAGCAGCTCACGGGCTGTGGACACAGGCGGAGAAGAGTGTGGAGAAGAACGTCGACGGCTCACAGCGGCCTGCGGGGGCCGGGCCGGCCCAGCCCCAGAGAGCTGGCTGCCTCCACTCGGAAAAAAAGCGGGGACCATTAAAATTAGAGAAGAACTGGCCAAGCGGTTCCCTTGGAAAGGGAATTAGTGGGAAGGAGCCCCACTTTCCACTGCGCGCCCTTAGTACCATGTGTGGGTATTGCCATTCTAAAGGTTTGGTTTGTTTTTTTTTTTAAAGCCAAAAGCAAAGCAAACAAAAAATAAAGGACGGGCCCTCCCTGGAGGCGCAGGGTTAGTCTCAGCGCTATCAAGCTGTCCGCAGCCTCTGCAGCACGCGTTCCATCCCCCGCGAGGGAGCTGCCCACGGTGCAGCAGACCTCTCCTGTCTCCCCGCTGCTCCCCCAGCAGTGGATCTCATCAGTCTGCCTGTTCTGCTCCCCACTCTGCCTCTGGTGAATCCTCTCACCCCCGCACCTCTGGCCTGCACCCCAGCTCTTGTAAATAAATAGAAAATAAATCTTAAAAAAATAATAAAGGGAGGATGAAAAGAAGGAGGAAGGGAGGAAATTCTTCCCTCGTGTGGCCTTGTCCTCCATCACCGCCCAGGGGTGTGGGGAACCCCCGATGCCCTGGGATATGGGGAACCCCGGGACTGACAGCTTGGGGCTCAGGCGGCTGGGAATACAGAAGGGGCCCGAGTCTCTGCTGCTTCGGTCGCGCAGCGAGTGCCTTTTAAAGCCTGGGCGGTTCTACGAGCCGTGTCCGCCTCATTCTCCCGCGGCCCACGCGATCCTGAGAGTTTTAGGAAAAGCGCCGCTGGCGCAAGGGGGTCGGTTTCGGTGTTTGTACAGTGGGCGGGCACCTCAGGCTGGGCCGGGCGGGCGTCTGCTCAGCTTCCCAGGAGGCCAGAGTCCCCGCTGGGCGCTGCCCGCAGCTGTGCGCCTGGCGGGGGCGGGGACAGGGGTGTTGTGGAAGCCGAGACCGGCAGGTGCAGCCAAGAGCTCACGGGCATCGCCCTGGCACCCCCCTTGTGCTTTGTGATCCGAAATGAATATAGTATTTTCCAAGGAAATAATAAAAGCCGTCGCCGCTCCCGGACAACAGATGTGTGTCCCGAACCTGCAAGGCAGCTTGTGCAGAGAAGAGCGCGCACCCCGGCTGTGGGGCAGGCGGCCCGCCAGGGGTGTTGCCGGTGGTGGTTAAGGCTCCCCTCGGGGCCTCTGACTGGGGGGGGTTGGAGCCCCCCCAGAGCCCGGAGCCCGGGCTCAGCCGCCAGCAGGGAGCCGTGACCCGGGGCAGACGGGGCGCAGACTCACCGCAGCGGTTCTCGTCCTCCCCGCCGGGGCAGTCCAGGACCCCGTCGCACCACTGTGAGGGGCTGACGCAGGTCCCCGAGGAGCCACACTCCATCCCGGAGAAGGCGCATTTGTTCGCCACTGCGGAGAGGGGAGACCCGCCAGGCTGAGACCGGCAGGTGCCGCCAAGAGCTCCCTGGTCCCCGCGCCCAGCACCCCCACCCCCGCCAGAACAAGAGGGAAGAATCTCGGTGCCCGAGCTTTAACAAGGAGGCGCTGAGTGCCCTGCAGGACCACAGGACGAGGCTGGAGGCAGCCAGGGCCCCGGTGCCTCTCCGGGGGGGCCAGAGGAGAGGGGGCCAGTGCTCAGACCTGGACGACGGTCCCACCTCCTGACGGTGCTGTCTGAGAGCCAGCGGGGAGGCCTGGCCGGGGAGGCCGGCCACAGTATGATCCCCGGGCGGGGAACCAGGGTCTGAGTGCCCCAAAGCGCTGGGTAAACTCCCCACTTCTCCACCAGGGTCCTCCCCACAGGTGCCCGGGCTTCCGACAACCCGCACACGAGGGAGCAGGCGAGTGGGGCCGCCGAGGAGCCCCCCGCAGCGCCGGGAGGGGGTTCCGCGTGTCGGTTGGCAGCAGAAGGGAAGAGGAGACAGCTCTCTGGGAGGAGGCGTTAGCCCCGCACTTACTGTACTTCCACAGCAGGAAGCCGGCCACCCCGCCCAGCACCGCCAGGATCAGCAGGACCAGGGAGATGCACAGCGCCACCTTCTTCCCTGCGGGGAGAGCACCGTCAGCCGTCAGCCGCAGGCTCCGGAGGACGCGCCCAAGGCCCGCAGTGCGGATGCAGGAAATGACACCCCTGCGCTCCCGGGGCGGCCCGTCCCTCCAGGACGGGGGAGGCTGACTTCGTGGGGGGCAGCAGAGCCCGAGCGGCCGCAGGGTGCGGATCGCAGAGCCGGCGGCGGTCATCTAACACACGCGCTGGCGGGGAGGGGCGGGCAGCATGGTGGCGCCTCCCCCAGGCCAGCCCCGGCGTGGCCTCCGGGCGCAGCCTTGGTCTCAGCAAGACTGTCCAGCCAGGGGCCGCCCGCCCGCCCCTGCCCGTTCGCGGGACTGGCTGCACGTGGCTGTGTCACTTCCACGACGACCGCCGCACGCGTGTAAGTTACATCAACTCCAGGTCGCCTGAGGCCGTGGCTCCCGTGGGGCCAGGGCTGGCGCTGGACATTCCAGCACTGCGGAGAGCTGCTGGCAGCCAGCGCCAGCCCCGACCCCCAGCAGTCACGTTGGGCTCACGTCTCATGGAGAATAGGGGCCTCTCGGTGGGGGGGGGGGGTGCGTGCAGCCACCACGGCGGGCAGTGTGGGTTCAGAGCACAGCCCCGAGGCCACAGCTCCACTGCCCCCACATAGCTCAACCTGAGGTGAGACCAGGGATGGCACACCTGTGCCCGACACCTGGCGAGACCGCAGGAAGGGCCCCACCACCAACGCACCGCCCCGGCCAGCAAGCCCCGCCCGGGAGCTCCCAGGAAGGAGGGCGGAGGGGTAGAGGGGAGAAGCCCCAGGTGGACCCCCAGCGCCTGAGACAGGCGAGCAGCAGGCCGGGGGCAGTGAGGGGCCAGGTGCACCCCAGCTGCCATGTTAAGTCAGCCAGAGCAAGAACTTCCACGTGGGACTTGGCCAGACCAGAGCGGGACCATCTGATGAGGCCCAGGCCTCGCCTCCCACTTCCTTGTCACATTCCGCGGATTCCAGGGCTGTTTTCCTGGCACTCCCGGCAGGGGTGTCGCTTGGGGGGCAGGCATGAGCTTGCAGCTCTGACAGGTGAGGCCACAGGTCTGGGGTGAGCCTCTGAGCCTCCAAGCCACAGAATAAGAAGGTGGCAACGCAGGCGGGGGACAAGGTAGTGGCCACTTGCCCCGCTGGCGACGGAGGACGCGCCCCATGGACGCCTGCCTGTGTGTTGTTTTACCTGAGATCAGGCAACCTGGCGGGACAGGTCAGGGCTATGACACGGGGCGCTCTGCACCCCTCTCGGTGTGGGTCAGCTGGCACACAGGCTGGGCCCCCTGTCCTGAGGAACGGAGCCCCACCTCTGGGGTTAGGGCGGCTCGGGCTGGAGCAGCCCCGGTCGGCTGTCTCGCTAGTTGGGGTTAACATGAACTCACGGGTCACTGCCCTGGTCATGATCGGCTTCGTCTGTTGTGGGCTCGGCCTTAGTTTCTAGAGTCAACTCTGCGTGGCCCGTGTGGAAAATGCCAGAAACACGTACCGGTGAGGCTGTGAGGAAAGGCTCGTCCTGGGGGTGGGGACGGGCGGTCCAGGCTCTAGTGGGACAGATAGACCCACAGCATGAGCCCCGACCCCACTCCCGGGGGTCCCAAGGAGCACCGGCGCCTCTGTGAAGGGGGCGGCTCCTTTTTTCGGATTGTCGCGAATGCAAAAGACAGGCTAAGGTCGAGAGTGTCCCCACTGTCCTGGTTTGTGCTGGGCTGGGGTCCAGCTGCAGGACACTCGGAGGTGGTGGGACACAAGAAACTTCAGGGCAGCGAAGCTCCTCTGTCACCCACGGGGCCGAAGGACACGGGTCCCTACCCAAAGCCACGGGCGAGCAGAGCCGGGTTCCTAACGGAAACCTCGGGCTTCAGCTTAGAGGATGTATCGGCGTGGGCTGTAACAGCTGCACCCCACTAGGACAGACGGTGGGAAGGGGGTGATGGGACGTCCATACTCAATTTTTCTGTAAGCCCGAAACTACTTCAGAGAGAGTCGATTAATTTAAAATAACAGCTCCATGCCAGCCACGGCCCTCCAGGCGCGTGCACTCCCCTCGGCCCTGAGTCCACGCGATACTTTTAAAAATAACACCAGGTAGTTCACGAAGTGAATTTTAAGTCCGAGGGCATTTTTATAATGCAGAATCCCAGGCGGCGGCTCCAGTGTTTCCCTCATAAAGCTGCTCAGGGACGCCTGCCGCTGCCCCTGCCCGCGTCTCCCCTACGTGAGTGGAAAGTGTGGCTCCTTCTGCCCCAGGGCCGGGCAGTGCCTGATATGAGCACCAGCCTTCAAGGTGCAGCCGCCAGAGGGACCCCGGCTGCTGACGCTGCCTTCTTCTTTGCAGAGGAAGGAGGTGCCAGTGCCCAGCTCCGACCCCTCTTCCCTGAGTTCCTTCCAGCCTACGCGCGGGAGGGCGGCCATGGCGCTGAGCGCTGGCACTACTGAGCCTCAAGGACACCATTCCCGGCCACGGGGGCCCTTCTGTGCACCCTGGCATGCGGGCAGCGTCTTTGGCACCCACCCAGGGGTCGCAAGGCACACCCTCCTGTACTTATCACCAATCCAAACAGTCTCCAGACACCCTGGACTGTCGCTGGGGACCAGCATCACCCCCCATTGAGAACCACTGGTCCCCACCTCCACGCCAAGCAGCAGAAAGACAGCGTTCCCCGAGCAGAGGGAAGAGGGACTCAGCGAGCCACACAGGAAAGACGGGGCGCCGCCAGGGGTAGAAACTCGGGAATAAAAGGGGCAGAGGTTGGCAGAGTGGGGCGCAAGCCGTGTGTGAAAGGTGCAGCAATCGCTGAGAAAAAGCCCGAGAGCACCCGGGGGTGAGGGGGCAGCAGTGCAGGAGCCCCATGGTGGGCGCACTCTGGGGGGTCGTGGGTGGTGGGCACGTGGGGGGGCGGGGAGGGGGCTGGCGCGCGGGTGGTGGGCACACACCGGCGCGCCAACGTGCTCCATTGCTCCGGGTCGAGTGTGCGAGCTGCGTCTCCGTGTGGTGTCTCCCGGGACCGCAGCAGGACGAGCTGACAGTGTGCCGGCTCCACCTGGCGCCGCTGCACCCCACATCCCCCAGGGACGAGGGCCGGGGGCGGCAAGGGTCCAGGGAGAAGGCAGGCAGAATGATCGGCCGAGAAAGGAGAGGGACGGGGCCAGAAAGAGAGGGACGAGAATGCACATTGTACAAAAGTAGAAAATGACGTTAAAAATATGTAAAATAAAATAATTAAAAATTAATTAATTAATTTTAAAAAAGAAAGAGATGGATGAAAATGAGAAGCAAAGGACGAACGGCTTCGATTCTCCCCCGCCCGCCCCGCGGTGTCTAAACATCGTGAGAACCGAGAGAGACGGCGCCCCACGGCCCTCGGCAGCGTCTGGAGGGGGACCTGCGGCTCTGGGCAAAGGCACCCCGGCCTGCCTGCATCTGGACCTCCCCGTGGACTCAAGACGATGCCCTGGGAAACCACGCGGCAGGAGGCAGGACAGCCAGCTGCAGAGGGCAGAGGACAGCCGGCGGCGGGGGACAGCCGGAGGCGGGGGACAGCGGGCGGCAGCAGAGAAGAGAGGCGAGGGCGCAGCAGGGCCCGGCGGAGCAGGGGAGGGGGCAGCGCCCGAGAGCAGGCCGCAGGCTGGGGCACAGGGAGCCAGCGGGCGCCGTCACAGGCATCGGGGGAGAGGCCTACCCGAGGTGCACACGGTCCCGGGCGCGGACTTGGGTTCCCTGAGGACCACGGCCGGTGAGGAGTGCTGCGTCAGGACCCTGGAGGAGTACGCGGGCACCGCCGACGGGTAGTACTCGCCGCGGAGGGAGGGCTCGGAGGGCGGTGAGGGGCCGAGGCTTTCCGGTTGGTACCCATGGTTCTCATAGTAAGGCCTGAAACCTGGCGGCGATCCCTGGACGGGGAGAGAAGCTGAGTTGGGAACCAGAGTACCCCAAGGCCAGGCTCTCAGCCATCTCCCCCAGGGAGGGGGGAGGAGGGCTGCGGGTGCTTCTGGGGTCTGTCATGGTGCCAGACACCCCGCTAGCTGGAGTGAAAGTGATCAGCAGGGCCTCCCTGGCGGTGCAGGAGTTAAAGACGACGCCATCCAGCTATCGCCAGAGCTGGATCCCCGATGGCCAGGGACCCACAGGGTGCAGCAGACCTCTCCTGTCTCCCCGCTGCTCCCCTCAGCAGTGCATTTCAGCAATCTGCCTGTTCTGTTCCCCACTCTCTCTGGTGAATCCTCTCACACACACACCCATATCTCTGGCTTACACCCCAGTTCTTGTATGCATAAATAAATCTTAAAAAAAAAAAAAAAGGAAAATGATCAGCAATTTCAATGAACTGTCAGTCGCTGGCTTCTCAAATTAAGAAAAAATGAATGGGTGACATAGCAGATTAGTCAGACATTGACAGAACAAGCGTGTGGTGGTTGAGAGCGAGTTGCCGCCCCGTACCTGCAGAACCGGGGGGCAGGATCCAGCCATCCCAGGATTAGGATGAGGATAGCAACACCAACCCTCCCAGGACTCACCTGCCACCAGGTGTCTGTGTTCACCAGCTCCTTGCAACCTGGCCGCAAGCCCTACAATGGCCCAGGGACGAGGGATACACCCATTTTCCAGAGAGGAGTGTGAAGGGCCGGGGGCCAGCCATTTACCGCACCTCATAGTACCCATGTCGCGTTGCAAGCTCCCCTTTGAGGTCTGTTCTCCCGAGGAGGGGTGTCAGCGTTTATCTTTTAAACGACTTGGGACCCCTGGGCTAGTGAGTGGCCGCGGGCAGCGCAGCACTGCTGGGGACAAGCGGGGTTTCTGAGTTCCGGCCCTGGGGGAGGACTTGGGCTCGGCTCTGCCCTCAGCGTTTATCCCCAGCTCCGCCTTCAGCTGGTTTCTGCCTCCCCACAGCTGCCTTCGCCAGGCCAGCGCCCCAGACCCAGCACGTCAGCTGCTCTGGACCCGTCCATCTTCCCTGCTCCTCGCTGTCCTGCTCCGCCCGGGGTAGCGGGGGGCCGCCCCGGGGGGCTGAGACCCCAGCCTCACCTGCCCACCCTGACTGCTCCCCTTATTTCTGTCAAGCCTGAGCTCACAGAGACCGGTGTTCTGAGCAGGGGCAACATCACGCTCAGAATTTTTAATGGGGCTCCGGGGAAGCGTGATCGGAAAGGAATGAGCCAGAGGCAGGCTGCTGCAGCCGGTCGGTTTAATAGCTCACCAGCGCTGCCCGAAAGTCCAAAGAGTACGACTTGAGACCAGAGCGGGAGATTAAAAGAAGGCAAAAAAAATTGTAATCGCTAATCTTAATAGGGGTACAGAGGCAAAAACAGCCCAGAGCACACAAGCTCACTGTCTATCTGGAGCATCTAAGAACACGCCGCCCGCCCAGGCTGGTGGCAGCCAGGCCGCGCCAGCAAAGCCGCCCATGTAGGGGAATTCCAGCGTGGACTTGAACTTGAACGCGGACCCAGCAAGAATCTCAGTAACAGAGAAACTCACCGAGTTTAACGCCATCCCGACGTGACCAGCAGCATCAGGTGATGGGAGGGTTTGGAACCTTCCAGAGGACCTAGGAGAAAGACACACAGGCGGTGCTGCTTCCTCTGGTGGGGTCTAGAGGGCAGATGGAGAAAGAAGGAGGAGATTTCCAGGGGAGTCACCTTTCCCCAGAACCAGCAGCAGCTTTGTGCTCACCTGCCCTGCTTACCTGCCCTCACCTTCACCCTCTTCCTGGAGCCACCTGCAGGGACGGAGTGGGGTGGCACCAAGGGCAGGGGTGCTGCATGAACACCCAGCGAGGTGAAGTCACACCTCAAAGTTCAGATTGTTTTGTGAATCAATAAAAATTGTATGTAAAGAGCTAATCAGGGGCCTCCCTGGTGGTGCAGAGGTTAGTCTCAGCGCTATGAAGCTACTGGCAGCCACTGTGGCATGAGTTCAACCCCGGCCAGCCAGGAGCTGGTCCAGCAGACCCCTCCTGTCTCCCCGCTGCTCCCCTCAGCAGTGTAGCTCAGTGTATCTGTCTGTTCTGCTCCCCACTCTGTCTCTGGCCAATCCTCTCACCCCCTGCACCTCTGGCGTGCACCCCAGCTCTTGTATGCATAAATAAACAAAATAAATCTTTTTTAAAAAAGCTTATCACCATGTGGATGGTCTCGAAGACTGAAGCAGAGAGAGTGGTGTCTGCCGACTTTGTGGAGGGCTATAGAGATATCTAGAAAGACAGTCACCGTGAAATGCCTTCCAGGGACACCCCACCTGCCCCCACTCTCCAGAGCCAAAGCCTGGCTCTGTCCAGGCTCCCTTTTGTCCCAAAGACCAGAGGAGCCTCCAAGAGCGAGCTTCGCAATCTCCGTGCCCAAGATGGCTCCAGGAGGCAGGGCTGGGCTTCCAGGATTGCCAGCTTGGGCTGGGCAGCCCACCTGCAGGCACCCAGCACACAGCAGGTGCTCAGGGGCAGTAGGAAGCGGCCAAGGCTGAGCCTCCAGGACGACCTCGAGCTGTGCCTTGGGGCAAGCTGACTCACATTGCAGATTCTCCCACAAGTCAGCAGCACCTGCCATGGGTGGTGGGTGTGAGGTAAGTGGATGCTAATGAGCTCCCAGAGCCCAGCCCTCCCTATGTGTCACCTACATTTCTGTTAAATAAACATGACCCTAAAGCTGGCAGATGTCAAACTGGGGCGGGAAAGACAGATCTGTGGTGTTTGCAGCAAGTATCAAGAAAGCACCCCCAGGCTCCGCGTGCAGCCAGCAGCTGTGAAGACCCAGCAGCTCAGCGTGCTCTGAGCAAAATTATCATCTGATTCGTTAAACTAAAACAAAGGAACAAAACACAAAAAATAAAACCCAGAGACACGAGCTGGCCAGGAGTAGGACGGAGGGTCTTCTCATCTTAAAGCCTCTGAGCAAGCCCAGCCACAGGCGACGTCTCCTCACGTAAAGATAAAATATAAGAGGCCTCCCTGGTGGCGCAGGGGTTAAGTGTCAAGACTATGAAGCTGTCCGCAGCCTCTGCAGCACGAGTTCGATCCCCAGCCAGGGAGCTACCCACATGGCACAGCAGACCTCTCCTGACTCCCCGCTGCTCCCCTCAGCAGTGTGTTTCAGTAGATCCACCTGTTCTGTTCCCCACTCTGTCTCTGGTGGATCCTCTCACCCCCCGCACCTCTGGCCTGCACCCTGTTTTTGTATGCATCAATTAATAAATCTTAAAAAAAAAAAAAAGATGAAATATAAGAGCCAGGCCCTCCGCAGAACGTGGAAACCTTTCTAGATGGAAAATAAAGAGAAACCACTTCCTGGCATGAGGAAAGAGAAAGAACCATCCACAGGACCGGCTCCTCTCGGGCCATTAACGCGGGAGAGGCTATCGCCTGCCACCTCTGCTCTGCAGGGAACAGACTCCAGAGCCCCCCTCCCTACCCTCCCCCCCCGCACCTGCCCGCCTCCCCCGCTCTCCCCTCCGCTCTTGTTTAAGCAGGGAAAACCCAGCACCTTCCTAAGATCACTTTCCAAACAGTCCGCAGCCATGTCCCCAGCTATAGGTTCTGCTGAGGTTTCAGGAACTGAGAATTCGATCCCCCTGGCAGCCTTCCCAGGCTCAGAGCCCTCTCAAAGGAGGGGAGAGCCAGGCTGGACATCCTCACTTCCGATTCATTCACGATCCCACGGTGGGGACAAGGAGCCAGGACAGGAAGGGGGTCGGGCAGCCACCACCTGGGCAGTGCAGCCGCCCGGGAGTCTCCCTCTGGCAGAAGAAGGGCCGGGCCTGTCTCCCGCGGGGCCGGGGCCGGGCTGGAGGAAGCGCTGGCGTCCAGAGAGTCCAGGAGCCGCCTCCCCAGGCTCGTCTGGACACAGGCACCCACCGCCAGGCCCGCGCAGACAGTGGACCTGCCCGGTCTGCCCGGAGTGAGCGCCCCCGGGTGCCCGGAACCGACAGCAGCGCCTGTTCCGTGAAGCTTCAGGACGGGCTGCCCTCCACGCCAGCCCACAGCCCTGTCCCGGAGGACCCAGGAAACGTGCCAGAAAGCTCCTCGCCACCCCAGCTCCCTCCCCATCCACCTGGAAGAGGCTGGAGAGGCTGTTTGGGGCTGAGTCACCCCTTCGTCACGCACCAGGTCACCATGGTGCCTGGAACCCCATGACAGGGTGAAACCGGCCACAGACAGGAAGGTTCTGTTTCCGCGTCTTCCCTTGACGGTCCAGACACACCTGCCGGGGCCTTATCTTGAAACCCACCCGCGCGCGTGAGGCGTGTCCACCAGCCTGACTTCCATCTAGGGAGGTGGGGGGCCCTCATGAAGCTGCGGGGGAGCCCGTTCAGGACCCACTGGGTGCTCGTTCAGGACCCCCCAGTGGGTGCCGACTTCCCAGACCCCAGAACGGGAGGTGAGACTGGGGCCCAGACGAGGACCCCGGCCCTGAGCTTCTATTTCCACGTTCTGACCGTGCAACAAGCCCCACCCCCAACACGTAATGGGGCACCCCTAGCCTCACCCCAGCAAGCGTGTGGTGTCCTGTCCTGTCAGGGTGTCACGACGGAGTAGAGAAGAGACAGACCAGAGTCAGGAGCTACACGTGTAGGCGCAGGGGGCACAGCCGCGGACCCAGCAAGGAGGGGGCGCGGGAAGGGGGGAGGGTGGGGAGCGCAGGGGAGACGGGCAGGGGCAGGAGAGCAGGTGAGGGGAGACGGATGCCCGCGCCACCTTTCCTTCCCCCCCAACACCTCGCTGTCCTGAGAAGAGCAAACTTTTTTTTTTTTTTACAAATATTTTTTCTTTTTTTTTTTTATATAGAGGCATTTATTTATTTATTTGTTTGTTTGTTTGTTTGTTTTGTTTATACAGGCACTGGGTACAGTCAGAAGCGCGGGAGGGTGAGAGAATTCACCAGAGCCAGAGCGGGGAGCAGAGCAGGCAGAAGGACCGAAGGACACTGCTGAGGGGAACAGCGGGCAGCAGGAGAGGTCTGCGCGCCATGTGGGACCCTCCTCCGGTGGCCGGGGAGCAGCCGGGGATCGAACCAGCGCTGCAGAGGCTGCGGGCAGTTTCACAACCCAGCGCTCTACCGCTGCGCCACCGGGGAGGCCCAAGAGAAAACTTTTTAGGGCAGGAAGTGGGTCTGGGTTTTCCTTCACCCCCTGGGCTTATCTTTCACATGCAGCTTCGTGCCATGCAGCCAGCGTCCCAATGAGTGTCTTTTTTTTTTTTTTTTTTTTTAAGATTTATAGAGCTGGGGCACAGGCCAGAGGTGCAGGGGTGAGAGGATGCGCCAGAGACAGAGTGGGGAGCAGAACAGGCAGATCCACTGAAATCCACTGCTGAGGGGAGCAGCCGGGGCACAGGAGAGGTCTGCTGCGCCCTGTGGGTAGCTCCCTGGCCGGGGATTGAACTCGTGCTGCAGAGGCTGCAGACCGCTTCATAGGTTGTGTCTTAACCCCTTGCACCACCAGGGAGGCCCTTCAATACTTCCTGAGTTCAAAGGAGTGAGATGAGATTTAAGAGAGGGAAGGGAAGCACTCGGAGTGGCCCCGCAGACCTAAGGTGACAGCCCCCCACCCCCAGGCCCCCCACCTGTGTCCCGCAGGCCAGAGGAGTCCTTAAGTCTGCCAAGGCTGGGAGTCAGAAAGAGCTTGCCCAGGTCGAACCGCAGTGAGGCCCTAAAGGAGCACAGCGGTTGCAGGGCTGGGCCTGTGGCTTTGCCAGCTGGGGTCCCGGCAGGAGGCGCAGAAGCAGGACGCCCTGAGTGCAGGAGCTGCCCTCCCGGCGCTAAGGCACCCTGACGGTGAGCGCGGAGTCACCGCGGCCAGAAACACCAGAGGCGGATTTAAGTCAAGGTAGGGAAACCAAGTTCCCGGTGCTTAGACAGTTCGAATACCGCGGAGGTGGTCTGGGAAAGTGGGTTTCCTCACCAGCAACTCCTTGACCCAACGCTGGAGGTCATTTTGCAAACATCCTAGAACAGCGCTGGGCTTCAGTGGCAGGGCAGACTGTCGTGGTCAGGAGCTCCTGGCCGCCCCCAGGACAGCCTCCCTGTGCCCGTTCAGAGGGAGGCGAGCAGGAGGGGACAGGCCGCCAGGAGGATCCCTGGAAGCAACTTGCCCGCACACAGGGAAGTGACAGCCAGCTCATGCCCCACCCTTTCCCCGGGGAAACACATTTCCAGCAAATGTGACCAGTGGCCACACCTTCCTCTCAGCCCCTCCTGAGCTCTCCGCCTGCCCTTGCGTGAACTTCCAGAATTCCACCTCCGCTACCACAAACACACGAGGCTCTTCAAACATCTCTGCTCTGCCTCATGAGCCCCGGGCATATGCACACGCATGCACGCACACGCATGCACACGCACACAATGCGTGCCTGACCCCGGCCTCTGAACATGCCAGCCACACGCCTGGCGTCCTCACTTCTAGCAGCCCTGGCCCCCGCGCCTCCCCACGCCTGTCACCTTCTCCCAATCCAAGTCACCGCACTGCCCCCAGGAGTCCAGTCTTTCTCCCAAGACCCTGTGCTGCCTGGACACCCCCAGCCTCCGCTCCTCTGCTCCTGCGCGCACCTGCCAGCAAGACAAAGCAGCTCCCAGGCCCTGACCCTCAGCTCTGCCCCTGGCTGCACCCAGAACTGCCCTTGCTGCTCCCTGAGACCCACATGTAATTGGGGCCAGAATGTTCAGGGCACAGGGAGAACTGTGGCCCCCCTTCAACATGCCCTGGCTCACTGGCACTGAGGCTTTGCAAGTCAAGGCTCCCCAAGAAGGCCAGAGGGCTTCCCAGCCCCCACCCAGGAAGGGGCCCACCAAAGTAGGCCCAGTGTAGGGCTCAGGCAGGCGACACCTTTGCACCCCACCCCAGTGGCCTCTTACAGGCCATCGTGGAGCAGATCCAATGTTGGGGGGGAGTCGCTGGCAGGCACCCTGGAAAGTAAGGAGGGTGCGGGAAGAGCCACAAAGCCTCAGGATGGTGGAGGCTGGGATCCAGGGGGGCAGAGCAGGGACTGGGAGCTTCTGCAGCCCTGGTGCCCGGGAGCAAGCATTCCTGGGGGCAGGAACAAGACCGGGGGTCCCCCTGGCTGCCCGACGTGCCCAGAGTCTGGCTGGCCCTCCTCTTCCCCAATCCCGACCAGCCTGCCTCAGTTTCCTTATGTTGATTTCAGTGTTATAAAGAGATGGGGGTGACGCCTGGCTGGAAGAGAGTGCCCCAACACCTTTGTGGTTGTTGTTATAACCGGTGGGGCCAAGTGCGCCCCTCAGTGAAGGTGACTGGGCCCGCCCAGAGCAGCCCTGGGTGAGTTCCCACAATAGCACAATCTTGACCTTGGGGTAGAATGGAGGGAAGCTGCTGGGGAGCAAACAAACATCCCAGCAAAGAACCAAGGCCCTTGCGGCTTGGGCCAGAGAAATTACATATATGCACACACGCTTGCACACACAGGCACACACACACACTCACACGGGCACACACAGAGCAGAAGTGTGGGCGGGCAGGTTCCAGTTTGGGGAACTTCCCCGGCCCTGGGGTATTAGCTCTCTGGGTGCTCCTTGCCTCTCTGACCTCATCGGCCCCCCCACCCCCGTAAGGTCGCTGGGGTGAGGCGGTGCCACCCCCAGAAAGCTGGGCAAGCCTGAAGTAACCCCCGTGACCTCCTGGGGTCCCTGTCACCAGGCCCACCGGGCCCTCTTCTCCCCACTCAGCAGCAGCCCACAGCCTAGGGGCCTCTGTCCCCCCCCAGGTCCTGCTCCCTGGGGTCGCCCAGTGCGCCACACTCCCAGCCCCCTCCCCAGGCGGGGCTGGCTCCAGCGGCACTTCCTGGAGAGCACTCCACACAGCTCAGGCTAAGTCAACAACCTGCCCCTCACACCCGCTTCTACGACTCTTTGGAAGTGCACTTCTCGGTTCTGTAACTTTCCATGATTTGGGGGTTCTCTACAGCTGGGAGCTCCTTGCACTCAAGCCTCTACGTGCCCCTTTCCCAATCCGGGGGCGCCCAGCCTCGGGGCCAAGCTCCAGTGAGTCCTGCCTTCCAGGCGGACCTCAGCCCCTGATTTTCTCTGCCTTCCGGGCGAGCACCAAGATCCCTCCTGACCCGCCTCCACCACCAGGGCGCAACTTTGGGGCCTAAGGCAATCCTGCTGTCCGACTCCCGGGCCAAGGGCCCGCACCCAAGCCAGGCTGGTCCCCTGCCCTGTGTCCTGGTGCTGGGACACCCAGCCAGCCTCTCCCCTGCGGGAACCCTTAAAAGCCAGCCCGCCTCTCCAGGACCGGATCCTGAGGCAGCCAACGCCAGCAGCTGGACCTGATGGCCGCTGGGTAGCCCAAAAGTGGGCTCAGACTGCGGCCGGCCATCCCCGGGGCCTCCGCAACCAGCCCCGCCGTCCCCAGCCCCACCGTCCCCAGTCCCCACTGTCCCCAGCCCCGCCGTCCCCAGCCCCCAGGCCCCAGGCCCCAGCCCCACCGTCCCCCAGCCCCGCCGTCCCCGCCGTGCCGGTGGTATCACTCCGGCATCTAAGCGAGTTTCCAGTTTCTCCCACCAAGAAGCAGGAGTTCAAGTAACACTCAGGGCTGCAGAGATTTTCCCGAAACAAAGAAACAGATCCACAACCCGCCCTCTTCCTCGTGCGTCTCCAACGGGAAAAGGCGCCCCCAGAACCCGAGCTCCAGCCCGCGGGGCAGGGGAGCAGGCAAGGGCTCCCACCGGGGCACCCGCCCGCAGGGACCTCCAGGCACCCTGTTCTCCCAACGAGCGGCCAGGGACGGCGGGCGCCTGCCCCGGGCACCGGTGCCAAGACCGGCTGGCCCGGGAGCCCGCGGGGAGGACGCACCTGCCGCGCTGGCGCTGCCCGCTCCGGGCTCGAGTCCCGCCGGCCTGGCCCGCAGGGCACTCAGGTGATTCTGCGCGCGGCCTCCCGCTCACACCTGCTCACCTGCTCACCTGCGGCTGGGTCCGCGGCCCGCGCCCTGCCTCCCGCGCCGGCACCTCCCCGGTGCTGCGCCCGCTCCGCCGGCTTCCTCCTCTGCCCGGCAGGAGTCCCGGCCCGCCCGCCTCCAGCTTTAACCCCGGGAGGCGGTGTCGGCGGCCCGGGCGACGCCCTCAGGCCCCTGGAGCCAGGAGGGGACCGGCTGCGGCCGGCGGGGCGGGGGCGGCCGGAGGCGGAGTTTCCCGGAGGGAAGCCCCAGACCCAGCCTCGCATTGCACTAGGGGGTTGGGGGGATTCCAGAGAGCGCTGGCCCCGTGGGGTGTGAGCCCGGCGCTGCGGGCTGTGTGCTGCGCTGGCCAGGCCCTGCTCCGTCCCTGGGGACCTTCGTGGCCTGTGTCCGCAGCGAGGACCCAGGAGTCGACCCCAGGGATCAGGCGGCAGCCCCTGGAGACCCAGCGCCCAGCGCCAAGGAGCTTCCCACCCCAGCCCTCCTCCTGTTCGCGGGAAAAGGATGGGGGACCTTTTCCTGCCCCGAGTCCAAAGTCCCTCTCCCCGCCCTAGTCTTCCAGCCTCTCATCCCGCAGTGGTGTTGGGACTGTCCCCGAAAAAGGCCCCAGAGCACCTCCAGCAGCAGCAGAGTCAGGCTGCCGGCTTCTCCCCCCAGCCCCCGAGTTCTGCACTGGATAGTGTGGGGGTGGGGGGCCTGTCTGCACCCTGCGTCTCTCCCTCAGCCCCCTTGGCGTGGCTGTCTCAGCCTTCCTGTCCCCTTCTCTCGGCAACCTTCTGGAATCTGTGTTGGGATCCGCACACCTCCAGGGAGCAGACCAGGAGGGCCCGGGGCTCGTCCCGCTCAGAGCCGAACTCCATTCTTTCCCAGAAGTCTCACTTCAAAGATGGACAGACGGTCCACTTTGGCCAGTGGAAGGGGAGTTTCCCGGGGCTGGGGGCAAGAGGGGACATTTTCTCACTCTTAAGGGAACTGCCAAAGTGGTGACGGCGCTGGGACTTAACCCCTAGGCCACCAGAGCCAGGAGTGGACGGGCTGCGGCTGTCCACTGCGCTGGGAGGAAGGCGCAGCAGTCGTCACGGCGACTTCACAGCGTCCATCACCAGGAAGCTGTTGCGGCTCCTCCTTCAAAAGCCACAGCAGATGAAAGGTGTAAGTCATAAGAAGAAAGACAAATACGGGTGATTTCACTCATGTGTGGAATATAAAGAAACCAAGCAGAGGAAGGGACAAAACCGAACCAAAGAAACCCTTGAAATCTGACTGCAGAAAGAGGTCATCCGGGGGCGCACGGTGATGGCCAGAAAAACTTCAAGCCAAGAATTCAGTCTGAAGAGGCCCTAGAAATGCCGCCCGTGTCCTCCGGGCTGCGCCCCGACGGGACAGCGTTCTGGGTGTGTCTCCAGAGGAGGCTGACACCGGGACCCCGGCTGAGCAAAGGTCTGTGCTCGCCAGTGGGGATGGGCAGCGGCATCGCCCGCCCTTGGAGGTGTTGATTAGAACAAAAAGGCAGAAGGGTGACCTGACTCCCTGATGTAGCTGGGACGCTCATGATCAGATCCGGCGTCCCTGTTTATCAGAATTTTGGACTCAGATTGAATATGTCACCAGCTTTCCTGGTTCGTCAGCTGCAGAGGGCAGGCCTTGAGGCTCCGTAGGGTGTGAATCAACTATAATAAACACTCGCTATTCTGCTTCCTCTAGAGAGCCCTAGTACACCCCTCAATCCAGGAAAAACTCCTGTGTACAATTAAATGTTAAATTAAAATGTTACAATTAAAATGTTTTATTAAAAGCAATTCAAATGAAAATATCAATAAAAATAGCAGGCAGTAGAATCAGACCTCAGATCTTGGCAGTTTGACCCAGAGGACACGAAGTGTGTTCACTAAAGTATGCTGAAAATGTAATAAAAGAGAAAATCTAAAGATGAATACGAAACATGGGTTGGGACCTCCCTGGTGGCCTCGGGGTGAAGTCTCAGGCTGTCACCACTATGGCCTAAGTTTGATCCTGGCCAGCAGCTGACCCACAGGGCACAGCAGACCTCTCCTGTCTCCCCGCTGGCCCCTCAGCAGTGGATTTCAGTGGATCTGCCTGTTCTGCTCCCCACTCTGTCTCTGGGGAGTCCTCTCACCACCCCCCACCTCCGGCCCATGCCCCAGCTCTTGTATGCATAAATAAATGAATGAATGAATGAATGAATGAATAAATAAAATATTTAAAAGAAATAGGAAAATAGAAAATGATGCATTGATGCCTAAATCAGGATAGAGAGTTTTAAGGAAAATTACAGGTCAAAATAACTCAAAAGTTGGCGTAGGGCTGACCGCTCCGGATCTGGGTTTGATCTCAGGCAGGGTGGTCTGTGGGGCCTCAGGACAGGAGATGAGCTGCATTCCGGTTTCTGCCTCCTGCCCCGCCCCCTCCCCCCAGGTGTGCAAGTGGGGGAAGTGCTGGGTGGGGGAGGTGCTCCTGTGCTTGGAATCCAGGGGACGGGTTCTTAACTCCATTGGCAAATCCTCTCCCACCCCTCTCCCTCTGCAGCATTTACTAAAATGCCGTTTCTATTAAAGTGTTGAGTTTCTGACTGCACCTCCCCTACGATCTGTCCAGAGAAACTAACACATATTACTAAATGCAGCTGCATTTTTTGCCCCCCTGAACCCCTTACGTGAGCCCTGAGTCTTCCCTCTCCTGCCACCTCCTCCCTACAAAGACAAGTGTCTTCAGGGGGGGGCCGATGATCTGGATAACTTTATCTTCAAAGGATGAAAGAAGTGTTAGAAACATTCCGTTCATAGATTCTTAAAGATCCCAAATTCAAAGGTTTTATCCCCCAAGTGTTTCTCATCCTAAAGCAGGCTTTTTTTTTTTCCATGCTTATCCCCGATTTAGTTTTTCTGGCTAAAATACATGCAAATAACTTTTTCTAAAAACAAATCAAGCCAGCTGAAGTCATTTTTGGAGTTGCTGGGATCGAAAAGCGAGGCCCTTGGGTTCACTCCTTGGGAAACATTTTGCAATAGGGTGGTCCAGGTTTGGGGGATTTGGGGTGTCCCTCTCCCTGTCCTGTAGCAGTTTCACCAGAGCTCCCCTCCCAGCAGCACCGGCGAGTTCCCTGGCGAGATTCTCCAGGGGGCAGAGACATGGGTTGTATCCAGAGGGCAGGTGATTATGAAAGGGAGACGCAAAGTGGCCACTGGCACAGCCGCCAGCGGGCGGGAAGGGCTGGCCCGAGAGGGACGGGTTTGCTGAGAGAGGCCTGCGTGGTGCCCGGCGGGCGGCCTTGAGGGGAGCGGCCTCCGCTGAGGGGGTGGTGGAGAGGAGCCCCGGCGTGGCCACAGGTCACGGGCGGGCAGGAGGCCGCTGCCCCGAGCCAGGGCAGAGACTGCCCTGACAGAGTCTTCTCTTTGGGGGGGTCACGCCTTCGTGGAGTGGCCTGGAAGGGCTGCTGGTTTCGGGTGACCAGGTCGAATCTGAAAGGGATGGGAGCTGCCTCGATGGCCCCATCTCCGTAGCTCCATCCGGTCCGCGCCCCCCGCCACTGGCCTCGGACCCCTCTTGGGCTGGTCTGGCGCTGGAGGGTTCTGGCCCCCAGGGCTGGGCCAGCGACTGTGCTCGTCCCTCCTGCCCGCCTCCAGCTGCCGGCGTTGGGTGAGCCGTTTCTGCCTCGCGGTGCCTCCTTCCCAGCTCGTCCGTCCTCATCCTCCGTCAAGCCTGCTGATGTTCCAGGGATCCCTTGGCGTCCACTAAAACGCCTTTACACTTTGAGTCAACATTCGGGCTCCCCACGTCTTAGTCCTGCTGCTGCGTGCCTGGAGATGGAGGACCTGCCCCTGCCCCTTGGGGCACTTGGCCTGTTTTCTCTCTCTCGTGGGCACGGCTGGGAGTTTCATTATACCCCTGAATCTCTTTCTTCCAAGAAACTTTTAGGTCAAAGGAGCCTGCTGCCCTGTGGCTGGGCAGGGGGTGCAGGCTTGAGAGCCCTTCCAGGTGGCCTGTGGTTCTTGAGGCTGTGACAGCGCTGACCCCGTCCCTTCCCCGGGCCCCAGAAGCTCCAAGCAGCCCCTGAGCTGCCCTCGCAGCGGCTGCTGCTCAAGGTGTTAAAATTTTGGTGATTTTTTGTGGGGGAGACCTGAAATCTGCCTTAGTCGCCAACCTCCCCTGCATGTCACCTCACCTAGGGCCAACAGGATTTCCTCACAACCATTTTGCCCGGCCACTTCTGCCTGGCAAGAGGCGGTGCCCCTGGGGCCTTGCAGGAGCCTCTTTCTCTGTTTGCTAGTAAACCTGTCCTTTAGAAATGCAGCCTCACCTGTGTCTGTGCAAACATCTCTGACCCCTGGGTAAACTGACCTTGTGCTCTGAAATGGGGACTCTGCCCAAACGCAGGGGCCTGCACTCTGAACCCAAAACTCACCAATGACATCATCTACGTATGATTTGTGCACGTCTGTGTCCTTTTTCTTACTGGTGTACAGCTGCGTTCATGAATCTTTGCTTTAAAACTGAAACCCTGGTGGTGCAAGGGGTTGAGTCTCAGCACTATGAAGCTGTTCTGTGCGCAGCCTCTGCTGCAGGAGTTCAATCCTCAACCAGGGAGCTACCCACATGGCGCAGCAGACCCCTCCTGACTCCCCGCTGCTCCCCTCAGCAGTGTGTTTCAATGGGTCCACCTGTTCTGCTCCGCACTGTCTCTTGGTGAGTGCTCTCACCCCCCGTACTTCTGGCCTGCACCCAGTTCTTGCATATATAAAAAAACTAAATCTTAAAAAAAAAAAGTAAAAAAATAAGCAAAAAAATAAACAAATAAACCCAAGACCCCTAGAAATCCGAGCGTTGAGGCGAGCACTTGGGGTGAGGGGGTGGCCTGTGGTAGAGACGGGGTGGGGGGAGCCTGGGCGGGGTGTGGGTGGTGACACGCACCCGAGGGGAGGATCTTACACTCCGGATCATACACAGTGTCACAACCGATGCCGCCTCAATCAATAAAAACATAAATTTGAGAAATAATAATAAAAAGAGAGA